TCTTGGTAGCTGGGCCAAACTGTTCGTTTTTGACGCAGCCAGTCTGCAGTCAACCGCGGTGACGGGATGGTTGCACATGATGAAACCGGAACTCCGCATCCAGTTCCGCCTCGGACTGGAAAAGCTCTCGGGGCTGAAAATCAATGCTCCCCTGTACTGACCATGGTGAGCCTATTTCTGTTTGATTTTATTCATCAGCAGTCAGTAAAAACAAAAATGTTTGCGCGGGACACTAATTAAAATGATACAATGGTATTCGCTGTATTGACATTGATTATGGATTATCTGTGTCCTCAGATGAACGGCAACAGTATGTGGCCTTACCTGACCGGCACGCATCGGCGCTGCGTGTCATCCGTGATCATTCACTTACCTGTTCCATTGCGCAACCGGCTTTATACCGCCACAATTAACCGGCTGCAGACGCGTTACCTCAAACGTCCCCATCGTCATGCGGCATGCGTTGGTTTATTTTCAGTTAAATTTAAATTAATTGACTTTTTTCGATCTTCGTGTATGGAAGACAATTGTAACAGTATTGAACCGGTTTTTATTATATGATTATTTTGTGTTTAGTGTAGGCAATTGTTTCATTTATATGCTTGTCATTTTGCATGATAATTATGCCATTTTTATTATGTAGCTACTTTTTGTTCTGTCGGGTTAAAGTTTTCTGGTGCACATCAGTTCTCCAGTCGGCATGTGTGGAGTGTCTCATCTTCATGTAAAAACCAGACAAGGGTATTTTAATAATAAAAAATTATAACAGTTTCATAATCTATTTCTTGATAATCTCCTAATAATTTTAAAATATGCAGTTTCATAAATTATTTATTTATTATTTATTACAGAGTAATTTTCATGAATTATTATTATTGTTATTATATATTATTATCGTTATTGTTACATAGTATTCTAATTATTACTATTATTTAAGTACAGTATTTAGTTTAATACCCGTATTAGTCGAGCGTACGCTGTACAGTATTTTAGGCGACTGGAGGAAAATGCGGTAAAAACCGTGTGATAATATATATTACTGTGCGGGCATGATAGACATCGGATATGAGTCGAATAATTAAAATACGAGTGTCATTAGAGCAGCCATTGATTTATTAATTATTTTCTATACTATGCTCGCATGGTCAGAGAGTACCGTGTAGATTTAATTCTGTCTGTTATTTCATGTTTATATTTATGATTAATAATTCACAATGAGAAACATTATCGTCAAAGAAAAACGCAGAACAACAACGACTATAGAATGAAGTTACCGGTGTATTATTAGGAAAAACACATGCGACGCTGCATTTTTGCAGCGTTTTCATGCACCCGCGTACAACATTCAGCATCATACAGATAACCTTCTAATTTCTATATACAGTACCAGTATACCGGTCAAACTGCCACCAAGCCAGATTATTAATTAATTCCTTTATCGCCAGCGAGACCAGCGGTTATGATGGTGATGACGCCGATTATTGCCGGCATAATATCCGTTGTTGTTGAAGCCGGTGTTGTAGTTGGTGGCCATGGTGGGTGTGCCGACGATGACAGCGTTGGGATCCAGGACGCCCAGGGTGCTGTAACTGCAGCCCGCCAGCGGCAGTGTCGAGCTCTGACCGTATTTGTATATTGATTTTCATTTTATTAAAAAAATTGTTCTATCCTTATTTAAAACTATCATTTAATAATGTTTTCTATTTTTGAATTATTTCTTAGTCCACTAGAACAGTGTATTTATTTCATATATTGTAATTATCTACATATTTTTTATATATTATTGTTACTGTATTGATATTTATGCTGTTTTGTAATTTGGCTATATACTCGTAAATATTTTTCTTATGAATTCCAATGTAAAGACACGATTTCGACAATCCGGTGGTCAACATGATGAATACGGAAGGTACCAAATAATGCACAAATTATTAATGGGTAATTAGTTTACGGTGATCGATGAGGATAATTCAACAGAAATTAGCTATGGCCTACAGAGTACAGTGATTATGGTATTGCTGGTTTTCGGTTAAAACAGCATGAAAATTTATTCCCACAACAACTTCACCGGTACATGTTTCTGTCAGACGGTAACCAATGAATTAAGTACTTATTATTTTCTTCGTATATAATACGTCGCATTTATATATGCATAGAGCGTTTAACTGTGAATTCTTTGGCTCAATTTCAGCGGCATTCCGGCACGTTTGGCGCCATACGAATCCCGAGTGTTTATTTGCACTGCCCGGTGCGTATTGTTATGGTTTCCCGAAATATGCGCACAAGGCTTTATCACGCGCGCATTATTCTTTGCGCTGGTCAGCATTATGTAAGATGGCGTCGCCGCGTTGCCGCATAAACAAAACACTCGCGGGAATAGCTAAACCGCCTTCTTACCGGACCCCGGCTCATGGAAAACACAGGTTATTAACCGTGAAAAAATTGTCGTTTTCTGGATAAAATTGTTACCGGCATATTACATAGCAATTTTTGGTATTTATTATCGCAGAACTAATTATAACTAATGCGCTAAAAATTTACTAGAAAACATAATAATTATTTTAATTAGAGCTGAATTACACTTCAGTTCGTCAATTACTTATTAAAAAAACAAAAAGAAATTAATTTTAATAAAATAAAGAAACCATAATAAAAATAGATAGGAAGCCCTCTGATGTTTTCGACTAATAAGTCAAACGCGCGGAATAATACACAGAACCGGTGCGGCTGCGTGTCGGCCGTGATGCCGGACGTCGGCGTCAGGTCGATGTCGGCGGGTGCCACGCCCTCCGGCAGCCGAATGTCGAAGCACTGCACGATGCCGCAAAACCGGATGAACAATTCGGCACGGGCCAACGCTTCACCCAGACAGCGTCGTCTTCCTGAAAACAAATAAACAAAATAAAGCAAAACCTATTAATTAAAGAATACATTTATGCTTTATAATTATTACAATAAATCTAAATAAAATAGTAAACAAAAGTTCCCATCGGTAGGCTATCGTGGGAAACACCGCGGATGCGTAGTCCGAACGGCATCAGATACTCCGACCGTCCGACGTCTGCACTTAACGCCGTCTTTTAAGAAACGCTCCGGGCGGAACCGCTCCGGCTCCTCCCACCAGGCGTCATTATGATGGACGAAGTAGATATTGGCTTGGATAATCGATCCTGTCGTTAAAAATAGATATAAAAAATAATAATGACAAATATAATAAAATACAATGAATAAATTTAAAAAAGTCATAAAGGTCACGGTTTGGGATACCTTTCGGGACGTCGTATCCTTCGATCTGGATGTCCTCACGGGCGCAATGGTCCACGCCCATAGGAACGACGCTGGCGTAGCGGTGCACCTCCATGAGGGTGGCCTCGACGTAGGGCGTGGCCAGTTTGTCCGAGGGCGTGGCGAATTCCCCGTTGGCGGCGTTAACGTGTCGGTCCAGTTCGGATTGGACGCGCTGCTGGATGTCCGGGTGCAGCGCCATCATTAGCAAGGCCTGCAACGCAGAAAGTTATAAAGGTCATGAGTTGCTCATTTAATTAGTTTTTGCCCGTTACCGAGCGCAGCGTTGTGGTCGTCTCGAAACCGGCTTCGAAGAGGTCTCCCAACAGCAGCGGAATTTCAGTCGCTACAAAATTCACAATCATCTACTTTGTAAGTAGATTTATTTTTAACTATTTTGTACTTGTATATTTAATTTAATTATTACTGAATCACTTGAACTGATGAAAAATTGTTCGCTAACGGTAGTTGCCGTTCTACACAACACCACAAGACAAAAATATGTATTTGTAACTATTTTGTACTAGTATATTTAATTTAATTATTCCTGAATCACTTGAACTGATGAAAAATTGTGTGCTATATAACGGTAATTGTCGTTCTAATTTTTGATTAAATTTTTAATTGCAATAATTATATTATCTTGTTTCAGTCAAATGCTAACTTTTTCGATGGAAAACTAATTTGCCTCATTAAAAAAAGTCCAAGTTAAGCCTTCGTAATTTCTTCGTAATTTTAGAACAAAATTCGATTAGAACTTTAAGCCATATAAATCTGTAAAGTTCTCAATTAAAACTGAATATTTATTTTTTGTAATTAAAATTTTAATGGCCTTAATTAAAGCAATTATCTTGATGTTTATTTACTGCTTAAAGTGGAATCTTGTCAGCTTTTCACTGCAGAAATATAACTCTAGATCTCCAGAAAATCGGAATTCAGATCGGGTGCAAAGTTATCGAGGTGCTCCTTCATCGGCCGACTGAAGAACGCATTCAATCCGTGCAAAATCTCCATGAATCGCCGGTACGTTTGCCGAATGGGCGGCACGTGCTGCAGTCCCGGCATCACAATCAGGATAATTTTTTTCATAGTAAACTCAAAATTCTTCTTAGTGTACTGCAGGAGCAGACGCAGTTGGGGGTCGTCCATCCCGTAGCGGGCGCCGCGGTGAGGACGCTGGCGATGACGTTGGCCACGCTGATGCTCAGCGGCACCTTCGTCTCCAACGGCCGCCCCTCCTGCGCCTTCAGAAAGGTCACCAACGCGCCGGCCTCCGCCACGATCTTCTCCTCCATCCGGAACTTCCCCACGCCGAAATCCCGGAACGTCGACAGGATGAAACGCCGGTGCTCCTTCCGCATTTCGCCGTCAGCGAAAACCACGTGATCTGAATTTAAATATTACTTCTATTTTTAGGTAACATTTTTTAAATAACGCTTATGTATTTTAAATAGGAAATCACTATAGGCACCCCCTTACACCCTCGTTTATTATAGGCACCCCTTCTCACACCCCGTAATTTGTACGGTGTTTTACCTCGGTTCCTTATTGAAGGAAATTTTTTAATTATATGGAATATACACATATACATATATATATATATATATATATATATATATATATATATATATATATATATATATATATATATATATATATATATATATATATATATATATATATGCATCGGTATCATCCAGTTCATAATGCCAGGCTTTCTCCCTGTGCCACCGATGATTCTCAACTGTATATTATGCGTTTCCCCTGCCGCCATATACTGGAGTACTATTTAGCTGTTTGCATGTTATGAATCAGAACATATATACATCAACTTTGTCTCGCGAGTATATAATTACCGGTATACGTAATTGTCACAAATTACAAAATAAATAATGTACAGTATGTATCTGAGCAATTATATTTATCGTTAGTTCCGCTCTTGTGTATTATACAGCCTGTAATGGAGATTGTTATGAAGTTTTCCGCTCGGTATCAGCAACTTCAAGTGAGTCGTGACTTCGAGGATTACAAGACCATCCGCCAGGATGCTCGGCCAAATAAGCGCTCAGGATCATCTGAAAATAAACGACCTTCTGGATGTTCTTACCAAGGAACCGAAAACGGATGCTCAACTCAAGAGGGTGAGCGAAATTCAAACCTTCAAATTTCCGCCCTCTTTCGCATCATACGAGTAGCATTTATGCGCGGCAATTATTTACGTTGCTTTGACATTGCAGATCCCGGCCAGCATTCCGCCAGTTCAGACCACGGGACATCCATGCCGCTTTATGCTGCGTTAAATGCCACTGCGGACTGGCTATCAAGTTTTGTTTCGGTTGTGCAACAATTCCGGCAAGCGCTTGGAATCTGAAACAGACAAACAGTAACACCACGGCCACTTCCTGAAAGAGACCAAATGTACATTGTTGACATTAACTGCTGAACCACTGTCGCAGATAAGCAACTGCAGCTGAGCTGCAGCACATTTGGCGAGCGGCAAAAGGTCACACGCGGTATCTTTGCCTGTTTGGATTATGTAAAAAATCAGATCTAGAGAGTTGAAGTATCGATAAAAATTTTGGGTATCGATGACGTTGATGCGTTGACAACAATCCTAGAACTTGGGAGTCTTGTCAAACTAGTACTCTGGCAACACGACCTCTAGTCGATCTGTATTAATTAGGGTTCTATGCATGGAAGTATCACAAAAATAATATTCGACAATCATATCAGCTCGAAAATTATTATTCGGCATATCTGTTTCGTGACGAAACTACAGAAAACTAACGTAAGCGTTTTCTATACTATCACTATAGCTGAACACTGATATTTATCCAACATTTCTGATTGTTTCTCCATAACGTAGATGCTTACCTAGACATGACCTCTGCTCCGTCGATCATCACTGATTGAAAACAACTGTCCACCGGCTCGAGCTATACTGGTATAGACGGCCTCGTACCCTTCTCACGCGAACTGAGGGAAATGCTGTACTTGGCTATCTTCATTTGAGTGACCGTGTCAGCAATCCTAATAAGTAACAACTGGATGGGTCGCGGCACGGCGATGATGAATGATTTCGTGAATTTAGGGATCGAAATAATCTCAGTGTACTGCTTAGATACCACCAAAAAAACAGAAAGCATGGCTGTACCGTAATAGCTGATCTCATCACTAACGCAAATAACGCATAATGTCTTAACTGTTAAATTAAAATTAATAAGAGGTTATTTCCTAACCAGCAAAACATGGGCGTCGCTGTTACTCGCTCGCACGGAATCATTAACTACTCAACGTTGTAGCCACTTCGGCTCAAGCCGGAACAGCAGCAGCGCTAGCCGAGCGGAACAAGACCGAGAAATATCGCAGCATTACCCAAGAGGCCAGAATGACTGGTTCTCCCCGTTGGGCTTCGAGACATATGGAACGTTTGGACCTAAATCCACTCACATGGTAAACGTACTTACAGGGTAGATGATTCAGCAGGTAACTGGCGATTGGCAAAGCACGAGAAACCGAATTTTTGCGTCAACAGATCAGCATCGAAATCCAGCGAGGAAACGCAGGAGCACCGGCGGCGAATTCAGACGAAGTTTTTTCTGTTATTCGACCGCCCTTGTTTATAGATGTACGTGGCTGCATAGCTCGTTGTCTTTCTGTTTGTATAAGATAAGTACTTCGCAATTTTGTTTACCGACATGCAGTGATAAAGTACAGTACCCGTTTATTTTAGTACACACTGGACAAGGATTACGAGCTACTGCAATGCCTCCAATATACATGCCTCCCATAATAGAGTAGTACTAAAGATTGCGCTGGTGCGGCACGATGTTTATGACCCCTCGCTTGTAACAAATATACGGCTGCAAGGTGCTTATTCCCGACGATCTGGAGAAGGAGATAACTGCACAGATATCAATCATTCAAGTGGTTTAAGTGGAAGCATATGCGGTACATCGTCTTTCCGCTACGTATCGCCGTTTCGGGCAGTCTTGATTGTGGGACATGGTGACGGTCTTGACAGGCAAATCCGCAAACGCAAACCATTTTCCCCTATTTTCTTAAACGCAGAAACTGTACAATCAACAGGAGTTGTACACGGTGAAGAATGTAACCGAATGTAACCGAGGAACGCAAAAATAATAATGCAGTAATAAAAAAACAGGAAGACACATCAACACTATCACACGTTGTCAGGGCCGGGCTGGGTAGCAGCTGTATGCATGATACTTTTCTGTATCCGCAGCACATTCGCACGGAACTGAGCAGCCCCACGCACGGCAGAAGCTCCGAGATAAATGCCGGGTGAAAATTCGTCGTCCAACCAATTGTAATTTTCCGCCACAGAAACCGACTGCAAGCCAGCCAATGCCGATTCTCTGTGCCAACGGGAATACACCAACATCCGCAGCTCCTGCAATCGCAACATTACACAGGCACCGGGCCAGGCCCACCGCCGATCGCGGTATTTGGCGATGGTTCTCGCTGATACGTAACCACTACCGACGGCTTGACGGGAATACCGAATTAGATCACGATAATCGGCCGCCACTTGCCACAGGATAATTAACGGGATTCTAATCTGCATCGCCTCGACCACTTCTGCGATGCAGTCCACCGGTGCGTATGCAAAACGTCCCTGCTGACGATCCGCGGCGGCTGTCGTGATGATTAGGGTTCTGGTGGATGATGTGACGCACTTGCCCAACGTGAAGGCTAACCGCCGTCTCGTGAAACGGCTGCGGGAGGTGTCCACCTCCAGATAAAGATGTAGCGCGGCAGTAATGACCGTAGCAAATACCGTGTCCCAGTCTCGACTGACTTGACGGCATTTCAGCTGCTGATTGACAGGAATGTACGAGAGCGAGTCTAGCACAAGGGCAAGAGGAAGAACGTGCCAGGGCACAACGCGGTCGTCTTTTATTACGGGAATGTCTTCCTAGGAAGGCATTAAATTAGTAAACCGATGGTAAGGTTTTTCATTAATTGAAAGATCAACCAAGTATTACACAATAAGGCGGGCTAGCCACAGCAGCAGCATTAATCGGACCATGAGAAGCCGTGCCCGAACATTTCGATTTACATGGAGAACATGTCGGCGTATAGTCATTTCTATTAAGGTATATATTATTAAGGCTCTCACATATATTTCTCAGGTTTTTCCGAGATTTCGAAGCTTTTTTCGTGTTTCCTGTATTGCAGTACAAGTACTTATGGAGTGAGTTATGGTTAACGGACAATAAGTATCCGTACCTATTGCTAACCAACATCGTTGGTAGCTTATGTATCTGTGTTGCCAGTGGTCCAGTACGTACCGACTCAATAACAATACTGAAATATTGCAATTTGGAAATGCTCTTATTGAGAAATGGTAGCGCGCCAGAAAATTGATCAGTCTAAAAACGAAAATATTCTACCTTAACACTCGGGAAGATCACTTCATCGCAGCCGAGTCTGCGTCGTTTTTGCTTTTTTTGCCCGGCGTCAACCTTCAAGTTTTGTCTCTCCGGTTGGTTGTTCAACACACGCTTCACGCGAATGATAAAATCGCTCTGCAGAAGAAATGGTAAACTTTGGTTAAAACTTAAAACCAAGCAAGAGAGTGAAGACACGAACAGAGAAAATGCAAAGAAAATTAAGATCGGTTAGTACTTATTAGGCATAACCTATGCTTATGCCGCATAAGCCTATGAGATTTAAAAAGGATTCTTTACTGTTATTACTAACTAACAAGTGAATATATATATTTTTTTATATAACTATGCATATTTCAGTAGCTCCACAGAGACAGGTAAAACATTACTGTATTACTAGTAAGTACCCACACACTGCGATTCTTCAAATGCCTTTTTCTCGGTCGATATGTAGCGTATCACCAGGGTTTCAGCCAGCAAACTGGTATGGACAAGTACAGACTTTGTCAAACAACTCCACACTGGACGAAACCCCTTCCTCTCTGTCAGTTTGAACAGTACGGATTCATTTGGAATCTTCACTAGATGCTGGCGAAAGCACACATTTTTTCTGGGGTATGGATCACAGTATGTAATGGTATCTGTAGGCAATTTCTTAGTCAGCTGACACAACGGCTCCGCTCCGCAAATTGTTCCACAGGGTACAACATCCCGAAAATCGTCCCCGTCAGCGTACACCCCCACCAACGCCGATGTACGCTCTTTTTCCCAATATGTGTCCTTGACCAGAGCGAGCAGCTGGGCGGAGTACCAGCACCACGGCTGATCAGGTTGACGTTTAAGGAGGACGCGAACAGGCTGACCCACAGGGAGTGGGTCTAACTTTTGCAACGCTACACAGTTAGCTACAGGGACACGCTCAGCATGGTGATCGGGGTAGTCGAAATCCACGATAAAGTCCCCTCCGTCTGCCACCAGATCGACGATCATGCCGTGACGAATCCGTCTGCTGTCGTCAATTACGTCCACAACGCCGTAGCGCCAAACGTTATTTTTGAACATGTCGAACTTTGAGCTGGAGTTTATCGCCAGGACTACAAAATTGTGCACAACTTATCCAAATATGATGTTCATAGATAACAGATTTACATAGATACACCGTCATTAGAGCTGGGCGCAGGGCAGGGATCCTGTCCTGAACCTGCAGGATCCTGTCCCTGCAGGACAGTTTCAGGGTAAAATGCTGACCTGAAATTTGTTTCAGGTTCAGGTTCAGGGCAATTAAACTCCCTGAAAGTTCAGGGACAGGGCGTACCTTAGTCCTGCAGGAATCCTGAATTTTTCAAAAAAATTGCAGTTATCGGAATTTCAAAGTTGCGAAAGTAAAACATGGCGCCCGCAAGTAGACAATTGCGGGTGATGGCCCTAAAAAGTGCATAAAGCGCTAAAAAGCGCAGAAAAACTCGCTACCTCATTACACTACACTACGAAATGCGTGCTTAGCTCGTTTCGCTACTGGCTTCGTATCGTCTTTCAAATGTGCAGATGCGGAAAAAATTATACAAGTACATTTTAAGTTATTTAACTCAAACACGCTCAGGATTTCAGGTCAGGCTCAGGGTGAACACTTTCAGGCTCAGGACAGGTTCAGGTAGATCACCAAGGTGAGTTTCAGGGACAGGACAGGTTCAGGGAGGGAAAAATTGAAAAAGTACAGGTTCAGGGCAATCTAACCGTCCTGTTCCCAGCCCTAACCGTCATACACGATAAAAGTTACATACCTAGATAATAGCTATTTACTATATTCTCAGAGGATATAGATTTACTATATCTTCTTAGAATTGACTGTAAATGTTTACGGTGAAAGAAACAAATCAGTTTGCGACTTTATGTACAACTACAAAGTATGTACGTCGTATGGCGACGTATGCTTTCACTTCGTTTAATACTCGTAGTAAATTATGCTTTCTGTTGGACAGCGCTATAGCCAGCGACTTCACATTCGAGTGTATTAATACGACCGGAAGATGGCGGAAGTCTTATAGCTACTCACTCGAGCAGCCTTTAATTTGTTTGAGCGCCACACGTAGGCGGTGGGCGCCACACTGGTGAAGTCGCTGAACGCGCAATCTTTACCGCCGGCCACTGTTCAGGGAGCATGCGCGAGCGTTATCTTATTGCACAATATAGAGATGGATATTAACCAATTCTAGAGTATGCTTACATAATTATTTATTTAATGAACTAAGGTACCAAGATAATCAGATTCGGGGGTAGGCTCTCAGTTGGTCATATCGAATGATCAGCTAGGTGCACCGTCCGTACGTATGACCTTTTCGATTCCCATCGACATCATTTGTTTCGTTTTCCGCTTGCCGGTAATTTCTTAGTTTCTGTCGAAATATAATTATATCGCGTTTTTAAAAAGGAATCTGTGTTGAACATATTGTGGTTTGTCATTGAAAATTTTTGGCCATACATTTTCAGGAACTGCAATTAATTTCCACCAAAACTTCCCACGTTTTGTGATTATGGGCATCCTGCTAAATTCGTTCATCCCGATTTCTTAGAAAAAAGTACTGATGTCTACTGCACGTGATGCCTTATCCTAATTAGTATAGTAATATGGAGCACTTAATATTTTACGAAACGATTGACAGTTAACGTAAAGTACCGTAGTACTTAGCAAGTATAACTTTTAAAACTGCTTTCGTTTTCTAATACGCTTTCTTACCATCTACCGTCCCCGGTTGAAACTTGACTGTTACGTAGTTGTTGTTTGAATTGCCAAGTACTGTACCTGTATTTTATGAAATAAAGCTCGTTAGTACTGTACCAATATAAAAAGCTGTAACATCCTTATTAAGCTAAATGCATGCACTGGCTCATGCCGGTTTCATCATGGGTCCAGAAAAGCGTAGAAACACTTTGCTGATTAATGCATTGAAACATGCGTGCAGTTTATTTGGTGCGTTCGAAAGCACCTTACACGAAATTAACAAATGCAACCGCATTAGGGTAATTAGATAGTCACTGTCGTAGTGTCCTCAAAAGGGTGTATTCCGTAACAGCACTGGCGAAATGGTCGCCTAATATTATTATCATAATTTAGATCCGCAACGCTGCGAGTTATGCGCAAAATATCATGGCTAAAAATATTCCATGAAACGTGACTGTACCAGTAATACATCCATGAATTATCAACCGTCGACACCCACCAGGCACAACCCAAATGCCGGAAGTCCCTAAACGCGTGGGTCACGTCTTCTTTCGAGGAGTTGGCCGGAGTCAGGAGCACCATTTCCGCCAACAGCAATGTGTCACAGAGGGCACCCCATGACCAGGTTGACTGTTGCGCTATTTGCCGGTGTGAAGGGCCTTCCGGAAGAACATCCCGGTAATCAGCGCTCATGTACGAGAGGACCAACATGCGCACTTTTATCTGCATGGCGGTTAACATCAACGCCACGATGTGCACCAGATCACGTGCACGATGCTGGCGCCGATGCGAGGGAACGGTGATGATCAGCACTTTGGTGGAAGCGGATACGAAGTGAAATAGTTTCCGGGCTAATGTCGTCTTCATGCTGGGAGAATCCGTCTCCGTCTCGATGCATGCGGAGGAGGAGGTGCAGCGGACGATGGCGTCCCAGTCGCGGCAGATGCGCCGGCATGGTGCCAGCCGATCCGCAGTAAGGTACGACAATATGTCCGCTGTGAGTTCGAGAGGGATATGTGAAAAGGGCATGTCTGCACAGTGGTTGTATTGCAGTTGATCATTTCTTGCAGCAAAACCGGAAACCTGGAGATATACACCAAATGTACTTGTACTGGTGTCTTGATCATGATTCATGATTACTTGCATTAGTTAATTACTTGCTGTTGCATGATCTTATGACTTATGATAGTCATGTTCGGCGCTCAGATAAGTGACTAAGTGCAAAAGCAGCACAAAGTGCCCAACAAGTGTGTAACTAAGTGCACATAGTTTATGCTTTTCAACTGACAAATCATCTGCTAATATTCGCATAGTGCATAATACGGATGTACTAGTTCTGAACTTGAGAATTTTTGAACTGAATTTTACCGACTACAAGAAGCCTAGAGCATACGCTTACCACGAGCGAGTGCGAAGAATGACCAGCAAGGAGGACGGCGTGCATAGGAAGGCCTCCTAGTATATTCGTGCGGGAATTCCGTCTTTTCTGGCGTTTTTTTGGCACTGCATCCACGTCGTGTGCGCTAACTAGATTTTCTTCGTGTCTCCTTTGTTGAGAGCGCAGTATGCGATTTACCAACCGCATGGATTTCCTCTGGACAACAGAAACATAAATGTAATGTCTTAGTTTTACAGTATTGCCATTTCTGGCAAATGAATACTAGTATACTCGTAGATTTTGATACTAACCATAACTATTTACTCAGTGGTTGGAAATTATATATGTAAATAACAATGTAATAATGATATACCGTATTTTACCAATTATACAGTGACCTGGGTCGCTAATACAATATTTGATACCGTATTACCAAATATACAGTGACCTTGGTCCTAGATTTTGATACTAACCATAAGTAATTACTCAGTGGTTTGGTTTGGATAGAGATTTTGGTTGTTTTTTTAATGTTTAAATTTTAACTGTAAAGTAGTGTGCCCGCGCTACTCAGTGGTTGAAAGTTCTAATTATGTAAATAATGATGTAGTCATGACATACCGTATTTAACCAGACTTATGCAGTGACCTGGGTCGCTCTTTCTTTGTAATTGTAAAGGTTTTGGAGAGCTATAATATATGAGAGCTTCGCAGAAGTTTTATCTTAATCTAATGCTCGGAAGAGAAAATTGTATATCATTGCATTACGTAAAATAACCATAGGCAAACTTCTACGATTGCAATAGAAGTTTTACGTTTACTTTTACGTAAATACGTGTTTACTTTGGCAGGTTCGTATGTGGGTAATTAAACCGATAAGGACATGATGTGATATTGATAACTATAATTATTTCGTGGTGGGTTTCTAAATTGGGACGTGTTACTAATTGGCAAATAATGCGATAATTCGTGCAGCTGTTCTACGCGATTATTCCGTAGAAATACAAGTTCCTTGTACAAGTTCCTACTAAGTATTTGGGCAACAATACGATCACTTACGCAATTCTCAGCGGTCATTTCAATGTCAGGCTTCTGCTCACTGCAGATTGAAATGTAACACAGCGTGACCCTGTCCGGCATCACATCAACACGGACAAAAATGGTTTCTGTCACGTGATTCCAAGTGTCCCGGAATCCCGGTGTCCTAGTCAATTTCCTGGCACTGCGACCAGTTAACTCCACCTGATGTATGCGGAAATTGAAATTAAAGGGATACTCGTCATAAAGTCGATGCGGATAAGCAGTCCGCAACCATCGATTGGCCAGGGTCGATTCTATTCGCTGAACTCTGCCAGAATCGACAAATTCCCGAGTGGTCTTCCCGTCCATTACCACTTCCACCAGGGCACATGAGGCAGCTTGGCGATCGATAACTTTTACAAGTTGCTGACCAGGATACCAGTACCACGGTTGATCGGGGTGGCGCTGCAGCAGGACATGGACATTTCGCTCGTAATCAAATTCAGTTATAACGCGAGATTTCTGATATGATGCCGATGGGCCGTCGGCGATCCTGGCGTCATGCTGGAATGCCACATTACAATTGATTGGAACACGCTCGGCTCGGTGATTCGGGTAGTCGAAATCCACAACGGGATCGCCACGCTCCGGCTCCAGATCGACAATCATCCCATGACGTATCAGTCCGTTGTTGTCCTTCACGTCTACAATGCCGTAGCGCCAAACGTTGCTTTTGAACATAATTGTGCATACACTACTAGTACTAGTGCATACAGTTTTCTGAGATATTTTTTAGCGAAACCAGAATTTAGTATGTGCCTATTGTGGATGTATAAAACGGATTGATACATAGAATCACAGAAATGATAACCACTGATTTACAGTAAACTGGTCTAATTTTCTGCAATGCGTACAAGAGCAGATCAGATACGGTCGCCAAAAATCCATGGAAAGTGGAAAGCATTCGATCACATTCTCTTGCGGTGGTCTAGAAAGGAAAGATATATTTTTACGCAGGCGCTGCACGGTTGAAACGGGCAAGCCTAATATAACATTTGGCAGACGTAGTCTGTCTATATATTATATTAGTATAGGATCCAACGTGTAACTGAAAGGTTACTGAAAGGTCAGGATGATTCTCTCTGTTCTGAGCTTTTGCGTCTGTCTATCCTCTAACGGGGAAAAGATGGAAAGTAAAGGACACTAAAGGTTAGCCTCAATCCTGCCTGTTCAGCTGCCGATTTTCTGTCGGATTCCCATTCGAAGAGATGCTGTACAATGTACTGGTGCAGCATCTCTTCGAATGGAATCCGACAGAGATACTAATAGATGCATCTTTGCGATACATGTACAGTGTACATGTATCGCAAAGCTGAACTATAGACTGTCGGTATTCCAGCACCAGTATCAGTGGATGACTCCCCTCATTCTCCATTCTATGTATCGGCGCTCAGAAAAAAATCATTGAACTAGAACACTTAATTGCTCATTTCCCAGGACAAGAATGCAGTGTCCAGGCTGAGCAGGAGAATATGAAATGAAAAGGAATGCAGGTCAAGAAAACGTATTGCTGTACATCAGAATTGTTCAGACATTCCCAAATTCTAGAAATTCCACGTTAGATTAATTTGGACAACTCGTACGCAGAGTCGCAGATAACGCATTGTTCCGATTTGACTAGCATCAATGAAATTCAAATTTTCATTACGCTAATAACAAATTCTCTTGCACGGCTGCAGTATTTTGGCTTTTGTCGCATTTATTCTTAATCAATCCACGCGCCTGCGTAAGGCTTCCGTAGGAAGCGTTCCGAAGGAGTTTCAGAGAAGAGACTGGGCAGAGACGATGCGATGCGGTAGCTAAACAAGGCAATAAAACTTGCTCCCCTAAACGCTGCATTAGAAGGCCTACTTCGTCACTATGCCACCTGCTACGTGTCTGCATTCTTATTCCCACGAAAATATCCTTATTAGCGTCTGGAATTTTGCCATACAAAGCGCATTTGGTTGCATAATACCGTAGCGCAAATAGATACGTGCACTCGTCATAACAGTCCGTGATCACTGATATTTAACTACAGCAGCGGTGATTGCTATCCTGTTAATTATTATCTACAAAGTACAAATGCACTTAAGCCACCGCGCGCTATAAAAATGTAAAAAAATATACATAACTATATGTACATAAAAAAATACATAATAAAATGTACATACATAACCCTTACTACGTAGAAAAAAAAATTGTGTAAAGTGTACGGTGGCCAGTGTACACGTAGACGGGAAGTACAGACTACAGAAGTACATCCAAAATTGAAATTATCGGTGACCTTAATAGTTTAATACCACTCCCGCTCAAAAACTGCTCACCAATAACGGATCGTTCATACTCGTAATCCGGAAATGGTCACACGTTCGAGCCAGCAGAATTCACCACTTATATCTAAGAAATTACCACTAACTTTTCAAAAAAACTCCTTCGGAATGTTTCCTAGTGCGGAAACCTTACGTAGGCATGTGGACTGATTAGGAACAAATGTGGAAAATTTTAGGAACAAATGGATCTACGAAAGCCCGCCCTGCCATGAACACAACGCATTGACATTTTCGGATTATTTTAAGATTAATTATCATCCGAAAGTCGGAAACCAACAGATGAACACATGACCCACAATAACGTTTCTTATTATTATCTCTTAGGCCCAAAAAGTAAGAATACAACGCCTTGGAAAACCTGATGCTGAAAATCCGCTATCAAAACAAGAAAAACACTTTCCACTCAAAAAGATCTGACCCCCACCTCAAGTGCAAGCAAGCTGAGAATGACACGAATGCAACGACGATTTAACAAGATGTCTTGGTCATATTCATGACGCTTCTCCGCAGCCGCAACACTGTAGACCGCATGTTAAATTCACCTACAAACCCCTTAGGAAGCTCGTTCTTCAACCACAAGATGTCTTTTACATGGCGAAATTCTTGCAGACTGGTTAGCACATCTCCTTCCGAGCATTTCTCACTTATCACAAGGAAAACTTCTGCCAGGATCAACTTCCGGCACAGGGCCCGCCACGACCAAGAAGGCAACAAATTTCGTGCCGGGGGCGCAGGCAGCACATCGCGGTAATTAGCACTCATGTGTGCCAGGACAATCACGCGCACTGTGGCATTCATCACGGCCAGCATTGTGGCCACCAGGGGAACGATGTTATTGGCTGGCGGATAGATTAAACGGTCAAGCTGGAACACGGTCAGCACACGCACGGTGGTCGTAGTGCAGACTGTTTTGTAAAGTGCCCATGCTAGCGCTGTTCGCATGCGCGGAGACGCTGCATTAATTTCGATGCGGACCGAGGAGGAGCACGTGATGATGGTGTCCCAGTTGCGGCAGACGCGGCGGCATCGTGTCCGCCTTTCCGCGGAGAGATAGTCCAGGGTTTCCGTCAGGAGTTCGGGAGGCAAATGCGACAGCGCTGCAGTGTCGTTTTCGAAATCACCAGCCTAAGTCACATACAACAGTTCAAACATGTCCGTGAAATCAAATTAACGAATTTATAAAAAATCCTCAGAAATTAAAAGCGGCAAATCGTGAAACCAAAGACTCCAGAGTCACGGATATTTGAAACATTTTACGGGACAAACTCGAGTGACGTTCTTCGGCTTCGGCTACAGGATAAGTACGCAGGGATGCAGCGTTTTATTCCATTTTACTATTTTCTAATGTATGCACATGTGCGTTAAAATAAAATAATTTTCAAGTACGTTCCGAAGAAAACTGTCCAGTATTTGGACAACAACGCGACATCTTTGTAGGAGTGTACATACGCTGCCCAAGACCATACCTGTGTTTGAGGGAGGATTTCGCCTGGGTTGGCAAGTTTCATTCTCTGTCGTTTTTCTTCCTCGTCTTTCTGATCATAATCTCTCACACGTTTCTCGCGTTTTCTTTTATGATAACCCAGTAAAGAGTCCAACTTTAGCAGCACTTTCAACTGCAATTAACAACGAGCAGCTGCATTAGATTAGTATTGTTTACTTACGCATTCGGCACTCCCATATTCAAAACAGAAAATTTAATTCAAATCGCAAAAAGAAACTTTAACGATAGACTGATAAAATAGTGTACATTTATCAATTCATTTAGTACTAATATTCTACTCGTATTTCAAAGTTTCTGTTAGCTTTCCATTTCCCTTCAGTTTAAATATTTTGCAATCACAAATGCGTAGCACGCAGGGCTTCTTATACTATTGAAACGTTTCAAATAAAAAATACAACCAAAACTTTTTTACCAATTACTTACACAATCGTCCGCGGTAAGCTCATGTTTGTGTTTTGACGCCGTTACATAATGCATAAATAACTGCAGGTCCGGCAGCACTTCAGCCCGCACAAACATCGTGCTCGTTAACTTATTCCATGTTTCCCGAAATCCCGGCGTCTCCGCCAAGTAGCGTATTCCAGGATAAAAGTTGGTCTTAACGCGATGTTTCCGAAAATGAATATTCTGCCGGGGAAATTCATCGTGGAACCGAGCCGACCTAGAGCCGCGTAACGACTTATTTGTCAGACAGTACTCCGTCGCGACCTGAATTCGATTCGCATCCACGAATTCAAATATGGTTTCCCCGTCGATAACGCATCTAACAAGAGAATGGGGGTTCAAGCGGCTGGAATCAGCGATTTGGAGACAAATTTCCCCAGGATACCAGGACCATGGTTGGTCTGGGCTGCGCTGATGGAGAATCTGCACCTGCTGTCCGATAGCAGGCTTGTCCACATACGGCCCTTTTTTAAACTTCTGTTGGAAGGCTACACAAATGCTCAGGGGAACACGGTCAGCGTGATGGCCAGGGTAGTCAAAATCCACAAGGAGATCGCCGCCGTCTTCGACCAGATCAACGATTATTCCATGGCGAACCAGTCCGTAGCCGTCCCTTACATCCACGACGCCATAACACCAGACATTTTTCTGAAACATTGCTAGCGGCCTCCGTCAATATGGATAACGTATCTACAAATTTTAAGGTACGGTTTTCCTTCACATTTGTAAATTAGGGTAAAAGGACGAAATCGGAAAAGACAAGAGAAAGAAGGCTTTCTATTTCTGACTATTTTTTGGCAGTCTTTTGCACCACTATACGGCGTACTGTTTTATCCACTTTACAATAAGTCAACAGGTGGTCGCCGGCCGGAGGTGGCAGCTCTCACCAACGACTACCGCCTCGATGCGTCGGCCATGTGGCCCATCACAAGCACTGATCGGCCATTGGTCAGACAACCGGAAATAACACGCTGTTGCCAACTGGTTGGTGGTTAGTCGATCCGATTGAAGTGCTAAGGCTGCCACCACCGGTTCACCCCAATCAAAGCATATGTACAGAGTACAGAAAATTTTCTCTTGCTTTCGTAATGCCAAAATACTGGATTGTTTTGTTTGTTTGTAAGTTTTCTTACTCGCCTTTTGTCTTGTTTTGCTTTCTTTAAATTTGCAAGTAGTAATTTTTTAATTGTGCGCTCAGCTGCGCGGGAAACCTGAACCCTAAATCCTCAAATGCATGCAGCAAACTGAACTGTGTCATTCTAATACAGTGCAAGCATTTCGTTAAGATGTTCAAAAATAATATCTGGCGTTATGGTGTCGTGGACGTGAAGGGCGATGACGGATTAGTTCGCCACGGAATGATTGTTGACCTAGTGGAGAACGGAGGGGATTTCATTGTGGATTTTGACTATCCCGATCATCATGCCGACCGCATCCCTATCAGCAGTTGTGTAGTGCTTCGAAAAATTCGAAATAGGGACTTCAAAAAAGGGACTGATGTTGTAATCCTTAATCAAATCAACCGAAATCAGCCGTGGTGCTGGTATGCAGGGAAGCTACTCGTGACAGTAAACGATTACAATGCCCGCGGTAAACTCTATCACGCTTTGGTGGAAATTGACATCAATGGCGAAAAAGTGCAAAAATTCGTTAACTGCGATGAAATTCAAGTTGCTCGTGACTGGATCCCTCTGGCCGCGAAATCACAGGTCGTAGGGCGCTCGAAAAAAGTCTGTGACAAATTTCCAAAGCGGGATCTTTATTTTCGTAAGCATCTCACGAGACTCGCCTATCAGCCAGCTGCACCCGAAGAAATTAATCGGCCAGAATTTCGGGATCTGTGGAATCGTGTGACGGAGTCTGTTTTAGTTGGTGTTAATGTGTTGAATGATGCGCTGATTGTTTCTTGCATTTCATCGGCGGAACCACTGTATGCGACTCAAAACGTATGTACGAGTACTTACACCCTTATTGGCTTCCAGTTTCCAAAATATATAATGAAATGTTGCTGATTTTGTACACACGAGGGATTACACACACTCGTATAAACACTTAGAAACTTACAGTAGTTATGTTTTTTTTTATTCGCGCTGTATTCTGTGGACTATGTATGTCGAGACTGTGAATAAGTTACAAGTGTGCACAAATCTTGTATGTATATAAAAATTCAACACTCTGCATACTGCAGAAGTAAAGTGTACCGTATCTTGCACATAAATATGAAGGATTAGTGATTAGGTACTTTTCTATGCACCTTATAGAAGGCTGGTAGTATCTGCACATTGCAAAAATTGGCGGCCCAATGCCCTTGCCACCTTCCAGTGCTATCCGAGCAGTGGAAGTATATCGGGAATATCGAGTATGTGTTTGCGTTTCTAAAAGTGTACGTATTTAATTGTCATTATAGTGATATGATAATATACGATATCATGTTTTATTTTTGCTATCAGGGAAAACAACTCCTCCGAGTAGAACTGGAATTAACCAACTATGGTAAGAAACTGCTATGGAAACGCAAGAGGGAAACTGATGACCGCGGTGCAGAGTGGACAGGAAGTGAACACAACGTTGCATCCGTAAAGCAAGATGCTAAAGCGATGCAAAGGAAAACTCAGTCTATGGTAAATGTTGCGATACAACAGATCCCTTCTCTCCATATTATCTCTCGGAACACCCTGCAGTCGGCAACTGCGGTGTATTTTGGCGTACGAATTGCTGACGAAGTATACACCTATATATGCAGATATTTTTCTTACTACTGCAGATCCTAGATGCAGCCTACATGCCTGTGGAGACTAGTATTCCCTGGTCCCATTTACCACTGGAACTCGTATTCGAAACACTGTCCTATCTGTCCATCGAGAAGCAAATGCGGTTGCGTCGGGTGTGCCGCAGCTGGACCAACGTACCTCCGGCGGCATTTACACATTTCTTCGTCGAAGTTGATCCTGGTGCGTCCTGCCCTCGAGCCAAACTAGCAACGACGTTGCATAAGACCGTCCGGGCGAGCACGAGAGTCCTGCTCATCACTGCCCCTGCACAACTCCGACGGGACGGAAGTTGTCCTTTATACGTCTTACACACCATAGCGGGAATGTTGGTGGGGATGCAGATCTGCGTGCCGGTTATTATCCTGTCACATTTACGCGCTACTTACTGGGATCTGCGAACACCTGATGCTACGGACAAGCGGGATCGGCTGCCATGGCGCGCTGTCTGTCAAAAGCTGGTGCTCCTTGAAGTGAAGGTCAACATGTCGTCGTGGGAAGCGGACATGGAAGGCTGTAAACTGCAAGAGATGCTGTTTTTCCCTCAACTACTCACTTTCACCCAGGTGACGGGAACCTTTTGGTTTCATCCCTATTCCAATGAAGGTCTGCATGTGGTCAAAAGTTTCATATACACCATGCAGAACCCTCTTTTGCAGTAGACTTAAAATACCGCAACATACATGTCCTTCCCAAATACGGCTGACAGACTATCCATATTTTCTACTTGTTACCTTTTGTTTGCATGGCGGAGTAATGTAGGTGTGTTCTCGTTGCTTTATGGCAAACGGTGCCAATCGGGTACGATGTAACAACAACCGAAACATCATCTATGGGGGGTTTGTGTTGTAGACAGTAGACCTAATCGACAATCACCTTTCAAAATTTGGTAATGCACTAACACCGGTACCTCCTTTCACCTACATACTTCGAAATAAAGTCTGATAGTATTTTTAAAGCAAATTTACTGCGGTGTAACCGTGTAAAATGATAAGCTGGGTTTTTCTCCATTTGGTTCTGGAAATAGTTCCGTGACAGTGAAATCTGACTGGTTGGCCCCGATATTGATGGATTTAGCTAGAATAGAGGAGGCTTACAATTAGGGAAGTTGCAGAGATCTCCAGGTGGTAATTTTTTTATCCTCTAATTTTTTTCTCAATTTCCACTAGAAAGAAGTAGCACTAAGCACCTCCGGGCGCCTACCCTGGCCACAGGTGACCAGTGTGACATGTCAAGCACTTCCGCCCGTGTGTAGCAAGTTTTTAGAGTAATACAATTCTATTGCTTGTGTTTTGAATTCTCCGAGCAATCTGCGGTTTACCGTTTACGTATGTACTGCAACAAAGTCTGGCTGTCTTAAAGTATTTATTCACTGTTTACTCGCACTCGATCACAAACTCCATAGAAAGCAGTATCCAAAGCAATAGGCTAATCCAGAATTTAATTATCCTATCTGACACCAACAGCAGAAACAATTGACCGCACGCCGCGATGTCCACTCGACGCCACAATCTGGCTGTTAAAATTAATACTGTCGTCACCGTCAATAATACTGCAAGAATACAGAGACATCAACCTGAATAATGGATATCTGCTGTGAAAAGGCGAAACACCTAAAAGACCTGAACACCCGGCGTACGTACAAACAAGGCAAGAAAAACGAATGCTACAACGGCCTAACAAGAAGTTTCGGTCATATTCATAACGCTCTTTCTAAGCCGCAATATTTCAGACTTTCCGGAATCAACACGATTGTAGTACTCCCGAGTAATCCGATGAGCATCCGTCCTGCACCACAATGGGGCAATCAGATGACGAAATCCCTGTAGATCTGTCAGGACCTCGTCTAGCGAGCATCTCTCCGGCATCACGAGAGCCACATCCGCCAGCACCAACTTCCGACATACTGCGCGCCATGACCAAACAGGCTGGCGCTCTCGTGGCGGGGGTGCAGGTCGCACATCCCGATACTCCACGCTCAAGTGGGTCAGAACAATCACCGGCACCGTGACCTTCATCGCGGATAGCATGGCGGCCACCTCCGGCACGATGTTTTCCCAAAAGGTCGTGCAGACATATTGGGCAAAGGTTAGGACACGCACGTTGGAGGCAGTACTAAAGGTTTTGTAGAGGGCCCACGCTAATGCGATGCGCGCACGCGTTGGCGCTGCATCAATTTCGATGCGGACCGAGGAAGAACACGTGACGATGTTGTCCCATCCGCTGCAGACTCGGCGACACCTTGTTCGCCTTTCGGCGCAGAGATATCCAAGTATTTCCGTCAGTAGTTCGGGAGGCAAATGCGATAATCCAGTGCTTGAGCAGTCGTTTCCCGAGTCGACGTCCTAATTGAGTGCAAACAATGATCAGTGCAGCAGAAATAAGAATAAAATTCAATAAGATTACAATAATAATAACAATAAGGTAAGCAACAAGATTTCATAAATTTCTCAGCATGTCGAAACCGAAATAAAAAAAACATTGAAACCCAGTAACTACCAATACGCTTCAATCCGCTTTGCAAAACTGCGGAACTGCGAATCAGAACCACTTCAGATCTCATAAGCTCGTATAGTAAAACATTTTTTGGGTGGTTTGCATTGAACGATTGCGAGGTACTTATACTGATGCGGGAGTTGACCTAAAGTTACGCCACGACATACCTCTGTTCGGGAAACGATTTGGCCAGGGTCTTCATTTTTTAGTTTCTGTGGCTTGTCTTTGTCGTCCTGATCATATTCTCTCACACGTTTCTGCCGTCTCTTTTCATGGTAGCCGAATAAAAACTCCAACTTCCGTAGCACTTTTAACTGGAGACAACAACAAATTTTCATTATTAATACTACGCACTACGAACAAAAACTTAATGCAAGACATTGCAACATGCACTATATGCAGTATATACTGTACATTTATACTGCACTAGTGTAGTTTTAATTCGTAGCAATAGTACGGCTGCTCGCAATCGCTCGCAATCGCAGTAGCAACGTAACAAACAATCAGAAAGAAACCAGAAAGGCTTTTCTAATTTTTCACTAACTTTTTCACTTACACAATCTTCTTCGGCTATTTCACGTTTAAATTTCGATGACGTTATGTAATGAATAATCAGTTGCCGGTCAGGACCTTCAGGCAGCACTTCAATCCGAACAAACATCGTGTTCGTCAATTTATTCCATGTGTCCCGAAATCTCGCTGTGTCCACCAACTGGCATATCCCAGGATAAAACTTCGTTCCAAGTCGGTATTTCCGAAAACGCAGATTTTGTCGGGGAAATTTATCGTGGAACTGTGACGAGCGTGCGACGCGTAGCGACTTGTCTGTCAGGGAACATTCCGTCGCCACCTGGATTCGATGAGAATCCACGAATGAGCAACAGGCACGTGCATGCGGGCACAGTACTGAACATGTGCGCAGAATGTTTCAGAAGAGAGATAGCAGCGGCGCAAGTGTTGTACAGGGAATCTCTCAGGCCCGCCTGCACCTGACTATTGCTTATTCCAAAGTTGCCTCTCCATCGATAACCACTTTCACAAGAGAGTGGGCGTGCATATAGCCCTCTCCCAGACTGTGATCGTCGACTTGCACAAGCAACTGGCCTGGATACCAGCACCATGGCTGATCCGGGCTACGTTGATGAAGAACTTGCACAGCTTGTCCGATTGAAGGCTTACGGTTACCCCGGTAAAGAGCGTAATGGAATTCCTGTTGGAAGGCCACACAGCTATCGAGGGGCACATGGTCAGCGTGGTGGCCATCGTAATCAAAATCGACAATCAGATCTCCGCCGTCCTCCACTAAATCAACGATTACTCCATGACGAACCAGTCCGTTGCAGGCGTTGCTGTCCTTAACGTCCACGACGCCATAACGCCAGACATCCTTCTTGAACATAATGCTATGGTTTCTTTATATGAATCACAGTTTTTCACGATTTTCAAAACGTTGTCACATGGGGGATAGGAGCAGGGTGTGAAAATAAACAAAAGCATCTCAGACTCAAAATGACCACGAAAAAGTCTGAATTCTGAAAGACAAGACAAGACCAAAAGTCAACAGAAACTGGAAAAGCCCTGAAAGGTCACCTGAGCCTGTAGTCCACGAGGTAGCAGTTTTCTAATCAGTGACTACCGCCTCCATGCGCCGGTCAGAAGTCACAATATCACTTCCGTCCGTTGGTCACCGGAAATAATAACCTGTTGGTGGTTATCCGGGCCCGCTAAGAGCGATATCTTTATTTGCTTCAAATTGTTTCCAAAATCTGCAAAGCTTATGAATCGGATTATGAATTCCCCATTTACAGTGATTTACTTTGCTTTTTTGAAATTATCGAGACAGTGTGAATTTTGGTATGTGTGAAGTGTGTACAATACACTGCAGCCGTATGGTGCGCTTCCGGTCCGTCGCCGTACGGCTTATGTTACGCCGTAGTTCTCATGCCGGGGACATGCCAACTTCGTGTAAATTTAAAATTCCGTAGAGCGACGTACTGGGTTCAGACGTTACATGTTGAAATTTCGACTAACTAAAATCTCAAGGGACAGCTGCCGAACTGATTTTTGTCTTAACAATGTTCAACCACAACATTTAGCGACGACGACGGATTAGTTCGTCATGCGGACTAATTGTTGAGGATCGAGGAAATTAATTGTCGATTTTGACCATCCCAATCACCGTACCCCATCAGAAGCTGTGCATCGCTTAGAAAAATTCGAAATTGCTACAGGAAACAGACTAGTATTGTAGTTCATATTCGACTCGATCAAACGAGATCGACCGGGACCATCCATGGTATCCTGGAAAGCTTCGTGTCGCAGTCGCTGACAGCGCATTGGTCTGAGTGCTCGTTCTCATGCTTCGGGAGTTATAAATTTCTACGATGGGGAGAGAGTAAAAACAGTTCGTCAAGTGCGACGAAATTCAAGCTCCTCGTGAATGGATTCACAACCGGCACGCGAAGGGCCCTCAACGAAAACAATAGTTACACCGCTATACAACTCGTACCGAAAGATGACTATTGACTAACGTAAAGCCGTTTAACTACGTATACCAATAAAAATATCGTACAAGTATAACTATAAAAGGTTGTATATTGTATAAGTAATTAAGTATGTACAAGATGTGGATTAGGACCGTTAACCGGGTATGATATAAATAACAACTTTTGGGGCTTGTGCATGCTGAGGCTGAGTTGTCCTGTAGACAAAAATACATACTTATCACAAAATATTTGAGAGACCTTTTGACAGTAAAATCTGCCAGATTCCGCTCGGCCCGATATTGTGCTGACTTAGGAACCGGAGGATGGGTTACGGAGCTGCAAAATTATCCTACTAAAAAATTTTACCAGAATTTGATCTTTGCATTGCTTTAACCCGTTCCACACCATGCGTGTTAGACCGACATGGTGGAGGACTTCTTCTCTCTAATCCGTAATTATGGTCGTAGAAGGTTTTTAATTGTTTTGTTTCAAAGAACAGATGTTAGACAACAGTCCACAATCTATAAGACTTAGATCCACCATGCCCGTAAGGTCCAGGGAGTGACCAAACATGGTCAAAACTGACCAAACGGAGTACTCTGAGGTCCTGCTTAACTGTACAGCCACCTCCCCATCAGATAAATTCAAAAAAAAACTTAAAAGAAGTACTTGATTAGCTCTATACAAAAACGAAACAAAGTTCCGAAAATAAACGCCCACTGGCCAATACTGGTCACTTGAAGATGCCATGTCGGTTATGACACGGTTGGGCATGACACTATTTTATTAATAAGCTTCGAAAATTCGTATCAATTGATAGAAACATCAAACACGATACAATATGCAATCAAAAGAAAGCTCAGAAAAAGCTGTATTAACTGACGTGTGCATAGTGGTCAGCAAAGTGACCACTGGTCAGCAGTGACCGGAAATCCTACAAATGTAAGTTTTGACTAAACGCAATTAAAATTAAAGTGAATAGATGCAAACAAGTTGTGTAGTGACTGCTGTGGGCAGCTCTAACATAGCTTTGACCCGTACACAATCAGTATTCAATGAATCGGCTTGTGTGTGTGGAATGCTATTATTGCCATATACTGTAACCTAGCTACTCCATTGTTCCAAAGAAAATCTGTATATTTTCTGCAAATTATATCTAAGTGTTAAACTGTATTAATGAGTGTGAAATCTTGTAAAAGTTATTAATCTCGCGCCAATATTTCGCTAATTGAGCTCCTACCCTTGCATCGAAAACACCACTTGCACCATCCGGTCATGAGCGCTCGTAACCTTTAAAAATCAATCTGTGCAAAGGGTCAGCATAACGGAAGAGAGCATCTGGGAGTAAAGGCAACGTCCGTTTAAGGAATTAAGCAAGCATTATTCAGCAGCGGTGCCGACATAGATTGTGCAAAATATAGTTAATCACTCCCACACATTCTGGACAATTCATGGTGCTTACTTGTTTGAAGGGAGCGTCACCTACCATAACGATTTGTTGTTCTCTATAAACGGAAGTATTTCTATGAGTAGGCTTTTTTGGCAGAGCGTTACTGACCCTAACTCCGCGATACCTTCATATTTCTCAACAACGGGTAAGGTAGTGGTCACTGATACAACACTTTGAGAATATAATTATGTCAGGCGTGAGCCATACTTCCTGCTTGTTATCTCTGCTATCCCATTCGGCTGCACAACCGGAAGTGGTATTAAATCCACTGTATAGACGTTACCAGGGCTGTGGCCCGCAATAAGGCCAGTGACCAGCTGTCCAAACCGCAGAGCAGAAGTGACCAACTGTTGTGAAATATCGAAGTAGCACTTATGCACTGGCACATGCTAGTGTTTACCTTTTTTAAAATTTCCTTGACCACTGGTCATCTTGATGACAATCGCAATATACCTTTATTAAAGTACTCGTTGAGATCTACCGTTAGAGCTATTGGCATAATCTGTGTGATTTTTCTATCGCCTGTTATAAACGACGATGTATAACATGTCGGTGCAACATGGTTACGATGCGTGTTAGGCCGACATGGTCATCTCCTGCTTGACCTATGGTCGCCAAAATTTAAAAAAATTATTTTTACCTTAATTGAATTTTTCTGTCTCAGACTGCCAATTTTCAAAACTGTAGTCCCATCCCTTCTGGTACCCGGCTTTCCTGGGTTAACCGAAATTGTAGGTCCCCTGTATTTTAGTAGTCTGCCTTTCTGGTCGCAGACTGCGGGCTGGCTGCCCGTGCCACATTTTTCGGTCGCAAGCATCGGCACAAAAGCTGTAGGTAGCAGACGGGTTTCTGTGGAATTTACTCGGGATTCGGGAAGACCATGCGGCACATACTAATTAGTAATTACTTCTACCTGTGGCTGTGTTCAGTAACTTTGTATTGCTTGTGTATTAAATTTCATTTTCCGCGCACCAAATTTTGAATTAATCTATCAGTTATTATTAACTACCATTTATTTACTGCAACAACTTTCCGTTACTTTCGGCAGCCTTTAAGTGCTTATCATACTACTTAATCATTTGCATTCGTCACCACTTACTCGCGCTCGAAATCTCTTTCTTCCGATTTATTAGATCACAAAGTAGAAAAAACGATTAGCATTATACTTCACAATTTAATTATACTCCGAAAGCCCGAAACCAATAACAGAAACAAATTCAAACAATTGACCGTACATCGCGATTGAGCACTAGAACCCATATGTCTGCTGTGAAAATTATTAAGTATTGTTATTATTTTGACAACCCCGTATAAAGGGGAAAAACTTGGAAGACTCTCTTAGCGCAACGCTGCTGTGAAAAGACGAAGCCACCTAAAAGACTTGACCGGTGTAAGCAAAAACACGTTGAGAAACGAATTCTTCGATGGTCTAACCACGAGTCTCGGTCATATTCTTGACGCTTCTTCTTAGCCGCAATATTTCAGATTTACCGACTTCAGCGTGATCATAGTACTCCCTCGTAATCCAGTCAGAACCCGTCTTTAACCATAATCCACCCTTCAGATGACGAAATCCCCGTAGGTCTGTTAGTACCTCTTCTCTCGAGCACTTCTCCGGCATGACGAGGTCCACATCCGCCAGGACCAACTTCCGACACACTGCGCGCCATGACCAAACAGGCTGCCGCTCTCGTGGCGGGGGTTCAGGCCGCACATCCCGATACTCCGCGCTCATGTGTGTCAGAACAATCACCGGCACCGTGACCTGCATGGCGTTCAGAATGGCGGCCACCTCGGGCACGATGTTTTCATAACGGATCCAACGCGCACAATGGGAAACTGTTAGCACACGCACGTTGGTGGCAGTGCTGAAGGTCTTGTAGAGCGCCCAGGCGAGTGCAATTCGCATACCCGGCGACGCTCCATCAAATTCGATGCGGACAGAGGGAGAACACGTGATGATGGAGTCCCAGCCATGGCAGACGCGGCGACACCTTGTACGTCTTTCCGCGCAGAGATATCCAAGTATTTCCGTCAGGAGTTCAGGGGGCAGATGCGATAATGCAGTAGTGCTCAAGCAGTCATTTTCGCTATCCTAAATCGAGAAACACTGCAAACATTGATCAGTGCGGCTGAAATAAAATGTCAAAAGAAATTTCTCAGCAAGAGAAATTAAAATATTGCAACTTTCAAATATTGGGTAAACGTGTGCAATTTTCTATGATATTTATAATAAGCTGTAGAGCGGATGATTAAATTAAACAAAAATAATCTTTACCAGTAGCCCTGATTGCAAAACCGTCGAATTGCACATTAGATCTAATCATTTCCACTCTACAATAGTGCAGACAGGCAGAGCAGCACTGTATTGTACAGTTTATAATAAATATAGATATAAAAAAATACAACTGAAAAAAATGAACAGTACGTTAGTAACAGTACAGTACTGTTACTACTGTACTGTAAGTACTGTACGTTTTTCAACGTACGAATGTACGTTTTTTTCAGTGTATCTGAACAAGAGCGGCACCTAGGAATTTCGTATAACACAGTAATACCTGAACAACAGTAATACCTGCATATGAATATAACAATTATTATATCTGAACATTAAAAATAAATGTATTCATAGGAGTTCCTCGAATTTTAAGCCGCGGCGCACCTTTGTTTGGGAAAAGATTTCGCTTGGGTTGTTATTTTTCGTTTTCTGTTGCTTTTCTCCGCTGTCTTCCTGATCATATTCTCTCACACGTTTCTGCCGTCTTTTTTGATGGTAACCGAATAAAAAGTCCATCTTCCGCAGCACTTTCAACTGGCGACAACAACAAAGTTTCATTATAAATATTACGTACTACGAACCCGAAACTTCGCAACAACACGCATTGCACAAACTTATATAGATATGCTTTAATTAATTTTATATTCTATATTTCGTATCAAACTATCAACAGCATGGTACAGTCATGGCAAAGCCGCTCGGCGTGCTCGCAATCGCTTGAACGAAAACAATAAGGTAAACAACAAGTTTTACTAATTTTTCACTAACTTTGTCACTTACACAATCTTCTTCGGCAATCTCACGTTTATATTTCGAAGACGTTATGTAATGAGTAATTAGCTGCACGTCAGGCAGCACTTCAATCCGAACAAACATCGTGTTCGTCAGTTTACTCCATGTGTCCCGAAATCCTGGTGTCTCCGCCAATTGGCATATCCCAGGATAAAACTTCGTCTCAAGTCGATATTTCCGAAAATGGAGATTCTGCCGGGGAAATTTATCGTGGAAGCGCGACGAGCGTGCGACGCGTAGTGCCTTGTCTGTCAGGGAACATTCCGTCGCCACCTGGATTCTATGAGTATCCACGAATTCCACACTTGGTTCTCCATCGATAACCACTTTCACAAGAGAGTGGGCGTGCATGTAGCCCTCTCCCAGACTGTGATCATCGACTTGCACAAGCAACCGGCCAGGATACCAGCACCATGGCTGATCTGAGCTGCGCTGATGGAGGACTTGCACAGCTTGTCCGATGGCTGGCTTACGACTGCCAAAGTGCATTCCGTATGGGAACTCCTGTTGAAAGGCCACACAGCTGGTAAGGGGAACACGCTCATCGTGATGGCCATCGTAGCCAAAATCCACAATGAGATCGCCCCCGTCCTCCACCAAATCTACGATTACTCCGTGACGAACCAGTCCGTTCCCGTCCCTTACGTCCACGACACCATAACGCCAGATATGCTTCCTAAACATATTGCTGACGGATCTTTCTGCTCTACTACCAAATTGCTCTCACATCTGAAAACAAGAAATTATGTTTCTTCACGATTGTCAGAATGCTGAAACATGTCAGCAGGGGTGTGAAATTATAAACAGAAACAAAATAAGCGTGAGAAAGTCTGAATAAATCTGAAGTCTGAAGTCAAACGCCAAAAATCGGAAAGGCCCTGAAAGGCGGCTGTGTGTGCAACCCCAGAGGTGGCAGTTTTTCAATCACTGACTACCGCCTCCATGCGCTGGTCTGGAATCGTAACGTCACTGGAAAACACTGGTCGACCGTTGGTCACTGGAAATACAACGTTGCTGCCAGCCGGTTGGTGGTTACCTTGACCCGCTTAAAGAGTCATTCTTTTAATTTCTTTGCTTACCAATCTGCATTTTTTCCACTTTCAAGTTTGCCAAAGAAATACTGTACTGTACCATTTTTGATTGTGCATCCATTCTTAAAATGTTTTTTGGAAGGAGTCGCATTTTGCATACTTCAGAAGTATGAATAATTGCATTATTTGCATGTAAACGAACGAGCATGTATTGTACTGGGTCCTCGTGTTACAATAAAATTTTGGAACCTTGACTTACCGAGCAACTGCACGCAACAGCTTCCAAACCAAACCGATCTTTGCCTTAGTGATAAATGATAATGGTATAATTGTAATTACAATGTTCAAACACAACATTTGGCGTCATGGTGTCGTGGATGTGAAGGACGACGACGGATTAGTTCGTCACGGAATGATTATTGATATGGTGGAAGATGGAGGGGATCTCACTGTCGATTTCGACTATCCCGATCACCACGCTGACCGTGTTCCCATCAGCAGCTGTGTAGCGCTAAGAAAAAGTCGAAATTTTTACTGTAAACAGACTGATATTGTGATCCTTATCCAATTGAATCGAGACCAGCCGTGGTACTGGTATCCTGGAAAGCTTCTTGTCCCAGTCACTGATTTTGATGGTTTGGGTCATTTTCGTCATGCTTTGGTAGAAATTACCATTAATGGGAAGACAGTACAAGAATTCATCAAATGCGATGAAATACAAGCAGCTCGTGAGTGGGTCCCTCTTACGATGAAATCACAGGTCACAGGTCGGTCGAAACGATTTTGTGACAAATTTCCTAAACGAAATCTGTATTTGCGTAAATACCGGACGACACTCGCTTATCAGCCAGCTTCAGCGGAAGAGATCAAGCAACCAGAATTTGGGGATCTATGGAATCGTACGACCGAATCTATTTTAGTTCATGCTGATGTGATGGATGGTGCACTGAGTGTTGTCTATATTTCGTGGGAGGAACCGCTGGACGCGACAAAACATGTACAACGCAGTAACGCATGGCGTACTGCCAAAATGCATTTTTGCTATTTGCTGTTAAGAGAAGATAGTGCTATAGATCCAGACGATTTATTGTTAAGAGAAGATAGTGCTATAGATCCAGACATCCAGTTAAATTTAAATCTTCCCACGCTCGTCATGAGTGATCTTGACAAGTGACTTTCCACAGAGGAACGAACAATCCCTCTATGAGCTTTCATTTGCGTCCGTAAGCTTAACCAATCAGAAATTGGGAAGCTTCCGGTGAGCAAAAAAGTCCCCACCTGCCAGGGGCTCGAGAATTCTGAGCACTTTATTCCATACACTGCCGGTGCGGATATGTTTAATAAGAAAAACTTGGCCTTTCGTTCTACTAATTAAGGAAGTTGCGAAAGGGCATTCTATGTACTTTGAATTGGCTACAGTGTTCAAATCGATAATCTATCGCTTCGAGACCCGCTTTTTGAGGCTCCGTTGATGTCAGAGATATTTATTTCATCTTGTGCTTTTAGAGGAAAAAACTTGCCCGAATGGAACAGGAACTACGGAATTATCACAAGAAAGGTCAAGGGAAACGCAAGAGGGAGATTGACGACTGGAGCTCAAAGCGTACAGGAAGTGTACACGACGTTGAAATTGTAAAGCATGATACCAGAGCCAAATTAAATAAAACGCACGCAAAATGCGATGCGGCAGAAGGACAGCAAACCTTTTCTCTTATGCCACCGAGGAATATTATCACCCAGAATATCTCCCTGCAGCCGGTTAGACTACGCTTCCGCATGCACATCCCCCGTTTTTTCCCTTTGCATAAGGCACGTTATTGTTTTCTTCTGCAGACCGTGGATGCGGGCTGCTTGGGGACTGATATCCCTTGGTCTTATTTGCCGCTGGAACTCGTATTCGAAACATTGTCCTACTTTTCCATTGACAAACAGATGCTATTGCGTCGGGTGTGCCGTAGCTGGACCACTGTATCTTCCGTTGTTTTTACACACTTCTACGTCGAAGTTGATCCTGCCACGCGCTGTCCGCAGTCCAGGCTAGCCATGGCACTGCATAAGACCGTGCGGTCAAGCACGAAAGTGCTGCTCATCACCGCCCCTGCACAACTCCGGCAGACGGGAAAATGTTCCTTGAACGTAATATACACTGTAGCGGAAATGCTGGCGGGCATGCAGATCCGTGTGCCGGTTATCATCCTGTCGCATGTAGGCGCCTATTACTCGGGTCTGTTGATGACTGTCGAGTCGGACAGGCACAATCTGCTGCCTTGGCGCGCTGTCTGTCAGCAACTGATGCTGCGTGAAGTGGAGGTGAAATTATCGTCGTGGGAGATGTCGAAAAAACTGGACATGCTGGGTAAACTACAAGCTTTCCACAAAATGACGGAAATTAGCTGGTCTCCGCCATATTGCGATGTTTTACGCGTGGTCAAAAGTTCCATGTTTACAACTCCACCCCATTGCACTTACAGTTAAATATTATAAATGCCGGGAAATACGTTTCTCTTATCGTTAGTACGGCAGTATATAAGAGTATGATGAACCGATAGCATTCTTCTGTTTTGTTTAAATTGCATATTTTTGTATGGAAGCTGGATAATTGCAGGGGAACATCGGAGCGTGATTGTAGACTGGAAGTATTCTAGGGAACTAAGCAGGAAGCTCTTCTGTCTTTTGATGTTTATTCAAACCAAACACATACGGGAAATTGTACTAGTACTTAGCAGTTCCAGTAACTTATGCGACCCCAACCTGATATTTAATGTCCTTGAAGTTTAAATGAAGATAACTCGGATGTGCGCGTTTATCTTTGCTGTCGCAAGTTTTAGCACTTTACTCGAATATTGTACGTGTAGACTGTACAGTGTACAGATGCAGTCTGTACTCGTAATCATAATTCGTATCCAGCTTTTGATCAGGTTAAAAATGTGGCTATTATTTCATCACTGTGTGCTGTGTAGTGTGTACGAGTACATATTTCTTCGTTGTTGGACCATGCGCGAGTTACATATGCCCCTTCACTAATTCCGTCTGTGCTCACTCAGTAACTCTAATTTATAAGGGTCTTAATAATATTGCTTGCTGTTTGGATAAGTATTTCCATGCACCACTTTTTAAATTCAGTTATCTACAAAACCTGAAGTAATCATCATCGATAAGTCGCTAGCTTCGTTCATGCATGACATACCCATGGCCACTGGCCATCGCCCATATAAACGCAGTCAGCACCCATGTTTACTCGTGCACGCAGGATCGAGAAACTGCATGGATGGGTAATGTAGTAAGTACTGCAGGACAACCCCAACAACGCTTTTCATTATGGTGTCTTGTGCACCCTCAAGTCCCGATCCACCATAAAATAGTATAACTACTGTCGGCTCCCTGATGCGCGTTGATGCGCTTCCGGTTCAGTGACTTCCGGTTGTGCCACACCCGCATCGAGGTGGCGGTGTGGTAAATTCTATATGTTTTATATGTTTTACCCATGGTGGTGATACCTCCATAAATAAAATTTAACGACAACTACCAACGGAGTTCCATAAAGTCCCCAAACATGTTTAAAAAAGACGTCTGGCGCTACGGCGTCGTTGACGTCCAGGACGACAATGGACTCATTCGTCACGGAAAGATAGCCGATTTAGTGGAAGACGGTGGAGATCTGATTGTAAACTTCGGGTATCCTGGCCATTATGCTGAACGTATCCCACTGAGCCGTTGTGTCGCATTTACCAATAATGACTACCGCCGTGGCCTTACTGGTGTTGATGTGCAGTTTTTAAGTCAGCGCAGTCCCGATCAGCCGTGGTGTTGGTATCCTGCAAAGCTCCTGGCCCGGGTGAATGATATGTACTCCTACGTCGTCGTCCAAGTGGATGTAGATGGACAGTCTACGTTTGCGTTTGTGGATTACGACAGAATCCGCGTGACAGAAGAAGTGTGTTCCTTGGCGGATAAGGCGGCGTTAGGCGCACAGGGAGTGCGGTTCTACGATACCTTCCCTATCCAACATCTGTCTTTTTATAAGCAGCACGTTGAGTTGGGCGCGTATCCCGAAGTACTGGTTATCGCGGGAAGACGCGGGTTTCGTGATATGTGGAATCGTTTAACACATACCATGTTTGTTTGTATTGAAGTTCAGCCGCCGCAGGAGATAGCACTGCATTATGTTATTGCGTGCAAGCGCAAACTTGCCATTACCTCGGAGAAATGTGTAAGAGGCTCTTCAATTTTGCTGTTACTTAATTTCAGGTTTATCCCCGCTTGTGTATGTATGTCATCAGCGTATGTCCTATGGTCAATACGCCCCTCATTGCACACCTTAAAGTGATCTGTAAGTTTTAAAGCGATTTGGTTTAAACTTAAACCAACTAGCCAACATATTCGAAATTTAAAGTGTTCTTTTTAAGTTAATGGAGCTGTCTGGGTTACGAAGATAAGAATGATACAGATTACAGAACATCCATGACTTTGCACGCAGCAACAGTCTAAAAGCTGAAATAATAATTGTAGCGGCTCGATCAAGTGGCACCACAGAGTTCGTGTACGGGAAAGCAGCACACATGCAGCGTATGCATGCCCATGCGCTCGCAACATGAGCAGTGCACACTTTGCAAGTGCTGATTTCTCGTACACAGACTCTGTGGTGCCACTTGATCGAGCCGCTACAGTAACGCACTTTAATTAACTTACAGAGCATTTTAATGTGCGCAGCGAGAGGGCCTTTTGACTCATTATCGGAAATATTATTCTTTGGATTAAATTTCTGTACTGTGAAGAATGTGAATTTTTGTTTTCTAGAAAGAGCATCTGGGCCGTGCAGCCTCCTTACTGGATTATTATTATAGAAAACGTGAGATTCGAATTGACGCGTGCCTCAAAGACGAAAATCGACGTCGAAAACGACTGAAACTGACAGCCGAAACCGGAAGTGCGAATAGTTCTCTCCGTATCAGACACCGCCGTCAAAGTTCGCAATCCCTCAAGGCAAGGAAGTATCAATAATCAGGATTGTTAGTTTCAGTTCGGCACCGCGATATTTCGCCGAGGTCGTCACACTAGCCACCAACAAATAGCAACTTTTGAGCTGTCTTATTGAAGTAATATTATGATACAGTATGATTTTATACCGTAACCTTAGGAAATTACAAAAATCATGTGGTCTGCTAGCCTGCTACCCATTAACCAATGGCGCCTTGTGGCGGTACGATCTTCAGCGTACACGTATCAGGAGCATAATAAAAGTTAAGAGACAAGAGCAAGAATATGATTGTCAGTGTTGTCACAGTCAGGTATTTTCAAAAACTCCAAGTCTAGAAATTCCATGGTGGATTGGTGGGCAATTGCACATTTTCGGATGTTTCCGGTTCAATTAGCAGCAATCAATCTGCACTGCTGCACTCCATTTGCAAGGTTTTAGCAACAGTAATTGCTCGGCTCTACCCTCTTAGACGAATATAATACTTGTCCACCCTCGATTTTTACCATATTTTACAGACTTGTAATGATTATGTAGAATACAGAGTATGATGGTGGATCTAGGAAGAATCCACGGACAGAGACAGAAACGGAATCTATCCTGTAGAGTGAGCAGTGTTGTATACTACGAGTTATGCGGAAACGCAAGACACCCGACAATCAACTGCACACTTTATCCCATTCATATGTCACTACAGAAGCTCCCGCAGCAGAATGCTGCGGGGCCAAAAGAGCAGCAAGTTACTCAGACGACGATGGCTAGCAACTGAAGAATCTACCAGATTGAAGATCTGGTAGATGAAGAAATTCAACATCAGAATACAGCAAAACAACTTAGCGCCCGCACTGGTGCGGGCGTACGGGGAGGCCACTCCTCCTCACAAGAGCATACTAGTTTCCTATTTGGTAACAGTACGCTATTGTACTCTGTATTACAGTGAATACTGGGAAGTATACTGTACTTGAACAAATTTCAGAATATCCTTTCGTTTTTCAATACTTTACGCACGCTGAATTACTTTCTGACCACATTTGACGAGTCCGGAAAAACCAAAAGTTGATTACTTTTTGGGCGGCAAGATCGTACGAATACAAAGACATCCTTTCCCACCTGTATGTGCAGAACTAATTTAAATGCAGTACTTGATTAATTTATTTTCTTCTTATTATACACCAAAAGTATGATACGGTAATACATTTTATTATGTAGCTTGTACAAGCTCTAATTTCAGAGACTTGTTTCTGGAGACGCCAGTGATGAGACTCTGCTATTGTGGTATCTCCCGCTGGAAGTGTTATCGGAAACATTATCGTATCTCGTTGTGGAAAGAAAAGCGATGTGTCGGCGCGTATGCCGCGACTGGAACGCTCTCGTCGTCCATGCGCCATCGGTTCTGATTACATGGGATCCGTTGTCTACCCACATGCAGACAACTGTAGCGTGGATGTTGTATGGAGTTGCGAGAACTTGGTCAACTTCCATTCGATCGCTGATACTTACCGTTCCTTCGCGGGACCGCTCCCGGCGTACCCGCCGTAATCAACTTGTACACGTCGTACAAGAAATGCTCACAGCCCTCCGGATAAGAACGCAGATAATTCTTCTGTCATATATTACGGATACCGACAACGTCGATTCCCTACCTCCGTTTCAACCAAAAAATCAATCACCATGGATCCGTCTCTGTCGAAAGTTGTTGTTGGTGGAAGTGGAGATGATGTTACCACGAAACGGTTCCAGAGATGGCGTTCTGACAGGTTTTTATGGCAATATCGAGGGTTTTTTGTTGCCGGCTGCGAATGACTGGCACCGAGATATGTTGCGGATAACCAGAGGCAGTCTCCAGCTCCTGACCGAGACATAGTGCTTACGCTAGGGGTCAGCGAAAAAGGACTTCCTGTAGTAGTCGTCCTCTTTATCCATATGCTGGTGTGAACTCAGTGCGGTATCGTTTGCTGGGGGATTTCGAATTTCGATCACAGAAGGTCTAACGTTTTTAACGCACCCGTCGTTATCAAGGAAAATGCACACCGACGCCGCCCATCGGCGTGATTCAATGCATGTATAATACTCGTAATCACTTTACAGTTCGCTGTTCTGGGTGTGTCTCTAGAAACACTGTTTTGTTCCTTTTACCTCCGATACCAAACTAACAATGTCAGAAGTATTAGGTAGAGAAAAGCTCAAATTTTTGTACATGTTATATAATTCACACGGTACATAAATGTTGGAAATCACGGTGACCGCATATCATCTTAAATATTAATTATCTCAGCAGTCGTGTAGGATTCCGTAAAATTTATGTGCTTATACGGATTCTACGGAATAGGTGCCTGTACATACAACGATAATTTCGCACTGAACTTCAATCCGGCGTTTTGGTGCTGGTCTGCAACTGCACTTTCACATTTGCAGACAGTACTTCCGGTTGAGCGACACCCGCACAAAGGTTACAGTTACAGTCGCCAATGGCTCCCTAGAGTAGCCAGGTGGACCATGCATACTTGGTCCACACGCTAACAGTTGTAAAGCATACTAACATTATTATTATGTAAGCATGTGGATTATGCCTTGACAGCCTAGTAGACATCAATCACATGATGTACTAATAGTGGTGATATGGCACTAATGGCAGGTGCATAAACAAAATTCGATGACGATTTTTAGGTACTTTAACTTCCAGAAACCCAGAATATGTTTAAAAAAGACATCTGGCGATATGGCGTCGTGGACGTCCTGGACGACAATGGAATTATTCGTCATGGCATGATAATAGATTTAGTTGAAGACGGTGGCGATTTCATTGTGGACTTTGGGTACACTGGCCACCATGCTGATCGTATCCCACTGAGCAGTTGTGTCGCCTTCACGAATGACGACTACTTTCGTGCTGGCGTTGATGTGCAGTTTTTAAATCAGCGAAGTTTCGATCAGCCGTGGTGTTGGTATCCTGCTAAAGCCCTTGTCCGGGTGAGCGATCGCAGGAGGTACAAGCAAACGTTGTACAACTACGCCCTGTTGGAAGTAGATGTCGACGGGCTGCCCACTTTGGCATTCGTAGATTGCGACCGAATTCGAGTGTCAAAGGACAGGTGTGCCCTGACAGAGAAAGCACTAATGAGCACTGGACGAGGACAGTTCTACGATAAGTTTCCAAACGCACAGTTGTATTTTTCTAAGCGGTGCGTGGAGGTTGGTTGGTTTCCCGACATGCTACCTATCGCGGAGAAGCGAGGATTTCGGGAAATGTGGAATCATTTAACCCACACCATGTTTGTTCGCATTGAAGTACAGCCGCGTGAAATAACGGTGCATTACGTTTTTGCGTCAAAGCGCAATCGTATCATGGACGCAGAAAAATGTGTAAGGTTTTGTTAATTTGGCCCATATACGTACTCTGTACAGATATGTGTTGTCGTGAATTCCCATCGCGGCCAGTAACACAAATTCGAGTGCCTATGGGCTATGGTAGGTATTTGCGAACTGTGAAAAATGAGTAATTATTTTCCAGAAAGAATATTTGGGCCGCGTAAATTCCATACTGAATTTTCACCACAGGAAACGCGAGATTCTAATTGAACTGTACAAAAACACCAAGCGACGTAAACAGCAGAAACGGACTGTGGGTGGTGACGCCGGAAATAATCCTCTCCGTGTCAAACGCCGCCGTCAGAACGCGCAATCTCTCAGGGTAATAATTAAACAAGATTTTCAGTTGCAGACCGCTGTCGATATGTTGTTTAATTTTTGTTATTCGACTTTCGAATTTTCGTCGCTTCACGGGATACGCTAGCAAGATGTTTTACTACGGCTACATATAAATTGGAAAGTTTTTGCATCGAGCGCAGATAACAGTTTTTGCATCGAGCGCAGTGAGGCATCGGCAAAGCGCACACATTTTCTGTCGCTACGCAAAGCGTGGTTTAAGGCTTTTATAAAATTTCTCCAAATCCTTTACGACCGTTTACCAAGGCGTACGTACTAGAGCTTGCTCAGTACAAATGTTATGCTTTATGGTAACCAAACACACAGCTTTGATTCATGTATTATGTATTACTGTATTTGCATTTTATACTTCTAGGGACTAGGCTCTGCAGATGCCAGTGATGATTTGTTGCGTTATTTGCCGCTGGAAGTTTTAACGGAAACCTTGTCGTATCTCACTGTGGAAAGAAAAGCGATGTGCCGACGTGTCTGTCGAGACTGGGATGCATTAGTCGTCCATTCGCGGTCTGCTCTGGTTCAAGTGGACCCGTTGTCTCAGTATCTTCGACCTACGGTGGCGTGGATGTTGTATGGAACAGCGAGGACCTGGTCCACTTCCATCAGAACTCTGATATTTGCCGCCACACATCCGCACCGCTGTTTTTTTGCCGGCGATGACCTGATACCTATCGTTAAGGAAATGCTGACAGCATTGCGGATTAAAGTGCACATAATGCTTCTGTCACATATTACGGAAGCTGATTATTACGAATTCCTACCACCATTCCAATCAGAAACACCACCGCCGTGGTCGCCGATCTGTCGAAAGTTGCTCCTGGCGCATGTGATCCTGATCAAACCGCGCGACTCTAGATACACCAAAGAAACCGTGTCAGCGGTTTTTCAGAGGTGTGGCAATATGGATGGATTCTGGTTGAAGCCTAAGGATGAGCGGAGCCCCGATAAACTGCGAATTAACAGAAGCACCATTTGCTTGACCGGGACGTAACGGAAGTGTATTCCAGTGAGTTTCCGGCTTCCTTTGTTTGGTAACGCTTAACAGAACACTACAAAATGCCGCACCAAGCGTAGAATATGCTTGATAGGCATCTTATACGTACATACATTACCTATGCTTAAAAATTATTACTGTAAAGAATACACATGCCTTCAAGGAAGTGGACTAGGTTGAAAATGAACCGCAACGTACCTATGATTGATTGGGGGGACCGTGGACGCCGGTAATGTTCGTATTTCTGATACTAAAAAACAAACAATGGAACCAGTAATAAACGACAATCTTTATTTTATTTCACCACGTGTTCTGCATTGGTATACACTATACAGTGTCAGTGCTGTCGGGTCGAAGAACTGATTAAATTAATGGCTACGTGATTAGAGTTTGTAGCGTCATCTCATGTTCGGATAATGGGCTCAACGGTTGCACGCACAACTGTACACACTGCACAGTAAAACTTACACACAAAAATTGAAATCACTGAATTGCTGAAAGCTCAATATGTATACAGACTTTGCTGAAACAATGGTATTGGTGAAATATCCTCAGATGAACGTCCGATGCCTACCTATCAAAATAATTAAAATCTTCCTCTCATGCTCACAACGATGAGGCACATTTCCGTTACGCAATTTACCGTAGAAGTATTGCAAAAAGCAGAGCTGACTTGCAAAGTAAAGTACAGAACAACGGCAGATGGCCGGGGCCTCCAGCTACTGTACTTCCGGGCCTGCTGCCACAGCCTGAGGGTGCGGTACAACGGTTTGTACTTCCAGATGTTCCTATAATATGGAATAATATACTGTATTTCATCACCAGATCTTTCTGCTAAATTAGCACTTATACTTTTAGAACAAACAACCAGTGTTTTGCTTTTGATATATAAATATAAGTAGATGTCCAATATACAAATACATTTTTGTACTTGAACTTCTTATCACTACGCTGACTCCACTGTGGACCTTAACCGTGCAAGACCGCAGAAGCCAACAAATCGCTCCAAGCCTTTCCAGGTCTTGCCGCGCAGGGGACCCTAGACGGGGTTGTGGAAAAACGGGAACGGCAAGGAAGAATGAAAGAACAAACAACGAAGCACAAAAAATGATAAAAAGAGGCTGTAGAATAGATTTTATCGTTTAGGTTGGGTAATTCCAATTTCTATCTCATGGTTACAAACTTACAATTAAAATTTTTGAATTTCCCGAGATCTCGTAGGTAGATCAATGGGCAAACCACGGAACTGCTGATAGAAAACATATCCGCGTGCCCAAAAGACTCCAAATGTTGCACAAATGCGGGTATTACACCCGCCATTTTGGAAGTTTGGCCTTAAGGTGATTATTATGCCTGTTTTACTTACATTCCAAAAAAAAACGATTGAAGCCACAACAAAAGCCACAACATACTATCTGTACTGCACATATTGCAAGAACACTTACTAAATCCATCAAGTACAAAACACATACTGCTGCACATTTTGCAAGAAGACTTGCACAATCCATTAAGTCACAATATACTGCTGCATATATCGCAAGAAGACTTGTAAAATCGTAAGAAAATTATTAAGGTTTAACGAGCCAAAAAAATTAAGGCCTTCAGAGTTCCACTCTAGCTGCGATCCGTCCTTCAAACAACGGCAGAGTATCATTGTCATTCTTCACTTCCTTCCATATGGTTCCAGCACCCGCCACCGCTTCCCGGATATAGTACCTGTGCACATGACCTCTGATACAGTAACAGTTTTTTTTACCATAAACTCTGATTCAAGGGGCACTGTACATATGGCGTTAATATTTTTTAGATCGTTCCCTTTACATATACGGACGATATACGGGCATGATATACCGTGTATACTGTATATTAATATACAAGTTTTAGGGTAAGCATCCACTGTTCGAGCTTCGGACTAATTACCTTGTCACTGGTCCAACATTCATATTCGCGGGTAGTAGGCTCTTGAAACTCTTCCGACAGTTCGGTCCTGTCATCTTAGCCGCGAAAAACTCCCCGTTGTCTATTTTCCACACCACCGTGAAGCTTTCTTCCATGACGCTGCTGTTTAACTTAATTTTTGTATGATCACGATAAAACGCCTCGTTATCGTTGCCAATTCCTACTCTAGCTTTCAAATGCTAATTTACCGTTATGCTACAAAAAACTAGTAAAATAAGAAGTGTTCCTTTCATTTATCGAAGTATATACTTCAAAGTGGAAATAGTAGTTTTCACAAAGCGAGCGTTCAGCATTCCAAAACAGTAATTGTTTTTGGAAGCAGCTGAAACCCCGCAAATAGCTGGTGTGCTTAAACTGCGCCCCCATAGGCGGCTGTCAAGGATAACAACAGGTGTCTGTAACTTCGAAGCAAAATAGGGACTCTTCAATTCCTCATATTAGTCATTTATAATAATAGCATAGAAAATTATAATTTTCTATGATAATACTAATAGTATGCGAGTGGTAGTAAGTGCTTCTATCTGTACAGGGCGCTGGACAATGATGTACTTCCGGTCCTCTTCGTTGGTACATTTCCGGCTGTGCGACACCCGCGTAGAGGTGGTGATGTAATGAAAAACATCAGTTCATTTCGGAATTCGGACTTATTTCGGCAGGCTCGCCCGCTTGGGCACCCCATAAACAAAATTTAATTTACGGCACTTGCACCAGCTAACGGCCAATCCCATCAAAAGGCCCCGAACATGTTTAAAAAAGACGTCTGGTGTTACGCCGCCGTGGACGTCCAGGACGACAATGGACTCATTCGTCATGGAATGGTGATCGACTTAATCGAAGACGGTGGGGATTTGATTGTGGACTTCGGGTACACTGGCCATCATGCTGAGCGCATCCCATTGAGCCGCTGTGTCGCATTCACCAATAACGACTACCGTCGTAGTCGTGTTGATATTGCTGTGCAGTTTTTAAGCCAGCGCAATCCCGATCAGCCCTGGTGTTGGCATCCTGCTAAGCTGGTGGTCCGAGTGAGCGATGTGTACTCCTACGCCTTGGTCGAAGTGGATATCGATGGACAGTCCACTCGGGTATTCGTCGATGGTGACAGAATTCGAGTGACAGTAGAAGTGTGCCCCCTGATGCAGAAAGCGATGCTAGGCGCAGGCACACAACGAACGCGTTTCTATGATAAGTTCCCCAAAAGGCAGCTTCATTTCCATAAGCGACGCGTCGAGTTAGGTTGGTATCCCGACGTATTGGCCGTGGCGAGAAAACTAGGATTTCGGGAAGCGTGGAATCGATTGACAAACACCATGTTTGTTCATTTTGAAGCACAGCAGCACCAGATTATTCTCCATTACATATCTGCATTGAAGCGCCAGTATGTCATGGACGCAGCAAAATGTGTAAGGCATAGATATTAATTAACCCTTATGACTTAGAGTTGCAGTTTAATGGGACACGTCGCGTGTAACAAAATGTAGATATGCTTGTGATTTATGTGTCTGCGAAAATATGTGTATGTAAACCTTTGTTTTCTAGAAAGAGTATCTGGACCACATAAAACGCTCATTGGATTACAAGCATAGGAAACGAGAGATTCGAATCGATGCATGCCGCCAAAGTGAAAAACAATGTAAACGGCAAAAAATGACGGCTGATGCCGGAAGTGGTATAAGGCGCAGCCACCGTTATAATGCACAATCGCTTCAGGTAGTAAAAAGTAATGATTTTTAGCTGGTTGCAGGATCTGGCGACTCAAAATTGTTGTCCATGTAGATCATCGCATTTTTTATCTGCTGAATCGAAAATTCAGTACTTTTCGGCATGCTTTCGTCAATTTCTTATATCTTATACCTTGCTCTTGTTTTAGGGACTGACTTCTGGAGATGCCAGCGATGAGACTACGTTACGTTATCTCCCACTGGAAGTCTTATCAGAAGCATTGTCATATCTCGTTGTAGAGAGAAAAGTTATGTGCGTCTGCCGGGACTGGGATGCACTTGTCATCCATTCGCGGTCCGCCCTTATTGAACTGGAACCGCTGTCTACCCACATTAATACCACACTGGCATGGATGCTGTATGGAACAGCGGTGACTTGGTCAATATCCATCCGATGGCTGATAGTTACCATTCCCCGTCGGCACCGCTGCCGGTTCGTCAGCCGGCATCTTGTACCCGTTGTACACAAACTGTTAATCGCGTTGCGGATCAAAGCGTCGATTATTCTCCTGTCATATATGAAAGGTGCCGGTTATGACGATTTCCTGCCCCCATTCCACTCCGAACAAGTACAATCACCGTGGTTCCCGATTTGTAAGAAGTTGCTACTGGTGGTAGTGGAGCTATCGTTACCGAGTAACTGCTACAAAGCTGACGTCGTCACGGCATTTCGAAACTTTGGCAGTTTGTATGGGGTCTGGGTGGCGGATAAATGGGGCGACGAGTTTCTGCAAATTACCCAAAGCATCTTGTTTACTACCGATGCGAAGCGCTCCACGGGCAAGGGTCGACAATGACGTGTCCTTCGTTAATTTTATGTACAGAAGGGGAATCTGACAGGGTTTTCAGCGAAAACTTCCCCGCCGTTTGCGTGTTTTTATTTTTAACACGAATAATGCATGTAAACATTGTAAAGTTCACGTGTTATTAGGAAAATATGAGTCCAACGTTTATGCACAACGGAATTAACACGTTCTGGTAGTAATGCCGGCGCTTGTACTTTTGCAAACGCTACCACTCGCCTGCTACCATTTTTACTCGGTACAAGTGCACACCGATTTTGTTCTTTTCGCTTTCCACTCATTCCTATGAGCAAAGACTAAGAAAGGTTTTTTCAGAAAATATGTACAGCAAGTTCTCCTCTTCAGTAAGTTCAGTATTAAAGAACACTTACGATTAGTAATTCTGCAATGCCCGAAGAGGTTGGTATTGCTAGTACGTATTGTACACGCTATTAATTAAAATAATATGACGTTTCTTATCGCGATATGTAAATTTTACGACAGGATTTTACATAACACAACCGAATGCGGAGACAATATACGCATATAGACTAATATATGTAACTGTATATATATATGTAACTGTTTTCTATATATGTAACTGGTACTTTGTGCGACTTGGTACCGGAAGCAGAAACAGTTATTTTCACAAAAAATTTACAGACCCTCGAACAAACAATTTTAAATTAGCCGTGGCGGTTGTGTAACAAGGGGAAAACATTCGGTGATCTTGTTTATAACAAGTAAAAGTTTGCCTAGTGACCGGAAGAGGAGGAAATCCAGAATAAGTTCTGTACTGTACGAAATAAATTACGGCCATTAGGTGTACCGTGTACAGATACATAATAAAATAGCAACGCGGTAATAATAACCAGTATGTAATATCTGCAATTCTATGAAACAACACGCCTCTACTATGCTTCCCGATTCCGGCAGCTGCGCATAACGCAGCTGCCTTCTCTGGGTCTGAATAGGAAGCCGCTACCGGAAAAACTCTGCCGGGTAGCTTGAGATTCTGAGTAATATTACTCAGAACTTCAAACTACCACTGGATCGGACGCCGCGTCAAATTCGGCCCACTAAACTATCGCGCTTTCGCCCCACGGCCCATATATATCTCAAAGGCGGTCGGAGCAAATTGGTATCTCGGAGTCAGCCTGATATAGCTTTAATTTACTTGGAATACCGGCTGGATTATCGGTGGAGATTGAGGAGGAGGTCCTGTATATATTTGTAGTATGGTTGCACAATTCTGACGAAACCGCATATGTACGAATAAGAACAGAGGAACAGAAATAGGCACAAGTATTCGGGCACGATTCTTTGTGAATGATGTCATAAGTTGACTCATAACGTCATGTCCATACCGATATCGATTATTATGATATAACGTGCCCTAGTCTTTTTTGGGTTTATTTTCATGATTCATGATGTCATATTGGATAATTTAGATTCCTAGTTCTGAATTGTTTATATAAGCCAGGGAGACGGCGTCCTGCTTTAACCATTACGATTTTCCTTCTAATTTGTTTCCGGTTTACTGTTTTCATTACCATTTGATCTCTATTGAAACACAACTAATTCTGGAACGTTAAGCAAAAAATATTGGTGGAAATGTCGTACAGATTAATGCTCTCTGTTGCTGACTTGTTGGCTACCTGTTGCAGTTGGAGATGGCACTGTCGGATACCACAATCAACCGTCTGCTGGTTGAACTGACCAACATGACCAAGGAAACTGGCCGGAACCACGGCGTCGTATTTTGGGAGATGTTTGAAAATCATGTGGAAGCTCTTACCGGAACCATCGTTGGACCTGCCGGAACAGTTTATGAAGGTGGCAATTTCCTGCTGGATATCGAAGTCCCGGAAGACTATCCCCAGCGACCACCGATACTTCGCTTCATGACCAAAATCTGGCATCCCAACGTGTGCCCCATCACTGGAAAGTTGCATCCCGGCTTCTACAGAACATGGTGCGAAAGTATGACGATTAGGACGCTGCTAATGGGTGCTCGTCGTTTGCTCCGTTCACCGGTACTACAGATACATTTCACGTGTTTTATACTGCACTGCTTTATAACAATTTTTAACTTTTTAATTTTTTTTAGAGATTTTTAGAGCGCAGATTTTTAATTTGTTTCGTTAACCATTTGCCTAGCTCCTTGAGGATCCTTCCAATGCCGTTCTAACGTGCCAGTTTGTAAATAAACGGGACCAATTTGATCTTACGGCCCGGTACTGGCTGCGAGTGTACGCTAACGATAACGCCACCAGCACGGAGTACACGGAAATGGACAACAAAGTTGCACAGCTGGTGGAGACGGGATGCTGCGATGAGATGGCGGCACGGAATGCACTAGCGTTCGTGGAATGGGATGTCGAACGTGCCTTTGAAAATTTGTGGGATAGCTCTCAACTGGAGGATCGGGATCAGGAATTATCCGCCATCCAGGATGCGTTCACGTTCAAGTGACCTGAGAGATATGGTTATGCGCTAGTTCTCCGTAGTTGAGCAATCGAAAGGACTTATGCTTTGATTCCATGGATCGTGATATACGGTGTTAGAGGTGCTCTACATGTCTTGTACCAATGTTCCTGTCAGACATTGTCCAGCGAGTGGCAGTATTGTATTCAGTGTAAAGATACGATCAAATGAGAATTCTCAGTGTTATGGACTATTCATTTTGTTAGCATACTCGTATATATAATATTGTGTTTTGTTTAGATGTGGAATTTGCTTTACTTCTTAATTGTTTTGTTTCTCTCAACATTATCGGTAGTTTTCTTTAACCCTCACGAAGACGTATATAATGTGGCTGCGTTGTCGAAATGTAAAAGTATCCAAAGAAAATTAATCGCAGATTCGATACGCGTACGATTGGGTGCATTTTGAGATCTCGATATTTGTAATTTAATTTCTTACTCGAGCTATTATGAGCGTTTTTTCGCAAGCTAGCAAAGGTCACACTGACGATAAATACCGGCTATTGTCTTCCTTGATTCTCTGGCATTTCTAAAATTCAGTCTTGCACTCGCTGGAGGACCGCTTGTTCCCCTTCCCTAATTTTTGCACCAAACCTTGCTCCGTTCTTTGTACGCCCTTGTCATGCCGTGAGTTACGTTGTCGCGTTTGATCGCTTGGGAGGAATGTTAACCTGTGTCATCCCAACCGGAGTCACCGGAGTACTTGCGTTAAGTCAGTTAAGAGTGTCCACGACCGTACCAATGCTAGTCGCGCCAACCGTTCATCTCGACAGCCGCATAATCGTGGTAACGCTGATCGCCACGCCACTAATATGCAAATTAAGATAAAAAGATGTAAATTCAACCGAGGTGTGACTGCAGTCTATTTTCAAAAAGGGAAGGGTCCACGCGCTCACAAATTATTTACATGGCATAACGGTAGCAGTGCGTAGTCTGAATTTCATGATTGCGTATATGGTGCCGACTGCCGAATTATACAGTCGAATGTACCACCACCAACCGCCAACACGCTAACGAGAAATTATGCTGCGGCAGCATACCAGCTAGTAAGTGCCAGTCAATTTCGTACAGTAATGTTTTTTCTAATGGTAAGCCGCAAGATGTCGAACTCAGAGTCCACGTAGCCATAGATCCGAGAACCTTGTACGCCAACCAAATCCTGTCCTCCAAATGACGCAATTCTCGCAAATCTCTTACTTTGTAGCATATCTAGTCTCTCGAGCTAGCATCTGACAGAGTCCATGAAGAAGAGTTCGGCCAGGAGCAACTTCCATCCGGCATACCGCTCGCCATGACCAGGAAGGCAGGCGAGAGCGGGGCAGCGTTTCAGGCAGCACATCTGGATAATCTGTGCTCATATGTATACCATCGCGTATGTATATCTTTTCTAAACATGTATATCTTTCCTGACTATTTGCGATATGTAGAACGCACAGTTACTTTGTTAGTTGCTGCATGAATCTGCAGCGAACACTTATTGCCGCCTAAGATTCTATGAAAACTTTAGGTAGGAAAGAAGTCAATAGCATCGTTTCTTTTGTCCATATGTCAATATTGCCAATTGACAACATTTCAGAACATAGTGATATGGCGTGCATCTTGACCACTGCGATGGGTCAATATTGACATATTGTGGTATGTCACTTGAGACGACAAGATTACGGGAAACCAAACTGTCAAATGTCAATATTAACAAACTGAAACGCGGTGACCCATACTCAATGTCCAATGTCCTAACAGCTATACGGGAACAGGATAAGCTTTTGTGAAGATGCTATATAACGAACTTCTGGCTTTATCGAAATTTACCATGTTGCTATATAATATTAGTACTCGCCTACCCTCCTGCAAAGAAAGTACTACATTATCAGCTGCACAATTAAGTGTACAATTATTTGTTAGCGAGTCGGCATGCTTAGCAGTCAGCAGCGAGTTAGCAGCTAGCTAGTTGGTCCTCGTGATTTATTCATTTTGCATAACTTTTTCTGCTCATTTCTACCATCGATCAATGAGAAAACACTATTTCGAGAGCGGCATCTCTTCTGTTTTGACCATTGCAGGAATTTTAAATCTCGTCTTATAACGTACATACAGCAACTTCCAGATTTTTTTGTCTTTGCCTTAATTATCAGGATAATGTTTAAAAACGATATTGGGCGTTATGGTGTCGTGGACGTGATGGGCGACAGCGGATTCGTTCGTCATGGAGTCATTGTGGACCTAGTGGAGGATGGAGGGGATTTGGTTGTCGACTTCGACCATCCTAACCATCATGCTGACCGCATCCCCACTAGCAGTTCCTTAGCGCCTGCGAGACCAAGATACAGACTAGACAAAGCACAAATTGACATTGTAATCCTTATTCAATTAAGCCGAGACCAGCCGTGGTGCTGGTATCCTGGAAAGATTGTAGTCCCAGTCTCTGATTGCGATAAATTCGGTACTCACAACCATGCTCTGGTGGAAATTCACATCAATGGGAACCGTGTGCGGGAATTTGTTAATTGCAATGATGTTGAAGCTGCTCGTGGCTGGATTCCTTTGGCTGATGAACAAGGTCCTTATTTTCGCAAGCATCTTACGAATTTTGCTTACGAGCCAGCTTCACTGGAAGAAATTCATCAGCCAGAATTTCGAGATATTTGGAATCGTGTGACGAAATCTGCCCTAGTTCGTGCCGATTTGGTGGATGGTGGGCTGAGGGTTGTTTATATTTCGCTGGCGGAGCAACCTATGGAGGCGGCAGAAGGCGTACGTTCCCTATTTGTAGTGCATACAGCATACTGTGAATTTGCTAGCTTTCTATTTTTGTAATTTGGGTATGGGCAAATGCTTTTATTAATTAATCAATCTATAGAATTTTTAATCAGTCAGCCTTACTGGTTAAAAAAGTTGATGGTACATGTATTTGTATGTACTGAAGCTAACAAAACAGTACCATCAGTTCTCAAATCGCGACTTTTATAAAGGGTTAAATTCACTAATACTGTGAACAACTACAGCAGAAGCATAATGAAGAACAACTCCAGTTATTCTTGAACAATTATGATGCTAAACTGCTAGAGTAGTAGATGTACATTGTGCAAATACTGCAATGGTGCTACATGTGAGCAATGAGCATTACTAGGATCGGCTAGGTAGAAGTGTTCTGATAGTTCACACTTAATACTGTTTCCTGCTTCAGCTCCCGACGCTCGCTCGAATAGAGCGGGAACTGATGAACTATCGTAAAAAACGAGAAAAACGCGAGAAGAAGCTGGGTAACGTGAGTACAAAGCGGACCGATAGTGATCGTGATATTGGAGTTACGAAGCCAGGAACTGAAGCAAAACGAATTAAAACGGACGCATCGAAAAGCCGGGCGTTACCGGATACCTGTTCTGTTGTGGCTTTGAAGAGCAGCGCTACCATAAACTTGACAAAGCAACCGGTAAGACCCATCTAAAATCACCGCGTGTTTAACTTCGTACTGGACGAATTTTTATTTCTACTAAAGGCGATAGCTCGAGGATACGGGAAAAGGGGTATGCCCTGGTCCCATGTGCCTCCAGAACTTGTCTTCGAGACATTATCCTATCTGCCAATGAACAAGCGAATGCGATTGCGCCGGGTGTGTTGCACCTGGGCCACCATACTTCCAACTGCTTTTGCACATTTCTTCATCGAAGTGGATCCTGACGCATCCTGCCCGCTGGCCAGATTAGCCATGACACTGCATAAGACCGTGCGGGCGAGCACGAAAGTGTTGCTCATCACGCCTCCTGCAAAACTCCGACGGAACGGTGAATATTCTTTGAACATCGTACGCACTTTAGCGGAAATGCTCGCTGGCATGCGGATCCGCGTGCCAGTTATTATTCTGGCACACGTACCCGCCGATTATTGGGATCTGCTGTTGACCATCGCCAGGAGCGCGTTTGATCCGCTGCCTTGGCGCACGGTCTGCCAGAAGCTGTTGCTGATAGAGGTCAAGGTGGCCACATTGTTGTGGGAAAAGTCCACGGAAGCTTCCAGACAAGAGGTGCTCGATAAACTGCAAGCTTTCCATCAGTTGACGGAAATTCGTTGGTTGTGGCCGTATAACGCTTTTCTGCACGTGGTCAAAAGTTCGATGTACACAACTCCAATCGCACTCCAATAGGATTTTGCATTTACCGCGACATAAATTTTCTATCCAAATGCGCCAGTGTACATGTACACTGTTCCACTTTTGGCTTTCTACTTTTGTTTGCGCACAGGTTTTGTATAGAAGACCAATGTCGGTTTGACTCTCCTAGTCTTACTTTAAAGTAGATTGATCGTAATGTATCTGTACAACACGACTTCCAGGCTAATACGGGATTTATACTGTACCTACCTATGCAGCAGAAAAGTTCTGTAGGTGGCCTTATATATTCTACGAGTAGGGCTTTACAAATGTACGAGTACAGGTTAACAGTGATGCCCGCGTATATTTCTGTCTGTTCTTACTATCTTCTTACTGTTTTTTTTCGCTCTCTTTTAAACTTTGTTGTACATATATATAGCCTGCGTAGGCGGTCCCAGTTTCTTTGATTTTGATTTTGTCTTCTGTTTTTTGCCAGTGGTCAGACGACTCAGATATGTTTCGTAAAAAAAACATTTTCGTGGCCACAGCTGCCGTATAAAGTATGGTATAACGGTGCGCTCCTGCAGTTAACGCCCAGTTTGTGGTGGATCTGAAGGCTACAGGATTATTTTCTATCTGAGTAGTGGGTATGTCCGGTTGCGTACCACGGGTCACCCGTGCCAGGTTATGTACGGCGGCAAGTATATCGACACGTAACGATAACTTAATTGAAATTTTTAATCTGATCGCATCGTACTGCAGCAAAGCTAACAATAATTATTAGTAATTTGCATGTTTCGACTGCCAGGTGCTGTTGACCGTACCAATAGGTCCTCATCATTAGTCGTACGTGTAGGACAGCAAGGCATACGTACGGACTGTGGACCGATACGGTAATTCATTTCTGGGTGGGTATAGACTGTAGACACGGGTAAGAACAAACGTCGCCGGCCTATTTAACCAATACTTTCCATGCATCAATCTGAATTCCCCTTCCAAGCCATCTACAAGTCATTACAGCAACAACTAAGTATCATTTTCCTTCGAGTTGTATGGAAAAAACGTTTTGTTGAAAACCGAAATTCATCATGATAACAGCGACTAGCGTATCGTGCACCCAGCCAACTTCCGCGCTGTATCTGTAGTATCAACTATCAACCAATCTGCAAGTTTCAATACTTCAAAAAATTTATCCTAGAAGTATGCAGTATGCACTACCCCGAGTAGCATACCCATAGTGAAATTTGCATTTTGCAAGAGAATCACAACGATCAACGATGTCATTCAATGCGGTTGTTAAAGAACGCCGAAGTCCGCACGTCTGCGTTAATTACTGCATAAGTAATATAAATTCGTATGTACGAGCACTTCCGGTACTGCGACACCCGCGTAGAGGTGGTTTACTTTAGCTGCGCAAGCAAAGAATGAAATACTCGTCCTATCGCCTTTCGTTCTGGTTTTGCCTTTTGATATTCAAGTCATCTGTATAAATACAATTTGATGGCGTCGTTTGTTTTACACCCATCAAACTCTGAATATGTTTAAAAAAGACGTTTGGCGTTACGGTGTCGTGGACGTCCGGGACAACAATGGAATAATTATTAGTCATGGCATGGTAATTGATTTAGTTGACGACGGTGGCGATTTGATTGTGGACTTCGGGTACACTGGCCATCATGCTGATCGCATCCCACTGAGCCGTTGCGTCGCATTTACCAATGACGACTACTTTCGTGCTGGTGTCAGTGTGCAGCTTTTAAATCAACAAAGTCCCGATCGGCCGTGGTGTTGGTATCCTGCTAAAGCCCTCGCCCGGGTGACCGATCGCGGAGCGCATAAGTACAGTTACGTCCTGGTGGAGATGGACGTCAATGGACAGCGCACTCTGGCGTTTGTGAATTACGATCGCATCCGAGTGCCAAGGGAAATGTGTTCCCTGGCGGAGAAGGTGCTGATAAGCATTGAACGAGGACAGTTCTACGATAAGTTTCCCATCAGACAATTGTGTTTTCTTAAGCGGCGCGTCGAGTTAGGGTGGTTTCCCGACGTGTTAGCCATGGCGGGGAAACGGGGATTTCGAGAAATGTGGAATCATTTAACACGCACCATCTTTGCCCATATCGAAGTGCAGGCGCACGAGATAACTTTGCATTATATTTGTGCGTCGAAGCGCAATCGTATCATGGACGCAGCGAAATGTGTAAGGGTTTGTTTGCTGTTAATCTGTGGCATATTTGGCGCATATATGCATACAGCCACAGGTGGTTGGTTATAGGTGGGCGACCACTGGGCGCATTTAAATAGCTTGTCATCGCCAATTCCCAAAGGCCGTTACCAGAAAACATAAACACATACCATGATACTTATAACTTATGCAGTTGTTTTAAGAAAAAATAAGCAGTTTTTTTTACAGAAAGAGCATCTGGGTCGCATAAATTCCTTAGTGGATTCACACCACAGGAAACGAGAGATTCTAATTGAAGGATACTACAAAATCCCAAAGCGACGTAAACAGCAGAAACTGAGTGTGAGTGGTGATTCTCTCCGTGTCAAACGCCGCCGTCAGAGCGCGCAATCCCTCAAATGCAAGGTATAAATGCGCATTTTTTGTTGCAAACTTGCAGTCGGATGTAGGTATAGGCATGATAATCTTAGTTTTTAATTTTTCTTATTTGATGGGTTGATATCGCGATCCACATGCAAGATCGCGATTACACGTAAATCTTTATGACTTGTGAGTGCAATGAGATGCTACGAGTGTACTTTTAAGGCGTCGTCAAGCGCACCTTTATAAGTCTCCAAATCCAGTACCGCCGTTTACCAAGAGGTACTAGAGCTCGCTCGGTTAAAATGTTGTAATAAACAACCACCCGCAGGCCGAAGGTATTGCTTACGTATTTTAATCTCTGCGTTTAGGGACTCGGCTCTGAGTCTATCCTCCTGTCTTATCTGCCGTTGGAAGTTTTAACGGAAACCTTGTCGTATCTCACTGTGGAAAGAAAAGCGATGTACCGACGCGTCTGTCGAGACTGGGATGCACTTATCGTTCATTCGCGATCTGCTCTGATTCAGCTGGATCCGTTGTCGAAGCACCTTCAAACCACACTGGCATGGATGCTATATGGAACAGCAATGACTTGGTCAAATTCCATCCGATCACTGATATTTGCCGCTATCCATCCGGATCGCTGTTTTTTTGCCAGCCGTTATGTTATCCCCATCGTAAAGCAAATGTTGGCAGCGTTGCGGATGAAAGCGCAGATTGTTCTCCTAGCACATATTAAGGATGCTGATTATAGCGAATTTCTTCCACCGTACCAATCGGAAACTCCACCGCCGTGGTCCGCGATCTGTCGAAAGTTGCTCCTGGCGCATGTGGTGCTGGCCATTCCGCTGGACTACACCGAAGAAAATGTGGCTGCGGTTTTTCAAAGGTGTGGTAACATGGATGGATCCTGGTTGAAGACGAAGGATGAATGGAGCTGCGATACATTGCGGATTAACCGAAGCACCATTTGTTCGACCAAGGAGTAGCGGAGCATGTGCGAGCCAGTGAGGGTATACAGACAATTTGAGACAATGACGTCCTGTACTATGACGTTCTTCGTATGGTAACGCTTGACCACTGTATAGAATGCCTGAGAATGGACATTCAAGTTTCAAGTATTGCTACCAGTATGTTGAAAAACGAAGTCATGCACTCCAAAGGATTTTGCAAAACAACGTATTAGTAACTCAGCAATACGTTTTGTGGAATTGATTGTGGAAACTGGAATCGCCGCACCCACTTGTTACCTGCCACAGAAGGCAATTAGTTTATTAGCTCCCAGAAAGTCAATATGCTGCAGCATCTTGTGCAGTGTGCGTTATCAATGCAAAACAGTGTGCGTTATCACCTGTAAAACATACACATGTCAGGAATATATCATATCGGTGATCCGGTGGACGCTGACACCATTTCTGGAGTGAAAAATAAAGACGAACCAATGACCGACGTTAATTTTTTATGCACCACGTGTTCCGTGCAGTACTACATTTACGAAAAATGAAATTATTAACTTGTAAATTACTGTTACATACTTACATGTGATGATGTGCAGTACTTCGGCCACACTCAGAAGAATGTCCGATGCTTCTCTGTCAAAATAAAATCAAAACGAATATAAATAGGGCATTTTAGTTACGCATCCGTGCTGCAACGTGACGGGGATGCCCAGTGTCCAGCTGATGCATTTCCGGGCGTGCTGCCACCGCCTGGGAGAGCGGTGCAACGGTTTTGTACGGTACTGCCAGCTCAGATTTGTCGTGTTTCAAAAATCATTAACTAAGAAAATTTTTTAGCCGCATTTACCTTTTCGGTTATTTTGCCCTGTCGTTGTTTAGATTGCAGTTTTGTAACTTCTACCTGTTTTGTTACATGTTTCTTTTCTACTGGTAGTAAATCTTATGCGTCATTTTGTGTTTAATAAAAGACGTTTGGCGATACGGCGTGAAAGATGAAGATGATGCGGGTACAATCTGGTAAACCCTACTGTAACAGGCTAACACGACACTTACTTCGTCTGTGTACCTCTGCAAATCAAATTTTCAGTTCCCGTGCCGAACCATCTATGAGTCTTCTACAACATCTATTCCCATATCACCAGCTTTGAATTTTATGGAGAAAATCCTTTTTCAAAAACCTAATGTTACTTAATTATTACCAGTGGCGCCGCTGAGTGCACCCAACTCCCGTATTTACTCGTGGATACATTTACAGCATCAACCTTATAATTACTCGTATCAACTTTATAATTACTTGTAGCAGCTTGTACTCGTATTTATGCAGATGCTCAGATACAGTACAAAATTACAACGATAACAACGTTTTCAATTGCGGTGACTTCTGAACTCCAAAGTCCAGACGGCAGACGCCGAGTTTAATGCCGCTGAAACGCGTCTGCTTAAGGTTACCCCTATTTTGGCACTGTAATTAATGACCGGCCCGGCTTACCATTTGCATGCCTGCGTATATGCAAGCGATTAGATTTGGACATGCAGTCAAATGAATGGAGACTGGAGAGCACCTGTTTGCGATTTGTATCTTTTGTTTTACTGGGTCATAAAACCGTAGCAAAATTGATGCAAACTCTGAAGACAAAAGACTTTGATCACACATGAGTGTAGCTGGGCAGCGCACAATCGGTTGTCTAGTTGGTCTTTCGGGCTATTCCTACGTGGTGTGTGTGGTGAACTGAGACTGCCAACATCTTCAAATGAGATTTATCCCTGCATGAACTTTCGAATCCTACAGCTAAAAATGCGGTTAATAGGCTTTGAAAATTAACTAGTCACTAACGGAATAGAGTAGGATTTTGAAATTTTGACAGTGGATGTATGGATATCGTAAAAGTCTAATTGCGAGGGCGATTTTGAGAAAAGTTGGTTTTGCTCGAGTTATTGTCGAATCAAGCAACCAACGAAGTGTTTTTTGCAAGTTGCAACTTTAAAATGGACTTTTTCCAAAAAAGCTCTCGCAAGGTGCTGGAGAATCGCGTTTTATATTTTACAGGCCGGTAACAAAAAATCTCAGTTCAATCTAGTCAGACTAGTTAATTTTTAAGCGGAATTACCAAATCTTGAATTTTAAAGTTTACTATTGAACCTATGATACTGGTTACAGGGGTTGAATTTTTCATGATTTTAACTAAGAAACACTTTAGAATGGTCAAGACTGAGTTTCGAGTCGATATCGCAGGATCTCCACATTCGCGAACGGTAAAAGCCAAAATAGGGGTAACCTTAAATAGGCTCGTACTTCCGGTTCTGCGACGCCCGCGTAGAGGTCGCATTTGGCTAAACCGCTAACGATGTATCGCGTTCGTTTTGGTTGTGCTTTGCAGCTGATTTACATAAATAAAATCTGATTGCAGTTGTATTACGAAATCCCATCAATCTCCGAATATGTTTAAGAAGGACGTCTGGCGTTACGGCGTCGTGGACGTCCAGGACGATAATGGGCTGACTCACCATGGCATGGTAACTGACCTGGTTGAAGACGGTGGAGATTTGATTGTGGATTTCGGATACACTGGCCACCGTACTGACCGTATCCCACTGAGCCGTTGTGTCGCATTCACCACTAACGACAATCATCGTGTTGGTGTTGGCGTGCAGTTTTTAGATCAGCGAAGTCCAAATCAATCGTGGTGTTGGTATCCTGCCAAGCTCCTGGTCCGGGTGAACGATATGTACTCCCACGCCCTGGTCGAAGTGGATGTCGATGGACAGCCCATGCTGGTGTTCGTGGGCTATGACAGAATCCGTGTGACAGAAGAAGTGCATTCCCTGACACAGAAAGCGGCGTTAGGCGCAGGCACACCACGTACGCGGTTCTATGACACCTTCCCTATTAGACATCTGTATTTTCACAAACGGCGCGTCGAGTTGGGCTGGTATCCTGACGTACTGGCAGTGGCGGGCAGGAGCGGGTTTCGGGAAATGTGGAACCGCTTAACACACACCATGTTCGTTTGCATGGAAGTGCAGCCGCATACGCGTGAGATATTCTTGCTTTATATTTCCGCATTGAAACGCAAACGTGCTCTGGACGCAGAGAAATGTGTAAGGGCGAATTTATATCAGAGTTTTTGGGACAGCGTCCGTTATTGAACCTGGTTTTGGTCTATGCTACATGTAATTTGGGCAGCTTTTAGTGCCACCGAGAGCTAGTAAGATTGTCTTATGGAACTATTTATCATTTTATCTATAGATAGAAGTATATTTAGTAAAAGGCTTCGAGGCTACGTTGATGCAGTACAATCCTGTCAACGAAAAAAACGGCAAATTCGTGATTACTAATTGCACGTGTCGTTTTGACTTTCTAACGTTCATTCCAAATATGCCCGTTTTGCCCATAATTCATGTGTTTAGGAACTGTAGAAATAAGTAGTTGTTTTGTAGAAAGAGCGCCTGCGCTGCGTAAAAACTTCCTTGGATTATTGTGACAGGAAACGAGAGATTCGAATTGAAGCAAGCCACAAAAACGAAAGGCGACCTAAGAGACCGAAACTGTCGACCGCCGACGCCGGAAATGATTCTGTACGTGTTAAGCGCCGCCGCCATAAAGCGCATTCTCTCAAGGTAAGGACGAATAATCAAAATTTTAATTTTTAAGGTGCAGTCAGGCTATGGGCTACTAGAAAATCGGTGTCGTAAAACTGTTACCCGACAATACAGTATTCGTACTGTAATGTCTGATAAGCGCTTCTGGTTTTTTATGCTTATAATATAGAGTATAATAATTACTAGCAACGACCGCGGCGCGTAGCGCCGCGGTATCCACCGAAGGTTGCGGTGCCGCCTATACTCTTGTATGGTTACTTACTGTCGCGTGGTAACGTTGCGCTGCTAACTTTCGCGTGCTTGCGTTATATCTCTTAGTCTCCCTTGGTTACGCTACGCCGCACACTCTCTTGTGGTTACGTTAAGCCGCTCAATCCCTTGCGACTACTTTGCGCTGCTAACTCTCTTGTGGTTACGCTACGCCGCTCAATTCCTTGTGGTTACTTTGCGCCGGTTGCTCTCGTGTGGTTACGTTACACTGCTCACTCTCTAACGGTTACTTTGCGCCGCTGGCTTTCTTATGGCTACGTTACGCCGTTCAAAATCTTGTGGTTACGTTACGCCGCTCACTTTCTTGGAGTTACTTTGCGCCGGTAGCTTTTGTGTGGTTACGCTACGCTGCTCACTCTCTAACGGTTACTTTGCGCCGCTGGCTTTCTTATGGCTACGTTACGCCGTTCAAAATCTTGTGGTTACATTACGCCGCTCAATTTCTTGTGGTTACTTTGCGCCGGTTGCTCCCTTGTGGTTACGTTACGTCACTTATTCTCCTGTGCTCACGTTACGCCGCTTACACTCTTGTGGTTACTTTGCGCCGCTTGAGCTCTTGTGGTTACGTTATGGCCCTCACTCCCCTGTGGTTCTGTTACGCCGCTGAATTTCTTGTGGTTACTTTGTGCCGGTTTCTTCCGTGTGGTTACGTTCCGCCACTTATTCTCCTGTGCTCACGTTACGCCCGCACTTTCTTGTGGTTACGCGACGCTGCTCATCCACTTGTGGTTACGTTACGCCGCTCCTCTTGTGGTTACAGTATGCCGCAAACTTTCTCGTGGTTACTTTGCGCCGGTCACTCTCTTGTAGTAACGTTACGCTGCTCTATTTCTTGTGATTACTTTGCGCCGGTAACTTTCGTGTGGTTATGCTACGTCACTTGTTCTCCTGTGCTCCCGTTACGCCGCGCACACTCTTGTGGTTACGTAACGCTGCTCATTCTCATGTGGGTACTTTGCCCCGCTTACTTTGTTGTGGTTACGTTATGCCGCTCACTTTCTTGTGGTCACGTTACGCTGCTCAATTTTTTGTGGTTACTTTGCGCCGGTTACTCTCGTCTGGTTACGTTACGTCACTTACTTTCCTGTGCTTACGTTACGCCGCTTACTCTCGTGTAGTTGCTTCCTAAGCCGCTTGTTTAATTTATTTGAATTTTTTTGTTAATTTAATTTTAATTTGTTTAGGTTAGTTATTTTATTTAACTTATTTATTTTATTTATGTAATTTTAATTATTTTTATTAATTGCTATAGATCTAGTTAACTGAATTCAGTTGATAAGAAATTAATTACTTTTATTTTTCTATTTATTAAATTATTGATCAGTTAGTTATTTAATTAAGATATTTCGTTTTAATTTATTGTATTTAGTTTATTTAGTGGGAAATTAATGAAATAATTTAGTTTAATTCAGTAAGATGTTCAGTAAGTTAGATTCTTTAGTAAGCTTAGTAAGTCCGTATAGTAGGTTTAATTCGTTTAGTTAGTGTATTCAGCAGGTTTATTTTGTAATTTGTTTCAGCAAGTGGACTTTGTTTAGTAAGTGATTAAATAGGCTCAGATGTGTTTTAAGTTTGGTAGGTCGGTTTAGTAAATTTAGGTGGTTCAGTAAGCTTGTTCATCAAGTTCACTTGGTTTAGTGTGTTCAGCAAGTTCAGTTTGTTAAGTGAGGTTGTATAATATATTTCCGTTGGGTTCAGTTGGTTCACTAATATTAATGTTATGTTCAGTCGCTTTACCAACTCTTCGGCTGGGTTGAGTTGGTTCAATAGGGATTGGGTCAGATTCATTTGGTTCAGCATGGTTTGGGTTTAGTCGGTTCAATAAGGTTTTGGTTGGGTTCAGTCGGTTCACTAACTTTTCGGTTGGTTTCAGTTGTTTCAGTAAGATTTTGGTTGGGTTCAGTCGGTTCAGTAAAATATTGGTTTGGTTCAGTCGGTTCACTAAGTTTTCGGGTGGTTTCAGTTGTTTCAGTAAGATTTTGGTTGGGTTCAGTCGGTTCAGTAAAATTTTGGTTGGGAAAGGTCGGTTCACTGACTTTTGGTTTGGTTCAGTCGGTTTGGTTGGGTTCTGTCGCTGTCGGTTCGCTGAAGCGGGTTTGGCTGGTTCAGAAAGGTTTTAATTGGGTTCAGTGAGTTCACTAACTTTACGGTTGGGTTCAGTTGGTTCAGTAAGGTTCTGGTTGGTCAGCCGGTTCACTAACGTTTTGGTCGGGTTCAGTTGGTTCAGTGAAGATTAGGTTGAGTTCGGCTGGTTCAGAAAGTTTTTAATTGGGTTCAGTCGGTTCATTAACTTTTCGGTTGGTTTCAGTTGGTTCACCAAGGTTTTGGTTGGTTTCAGCTGATTCATTTTGTTTAGTAAGTGTGTTCAGCAGGTTCAGTATAGTCTGTGAGTTTGTTCAGTATGTTCACTTTGGTTAGTAAGTAATTAGGTTGTGACCAATGAAAGCAATTTGGAGGCGGTCGCGTTACGACTCCTGCCGCTTAATATGTAAGATTATTTAGAGACTTACCCACCAGTTATTATCATGGCGGTAGCATATTAGCAGCAGCAACAAAGTCAATAATTACAGTGACATTGTACACGCTCATTGTTTTCCTGTAGTTGTGATTATTTTACTGTACTTTATTCGCACCTTGGCGGCCCCGTGGTTTAAAAGCCATATGATTTATCTCTTGCGAGTTTTGCGTAATGGTACGCGAGGAACACAGATTGCCGAGCTCCATGCCATGACCCTTCGCTCCTTATAATACCTGATTTGCGATAAGCAACCGGACTAGTACACATGCCAAGAAATCGCGAGCACAAGTCATAAAAAGTAATTAAAAATCAATTAAGACTGTGCTTACTAGGAACAGTCATGGTCACAGAGAGACGGGCCCGACTACCAAAAGTGACAATCGGTAGGCCGCAAGTGCACATGCACATGCGAGAGGTAAAACGATGGATGAATCACAGGAGAAGGGAGAATTTGGTCTGCCCTGTGTCTGCCCGGGGCCGGTCCATCGCGCGTGCAGTTTTTCGCAAGGCGAAAGAGGCAAGCATTCCTTTCAAACGCATGACGCGGTGCCTCCGAGTCATGGTATCTATAGCATGGGTACTAGCCGCTTGCTTATCGCAAATTCCAAAATATGTACTGTACTACGCTACGAGCAGGATACACAGTATATGCTTTTCGCCCCACGGCCCGGTTTGTATGCAATCGGCTCTGTGGTCAAGCAGTCTTCGTGGGCTGACCGGCTGACCGAATGGGTGCCGGCAGGCTGGCAGACAGAATGCTCTCTGCGTAGCTTCAATGGTCATTTGCCTGTTGTACTGAACTTTGACGCGATAGTGGTTTCTAATTTATCAAGTCCAAGAAGATATTCCTGTTATAGTGTACATTGTCGGCATCAAAGTGAACAGGAAGACAATTACTCGCGCTATCCGTTGCACTAATTTTTATCTCGATATGACGTCGCGTTCGTACGGAATTTTGGTTTAAAATTTTGTTTTTGATAGTTCTACAGCGTTTTTTTCGAATTTTTGAAAACCCTCCCAGCAACGGATAGTCGACATCAAGATCTATCATAAGGCGATGTATCGTCCTAAACGGGTGAATAGTGAATATTTTTACCGGGGTCGAAGCAGAAAATTAATTTCCTCATTATTTTGTTAATGACCGCACAAAACTTTATAAAAAAATTCTCAGATGTTAGCACAACATCTTGGTGGCATACGGCAATAGTCAAGTTAACCGCACATTAACCACCGAGTGCACACTAAAAATTAGCGCAAGGGGACCATATGTTGGGTACCCCTCGTCTTAAGCACGTAGTACATACAAGTATTAAACGCGATTAAGAAAATAATCAGTCACCCGCTTTGTACATGTGTATTGTACCGGCACCAGACCACGCAGATCAAATTAAACCATCAAACGCTTATGAATTCTCGCTAACGGCTAAAAGGTCAATGTGGATCCGTTGGGTTTTTTACAAGATATTGATTGTATTAGGGACTGGTTTCCGAAGAGGCGAGCGATGAAGCAACTCAGTTGTGGTATCTGCCACCGGAAGTTCTTTCCGAAGCATTGTCGTACCTCGTTGTAGAACGAAAAGGCATCTGCCGACGAGTATGTCGAGACTGGAATGCGCTGGTAGTCCATTCACCGTCAAGCCTACTACTTGAAATCGACCAGGGGTCTACCCACATTCGGACAACAGTGGCATGGATGTTGTATGGAGTAGCGAAGACTTGGTCAGCTTCCGGTTCCAGGAACTCCAACCAAACGCTGATAGTTTCCGTCCCACAGCAGCACCGCGACCGGATTTCTGAGCGTGCGGTGGTTAACGTCATACACGAAATGCTAACAGCGTTGCGGATGAAGTTGCACATAATTCTTCTGTCACACTTAAAGGAAGCCCATTATCACGATTTTCTGCCACCATTTCAGTCCGAACAACAATCGCCGTGGTTCGCGGTCTGTAGGAAGTTGATGCTGGTGGAAGTGGTGCTGGACAAACCGTACGATTATACCAGAGCAGATGTGGTGAAGGGGTTTCGAAGCAGTGGCACTATGGATGGATTCTGGTTGCGAAATCCGTGGGACAATACTTTGCGGATTACCAAAAGCACATTATCGTTTACCTCGACCGGGGCGTAGTGGTGCACATTTCCAGAGGTCCTTCGCAGTAATCGACAATGACGTCCATCGTTTGGAACTTGGGTAGTACAGTGGTCGATAGAATAAAAATACGCTGGAATGCAGCGCTTGAGTTTTTTAGCATGGATATCGCAAATAACGTTACGACATTATCAGAAACGTACATTTGGTTTCTGATACAATATCATTTTATGCGATTGATTACAGGACGTGTGGGATATTTAATGGAACTCTAAAACGAATTTCATATACTGACGGTTAATTTACTGAATCGATTGTTTGCAAGGATATCGTTGAACATGTATTATTAACTTTTCTTATCGGGTTGTTATTAAATTTTCGTATTGTCTTGTAGACTGCCTGTTCAAGGAATAGTACGCTTTGCCGGTTATGTACAGCAAAACAAAAATAAGAGCATAAGCAGCGAACCAATTTAATTACCACTGGCACTCAGCAAGGAAGATATGTCCAGGTAGTTAATTTGCGTATCATTTATGAAGTATGTCTTCGGAAGACCCATAAAACATAAATCCATTGCACCACCGTACACCAGCACCAAAACGCCTGATTAAACTTCTGCACTCGTTGCTATAAATTGCAAAATAAGGAAGTACTTCCGGTTGTGCGACATCCGGATAAAGGCGGCAGTTTTCTGAACGGCTGCAAGACCACTTACTGTACTTGGCAGGGTAGTTGCTGACCACACGTGCACACAGGAGATGGACCACAGCATAATGTCGACAAAATTAATCACAACATGTACATACTCTACCCTCCGGGTAAGTACTGTACCAGCGTAGTGAATTATTATCCGTATAATTTGTTTACTATGGTTCTAGTAGCGATACGAGTATGGCAGGTGCATAGTGAGAAATTTCTTGATTAAATTATGCTGATATCTTAGCATCCATAAGCCCGAAATTGGCGAAATATGTTTAAAAAGGGCGTTTGGCGTTACGGCGTCGTGGACGTGAAAGACGAAAATGGGCTTATCCGCCACGGAATGATAGTCGATGTCGTTGAAGACGATGGGGATTTAATTGTGGACTTCGGATACACTGGCCACCACGCTGATCGTATCCCACTGAGCAGTTGCGTCGCATTCACCAACGACGACCCCCGTCGTGTTGGTGTTTGCGTGCAGTTTTTAAGTCAGCGCAGCACCGATCAGCCGTGGTGTTGGTATCCTGCTAAAGTACTCTTCCGGATACACGATCCTTATATGTACACCTACGTTCTAGTGGAGGTGGAATTCGATGGGCAGCCCACGCTGGCATTCGTTGATCATGACAGAATTCGCGTAACAGAAGCCGTGTGCTCCTTAGAACAGAAGGCGGTGCTGAGCGACGCCACACAACGAGCGGCATCGCAGTTCTGCGATAAATTCCCCATTGGGCAGCTGTATTTTCACAAGAAGCGCGTTGAATTAGGATGGTGCCCCGATGTGTTAGTCCTGGCAAAAAGGCGCGGGTTTCGGGATATGTGGAATCGTTTGACACACACTATGTTCGTCCGTATTGAAGTACAGCCAGGCATTATGATTCTGCATTATGCTTGTGCGTGGAAGCGCAGTCGTATAACTGATGCAGCGAGATGTGTAAGAGTTTCTTCGGTTTTGATTTCGTGTTTGCTGTGCAAACCTGCGTTCGCGTATGCGTGGCTAAACTCGGCAACTGTCATTACCAGGAATGCCTTGGCCTGCAATTCATCATGTGTTTGTGTTTGTAGTCCGATAAAAACTAAAAACGTTTTGTCTTTTAGAAGGAACGTCTGCGCCGCGCAGATTCTTTACTGGATTATCATGACAGGAAACGAGAAATTCGAATTGAAGCTTGCCACAAAAACGAGAAGCAACGTAAACGACAGAAACTGACTACCGATACCGGAAGCGGGTATTCCTGTGTCAAGCCCCGTCGTCTCAATGTACACTCTCTTAAGGTAACTGCTGCATAAAATACGCGTCCTGATTTTCAGTCTGAGTTCGGATGTCGACACGAGAACATTCATTATATTATTTAATAAAGTATTCTTTGTGCGTACTGCGTACATCCAGTTAATGCTCTACCGCTTCTCTACAGAGATAGTATGCTACGGTACTACCATTTCCGTGAGAACTGAATAGGCTGTTCTTTTCCGCGCCAATCACCGGGTATCAAAAAGAATAATTATAATATTCATTATACAAACTGCAGTAATCCGATCCGTAGAACAAGGCGTGCCATAGAAAAAACTCTAGTTATTATATTCATAGAAGAGCTCATAATCTGCATTTACAATTAGTGCATCACTGCATCGGCACCATGATGGCAGTGCTTATGCCAGCCATGAGACTATAAGCTCTCTGCTATAAGTACGTACGCAGACCTAAGCAAAAATCATCGAACGGCTTGTGAATTTTTCCCATCCAGTTTGTCGACCTTCCAGTATTCTTGTGTTCAGACCCTTATCTTTGCAAACTTTTATTTTACGAGCCCGTTCTGTTTAGGGACTCGTTCCCGCAGACGCCAGTGAGGGAGCTACTCAACTATGGTATCTCCCGCTGGAAGTGCTATCGGAAATGTTGTCGTATCTCGTTGTAGAAAGAAAAGCAATGTGCCGACGCGTCTGTCGAGACTGGGATGCCCTGGTAATCCATTCCCCGACTGTTCTCATTGAACTGGATCCGTTGGCAACCTACGTTGAGACCACACTGGCATGGATGTTGTATGGAACAGCGAAGACCAGGTCATGTTCCATCCGATCCCTGACAGTTACCGTTACTCAACCGCACCGCTCTCGACGTCATCATGCCAGACGTAACCTAATACACATCACAGAGGACATGCTAACAGTGCTGGGAATCCAACCGCAGATTATTCTTCTGTCATATATAAAGGATGCCGATTATCGCGATTTTCTGCCGCCATTCCAAGCAGAGCAACCACCGCCGTGGTGGCCGCTCTGTAAGAAGTTGCTGCTGGTGGAAGTGGAGCTGGCCATTCCGCGGAACTTTTCCAAAGATAATGTATTAAAGGGATTCCAAAGTTTTGGCGACATGGATGGATCCTGGTTGGCTGATATCGATGAGTGGGGCCGCAGTAAATTGCAGATTACCAGGAGCACCTTATTCACGGCCGGCGTGAAGCCTTGGCTGGAAAAGGGTCGATAATAACGTCCCGCGATGGAAAGTTTCTTCCACTCGGTTTATATTTTTTGGTGAAGTCAAAAATGGAGCTCCATCGATCAGTACGATGAAATTAACGTGTCGTATGTTTTCCAGAGTGGTTGTCCACCAGCTATATTTTTGTAATAATTTATCACTACAGTATTACTATTATAATGAATTATGCTCAAAATTGCTTGTACGTTTTTAAATTTTGGCTTTCAGATTTGGTTTTTTATACTTTATCTCTACATGTAGGTACAGTATTTAATGTACACTACATTATTTCAGCCAACGCTAGTTGGGTCTGTTGTTTTTTATGTAAAAATCAGTTTCCTGAATCGATATAGAAGCACTTGACTTACGAACTGTACTGAAAGAACTCAAACTGATCGTCAGATACTGTATGTAATTTATCGTTAACAGCTTATAATAGTCTTGGCCTGCACAGCTACCGAACGGCCAATAAATCTAGAACTTTTCTGTACCCCTTTTCTCGCTTTTTTCCCACTGTTTTTTCCTTGCCAAAGTATGAGTTTTTTTACTTGAACGCGGCGCTCTTAATTAGAGCTTGCCCATCGGGTAATGGAGATTCATTATGGAAGCATATCTTCTGCATCTTCCTTTTTTTCCTGCAATTTGTGGAGCAGGCTGCTGGATATACGACGCCTCGCTGTTGGAATAACGGTCGACCGTTGGATATCTGGCCCACCATAAAGCAGAAGCATCTGGCTGTTTTCCCTACTTTGGACGTTAACAACATCCGGTAAGCCAAGACTCCTGGAGCTGGCATCATCCAGAAATTACACGCAGCATCGTTATCCACCTTTTGCGTTTTGCACACGACGCGGTGCCTCCATCCATGCTGCCGTGTGCCTCACATCGAGGAGGAGGGGCCTCTCATTCCATCAAAGACTGTGCAATTGCCATTCGCCATCGGCATTTGGAGTGGGCGGAGTTGTCCAATCAGCTTTTGCTACTTCATTCTTTTTAGGCCCCTTTGTGATGTGCAGGTCGGCTTGCCCTTTTTTGCGGCGCCAAAATGTTGCCTTGTTGTCAATTACGTAGCACTTTGTTTGATTGTTTTCTGAAATTGTGAACTACATGTACTGACGATCTTGAATTGTACCAACCACAGGACAATAAAGGCTGAGACACATTGTATCTATATGCCCTGTGTCACTGTCCACTGTCCAGATCGATACTTCCGGCCGAGCTCCTACCGCCCGAGAGCGCGGCATGAGATAGTTTGCTGCTGTCAGCTTGAGCTGTTCAGACGAGTGCACAATAATACTGTGCAGAAGTGGCGTCTTACTTGATTTTATTCGTGATTTTACAGCCATTGCACCATCTGTGGACCCGGCTAACAGTGCTAGCCGCACTGTTAGCCAGTACGGCTAGCATAGCCGCCTATGGAGGATTTGTCATAGGCGGCTATGTTAACCGCAGGGGCTCCTAGTGCATTACCCTGAAGAAGAAACAGAGAATCATTTATTTTGTCTAATGCTGTGTATTATTCTGCATTTTTCAAGACTATACATAAAAATTTAATGCAGGAATGAACAAAGTTATGAATTTTCAAAGATTTACGTTAAAACAGCCTGTGGCATGGGCCACCGCACGCGTGCTTCTGTTACGTTGTCACTTAACAACTGGAGGGTCCACAGATGGTGCAATGGCTGTAAAATCACGAATAAAATCAAGTAAGACGCCACTTCTGCACAGTATTATTGTGCACTCTTCAGACTTCAGACGAATAACGAATTCAAAAATTCGTCTGCGACTCTGCACTGCAATACGTATCAATTTAGTAATTTACAACCCGTTTATTATTTTAAATTTTATTATTTTAAACTTGTTTGGTTTGTACTTGTCACTGGTTGGCTGTCATCGGAATTATTAAATCTTTTGTGACATTGTTATGTTTAAAAAAAGACGTCTGGCGGTACGGCGCCGTCGACGTGAAAGACGACGACGGAGTGGTTCGTCATGGAATGATTGTTGATCTGGTGGAGGATGGCGGTGACATCGTTGTGGATTTCGACTACCCTGGCCATCACGCTGACCGCGTTCCAATGAGCAGCTGCGTAGCAATCGCACAGACTAAAATTTCCCAATATCAAGCGGGGCTGCAGGCGCAAGTCCTGCTCCAGCATCGCCCCGACCAACCATGGCGCTGGTATCCCGATTCTAGAATCCTGTTTGTCGTCCACGATGGCGTCTACAAATCGCAAGATGGTGCTATTCCCGCCCTGCATGCTCTTGTCGAAGTGCCCATCGATGGAGAGATTATTCGGCTGTTTACGGAATGTGGGAAGGTTAAATTGGCCATGGATTGGGTTCCCTTGACGGATAGATTCCAGAATAATGCAGGCAGGGAGGTGTTTTGTGATCAGTTTCCAAAAGATCTCCGTTTTGCCAAATACTGCATTACGCTGCCGAGCCATCCAGCAGTATTGGAGGTGCTACGGGAACAGGGTTTTCGGGGGAAATGGAATCGGTTGACCAAGTCGATACTGGTTCGCGCGGATGTGGTACAAGAACACCTCAGGTGTAAACCCAAATTTACCTATGTTTCCACGACGGAGCTTCAAATGGATAAACCAGAATTCGTAAGCTACTAGCGCAATCTCGCTTCTTTTTAAATCATTTCATTTATTTCACCACTTAATTTTTTGAAAAATAATTTTAATTTCGATATAGTTTATTAAGATAATTTTAATTTTCACAAGTTTCCAGTGAGGAAAGTTGAACTTTCCACTCTGTATTAGTTATTCTTAATTATTGCATTATTTAGTAATTTTCCTGGTTAATTCATTGTCTTTTTTCTTACTGCTACAGAATGACTACGCACTAAACGTTTCCCATTATGTTTAAAAAATTCTGAAAAAATGTTCTTCATCCCCAGGAAAGGCTGTTTGCCTATGCCGAAAGCGGACAGACGTCTGCGAGAAAAAAGACACGGAACGGCGATAGTGTAGTAGTTGATGCTCTCACTCCGTTTCAGGTACGTGTTATCGATTTGATTCTTCCTTCGTATAACATAACTGCGATTTGAAGGGATGATATTGTAAAATTTCTAATTTTTCTGTAAAGGTATATGGGTATTATCCTGAAGTCTTAATAACCTTATTTATCTGATGCACTGCAGCAACACATAATTCAAAAACTTCGTTCACTCCGTGTGCACTCATTTAATTTGCTAATTACAGATATATATCTGTATTATGCGCAGTACCTAAATAAAGAGGTATAAATCAATTATTGTTTTATCAGCTAAATCGCTGATTTATTTGAATAATTAAGGGTGATATCATTTCCAGGATATGCTGGGACTTTCCCGTTTGCCTCCCGAACTTATATCCGAAATACTTTCCTACTGTGACGCCATTACGTGGGTAATGTGCCGTCAGGTTGATCGCAGCTGGGATGCGATCCTCAGTAATCGCCATTATTCAGTGGTTACCATCCGCACCAGTTCGCGGGTGTCCCGCCCGAAAATTCGTCTAGCCTTGTTAGTGTACCATACCGTTACGGTGTCCACCAGATGCCTGGTAATTTCCGCCCGGGACAATTTTTCGGTGCGCCTGGTGACGGATATGCTAGCGGCTTTGCAGATTAAAGTGCCGCTGATTGTTTTGGCGCGGATGACTGTTGGTTGGGGGGATCTTCTGATGGATGCGCTTTTGGTCAGCGCTTTGATCCGGGAGGGGAATCCGGTAGTGGACTGGTGCCGCGTCTGCGCAAAATTGGAACTGAGGAACGTGGATGTTATCATGCCGCCCATGGGCGTGCTGGACATGGCGAAATGTACGATGCTGACGTATCTGCAGAAACATCATCAGATGCAAGGGATCCGGTTGCAGAAGAAGGAATATGTTTGTCTCAGTGTCGCGAAAAGCGTCATGGACACAGCCCTAATTTCTGGCGCGGCTGAAGCCGGTGTTCAGGTTATTTAAGTCGGAGTTATTATTGATTGTGTTATTTTGAAATCCGGTGGATCTCGTTTCTTGATCTCCTAATTTGTTTTGTGGTTTTAGTTTGGTAAGTTTTAATTGTGGGTGATGTGAAAAAAAATTTACAAATGATGCATTGGATTTTGCCTACGCAGCCAATGCCATATAATATACAGTGTATGTACAATAGTGGTGAGACTTTATTTCAAACCATCACCTGAATACGTGTTTAGAAACAGTTAAAAAAACAACAGTTCATTTATTATTCCCACTTTCTCCACCGTGCCCATAACAGAAACTCAGTTCTCTTTTCGAGACAGTTGTTGCCGAAGATGTTCATGTGAGCGGGCTTCTCCTGAATGAATCAGTACTTACTCTTTTCCCCAGTTCGCCGGGAGTAAGCTCTTCCCCAATTCTTGGATAGCGGCAATGGCCGCTGGTCCCCCTGGGCTCGGTGTTTCAGAAGAGATAAGTGCGAAAATAAAACAGCCCTTTAAATAAAATGTAACCTAGGGTATACTTCTCTTCTGCCTGCAAATCCCGTGTTTGCCGAAGTAGATGTCATGTGGGAAGCGGCGAACGGTCGTGACAGCCCAAGTGGTCGCGGGACATTTCGTCGCGTGGGACATTTCGCCAAAAGGTTTTCGTCGCAGCGGCTAATTTGTTTTGGACAACTCGTTTCGCAGCTGTTTCGTTGTGTGGCATTTGGTCGCGCGACTTTCGGGAGGCGAAACATTATCGACTGGTTTATGACAACGAGTAGCCATATGACTATTTGCCACAAAAACGACTTGTCCTCAGACGAAATATCCGTAAATGAAATGTCCCGCGACCACCTGTCGCGTAGCCTCCACGAGCAGGACGTGCACTTACCAGTACTACTGCATGTCGCGTTTTTGTATCAGCCGGAATCCCAGCTAAACTTGAACCTCGCGGCACCACAGAAGTGAACGACGTCCCGAAGGCTGCTTAACTTTCGCGTGGCAATGCGAATGCACGTGTTTGACATGCATGGGATGTCATTTGTGTCGATAGACTGGATACCAGTAAAACGAAATGTCCCGCGACGACCTGTCGCGTAGCCGGATACGGCTGGATACCGCGCTGGTAAGTACACGTCCTGTTCGTGGATGTTTGCCGGCGAAGAAAGAGCGGAAAAGGACCGGAGTGGTGCATGGTGAGACGGGTGTACTTTGGAACAGAAGAATACAAAGCACAAACTACATATACCGCTATATCGCATAACTTTTTAAATGGGCACGGTCCATCCGATCGATCCTTGACGTTTAGCAATAAAGGAACGAATAAATTAATTATAATACATACACGTATGATGTACATATGTGGCAGTTATGTTACACGCAGTGGGAACTACTGAGTCGAAATCAATCTGTACAGGTACGAGTACAGACGGAATAGGAACCAATCTGCACAATTAATTGATTGAATTAGGCATGAAATTTATACGAGAGAATAGGAATAGAGTAGGAATCAATGTGCCAAAATTAATACCTGTACGTGTTCGGTGCTGAAGATATTAAAGCTTCTTCAGGATTGTTTCATCTCCCTTCCTGCCATTCACAATTCACCGCAATTTGTAGTTTATCAGCATTCACTGCTTCATATTTTCAACCGTACCCGAAGTCGACATCTCCTAAAAATAACCTGCATAATTCCCGTTTCGATCTAAAGTGTTATAGAGCGACATTGCTTACGATTAAGGAACTACTCTAACCACTTTTAATGTTTTTCACGCTTATTCTTTTGCGTCTGCACAGCTAAAATAATACTTATGAACACTATAATAAGGCGAAAACGAGCCGGCACGTGAATTCAACCGGCAAATTTGGTTTCCGCCTTCCGGTAGTTTCCAGCACACTACTTATCGTCGTTTGAGAGTATGTACGAGTACATAACTAATACTTACCAACAAATGCTTTGGATGTTCATTCTGGAAAAGATCATCGTTTAGCAACAATAAAGAAATGTGCTGTCAAATTCGTGTTTGACATTGTTATTTGTGAAGTTCACTTCAGGAAAACTTCAGCAAACGCTTAGGAAAATGTTAAGCAGAGGTTTTCGGTGTTCAGTGAAGTTTAATAAGTGTGTAATTTGTGAAATGATCGGTGCTTGTCAACATCGGTCAATTCTCATCAAGTTGCCTCTACTGTATTATGTTTATAACGGTTGACAAATGCGCTCTGCGGAGATGCACGCATGTTGTACTCCACGGGCGATTATTAATCGCAAGTTTTTGTCTGTTTTGTTATACCGGCTTTCAGTGAATTCGGTGAGTGAGTTTTTCTCACGCCGGTCAAGATCACAGCATCCGAACATGATCAGGACTGTAGAACATCATTACGATGATTCGTGCACATTAACTCGTCCTGACAAGGAACTTGTTGTATACAATATTTTTTGATTTCGGCTTCAAAGCAATTAGCCAAAATACAGTTATCATGACGTAAGCCACGTTTACAACTTATTGCACAATTATTTCGAAATATCATTGAATTTTGAGAGCATCCGTAATTTTGTTACCCAAACATGATTCTGCGATGGATGATAGACTCACAAGTTCGCAAGTCAAGAAGGAATATTCTGGGAATAATTTTAATCATGTATTTAGTAGCATCCTTTGTGGAAGCGACCAATCGTTACTATAACACCTACATTAGCTATGGATCGGTAAGTGCAACCGGCATTAATGTAGGAAAGTATCATACCATGGAAATACACAACTTTACAAGCTGTCGCTATTACTTAAAAGGAAATAACTACTGGTTTTTTATTTATTATTGTTTCGCCAGTATCAGTTTCTAAATGTTTCATATAATTCTTTGGCCGTCGAAAAGTATGCACATAAGGCTGCGCAGACAGTACATGTCTTTGCAGTTCTCCACATTAATTGATTAAAAGTATTCATGCTTTCGGTGTACCGCGAACCGTCGATAAATAATGATAAGTTCCTTTACTTTCTTATATAATAATATGTTTCCTAGGCTGCCGTGAAATTTTTGGTGAAGAGACTGTATAAATTAACTCTGTAATTGTTGATAATAAGTTTATTGCCGGCCTTCGATAACTACGTATATGTAAAGATGCGGAAATGCGGTGTCTATCTCGGCCGTTTTTCATATTAATTTGTCGTTAAAAAGCCTCTTGCATGGTGAACCGGGGTTATCAACTTACTGTCACAGTTTAATTTTATATACAATTAATTGGTGGCTTTAGGGTGACACGATAATACAATCCTACCATCAACATATGGGATCTCAATCACCTAACAGAAAGTGGAATGTTGAATGTCTCGATGGCGAAGCACTGGTTCGTACATATTAGTAACTGCATGATATAACATCGAATCAGTTATGTATATTGTGTGTTACAATATGCACTTGTTTAAATTATTATTTAAATACAGTACGAAGTATTCTTTTTTAGTAAAGTAAGTGTGAGCGAGCTGGTAAGCCTATGGCAGCTAGGGTATATGCCGGCTTTAGAATTCGGGATGTTAAATGCATGCTAACATTAAGCCTTTACAGAAAAATTAAATTACTCTTTAAAAGTATACATTTACTTCTTCACAGCCGTTTCTCTGGTTTAATAAGTTTTACCACTGGCAGTTTAAACGATATGTTCGATTTGCAGTTTGTGCAATAAAATATCAGTTTATTTACCAGTATTTTATTTTTTTAGGTTGGATTGCAGTAAGTGTCTGTACACTAATTTCTGCAACACTCTAGCTAATTAAAGCTTTGTTTTATAAAATTTGACTGCTTTCAGAGACTGGACTGATGATTTTGAGGTAAAGAGTGCCCATTGATATGTGACTGAATTTTGCATTTAAAATACCAAATATGGCAACATCGGTCGAGCATTCGCACAGTTATAATATGAAATCTTTTTTTCAGCGTATCCAAGCCTTTTGGTGCCGATTTACATTTCCTAATAAACCGCCAGCTAGTGGTGCATATCCCTATTACGGCGGGTCAGTAATATTAAAATTGTAGTTAATTTTTTATGTTTGTGATAGCTCTACGGATGTTGAACGTTGTTATTTTAGCGATATTTGATAAGCTACCAGACGTATTTGATAATTTGTGCAGAGAAATAATCTAGTACGGTCATCCAATATATAGATATTACGTTATAGAGTACCTGCAACAAAAAATTCGTACATGAATTTTATTTTGAAGCTTTGGTAAGGCAATATACTTGGTGCTAGATATTGCAAAGGAAGAATTACATATTTATCTTTATATATTGTAAACCATCCATGCATCTACACATGCATACGAAGTATCTATCTTGCTGTTCGTTTGTCAGATGCCATACACGGAACTACACGAATCAGTATTTCTGCTACAATCCACAAAACTCAGCGAAAACCATCAATACATTTATTACCGGTTAGTTGGTACCTGTATAAAATTAGGGCCGCGTAAATCAGGAATTTTCCCCTCTCGTAAAATTTATATTATGTACTTTTAACATTGTGGTTATTCAAATTCAAAATCTTATATCATTGGCAACTTGTTATACTTCGCGCTGATTTTTTGTCTGACAACGACAGCCATGTGGAGTGGCAGTTTCCAGTGGTTCATCCACCTTACGCCCACCTGGGACCAGGTCCCTTACAAATGCTGCCAACCGCCGCCCGGCTACTACATCGACTACACCTCATGCTACTATCAGGTGACCCACGACCCCTTCTTCGAATACTACGACAACACCAACTTCTACATTGTGGTGTGCGCCAACGGCTACGTCATGACCGGCATCTCCAAGAAGATCAACCCCTACGACCACGAATACCACATCGAATGGATCCAGTGCTGTCGGATGGGGTTTGGCCCTTACATAGCCACGCCCCCGCCGGTGACTACCAACCCGACGGATGGCTCGTATTCACTGTACAGTCCGCGCTCCAATAATGCGCCGTTGACGCACATTAGTGAAGCGTACCGCGGACAGTATCGGACGGTGCGCAGTGCCGTGGGGGATGATGAGACGGATGAGTATTTTGTTAATAAGACTCTGCAGTTGCCGGATGGGCAGTTGGGTGGTGATGCGGATATGGTGGCGTACCTGAAGAGGAAGACGGCCAAGGAGAAGCGGAAGAAGAAAAAGGAAGGGGACAAGTATGAGAATCTGACGGTGGAGGCGCTGGATCGGCCGCTGGTCAAGTTCTCTACTGCGGGCGAGGGTGGAGCTTCTTATTAAATTTTTATTGAAAGATCTTAAAAATTTGTTGTTGTTTAGTCCGTTTAGCAGTTTGTGATGGGTGCACCCGTTTGTTAATCTGTGGTGTGGCCGATTGGTATCGTTCTCCGTGAATCATTGCATTGTTATTACGACGTGTTTGGTTAGTACTTTTGGCAGGAGTGACCTTTAGCACGTTGTCACATTATCACGAACAACAAATTTTCCGTTATTATGGCCTGGCAGAATGGTTTTAATTTGTATGATTCGGGGCAATTTTGGGCACGGTAGAAAATACTCATCTTATTTTCGACTCACACACGAGAACCAGATGCATCGGTAGAAGTACTTTGCACGTTACAGACGTGAGTTTTCAAACGCACCGCCATATACGGGTATTTACACATAATTTTACCAGTGGGAGAAATGCGAATACGTACACTGCTCCACACTGTGCCATTTTAAGTTCACAAAAGCGATTTGTTCTTTTAAGCAGTTTTAAAATCACCCATGATTACCGTCACCCAGCCGGAAATTGGCTACCTGGCCAGGTAAAATCTAGGCCCGAACTGATCCATGTTAAATTATTGTACGAGTAATTTAGGTGAAATTAGCATATTATGCTCTAAATTACACTATGCAATGTTGGTTTGTATTAATCTTTTATCCTCGTACACGGTACCTTGTGGTGGCATTCACGTAGTTTTCACCGGTAATAAAGAATTCGACTTTGCTAGCGCGGTAAAAATACCGGATCAGCGAGTGTCTGCCGAGCTAGAAGTACCGGATGTACTTGTCGTCTATCGTATCGTCGCAATTGATTAGCCAGTATACAGTACTTTACTAACGCTGAATTAACTTACTCTACTTGATTAAAATAAGTCGCACATAGAATCGATATTTATACCGAACATACCGAACAACCAGTTTACGAAGCGGTAGCTGCAGATAAAGCTTTCATATGCGAGTGTGATATTACTCACGCTGCAGTCTGCTCATAAGTCATGATGCAATGTGGCAAACCCTGTTCATCAGCTGGCTGGTACTACTTAACTGCTTATATCGCTTAGCTTGCCTCCGTTATCTCTTGTAGGTACCCGTATTAGTTTTGTAGCAGACTTTCTTGAACTTGACAACGCTAGAATTACAAATTGCAGTGAAGACTTAACAGAAACTGGAAGCGGTCGAAAACGTGCATTTTAATGTACTTGCTATCTGTGATAAACGAACAATTCACACTAAAATGAGTGGACCACGCTACGCTGAAATCGGGTTGAACCAGCAGACATCCAGCGACAATGACGAATTACAACGCCAGGAGCGGGAATGTCTGCAAGCGCTGTTGACGGACGAGGAATTCCAACGGTCCGATACTGGATCTGGTGGTATCCTGAATGTGGCTTTATCTGCTGCATTTTCCACGGAAATCTTCGCGATACCCGGCGAAAAATGTGATCAACTCCAAGAAGTCTTTCAAACATTCTGTGATTCGATGTCTTCCAGCAGCGAAGTAAACTGCCTTTAAAATTTTTTACTTACAATTCGTTTGAAGCTTGTCACAACCAAATTTCTGACAGGATGCCAAAAAGCATTTACTGGAAAAATTCGCTGAGCTTCGTTCCTCTGTGATCAGGCATTTGCCCAGCGTTCGCGTTGTCTTTCAATATCCCGGATCTTATCCGTCTGAATCTCCGCCGATCGTCCAGGTTTCGTGTTCCTGGATGACGGGCTCAACTGTATGAACAATAAAAATTAATTACCATATTACTAAAAATTTAAAACCCGAATTTAATGTATAGCTGCGTCTGCTGGAAAAGCAGATTGAAGTATTATGGAAGCACAACGGTCGTCTGGCTGTGATGTACGATTTCTACGAGTACCTCCGGAATATTCTGGATGAAGCAACGGTTTTCCCTTTGGGACACTGTCTGTTGCTGATTCCCCAGGGTGCTCAATTCACTCAAGTCGACTGCGCCAATATTTTGCCCGTTCATAATCCAGTGACCTTTGCGGCACAACTGCTGACCTACAGTAATCAACGAGAAGAAGTCGTTTTTGCCCGTGAATTTCACCAGTGTCCGGTGTGCTTTGAATCACATCTGGGGAAGAATTTCCTGAAGCTTCAGAATTGCGGCCATCGCTGCTGTCAAGCGTGTTTGAAGAGACACTGTGAGACGCAGATCGCGGAAGGGACAACGTGGCTGGTCAACTGTCTGGTGTGCCAAGCGGAGCTCCATCCCTCCGATGTACGTCATTATTTCAACATTTTTCATGCTAAAAATTTTAAAATCCTTTCATCAGTAATTCATTGCATGGACATTCATATTATTTAAGGTCTCAGCTTTGATCTCCGAAGAAAAGCAAGACAAATTCCAACGCCTGCAATTGGACACAGCGTTGACCCGGATGGGTGATGTCGTCTACTGTCCGCGTCCACAGTGTAACTCGGTCGTCATTCGGGATGGTGACATTGGTCAGTGTCAGTGCGGATTTGTCTTTTGCACACTCTGTGAGCGAAGTTCACATGGAATTCAACCGTGCTATCGGGAGAATGCACGAGGTATGCTTTAAGCTTTCCTTTAACTTACGAAGTAGCTTTAAAATACCTTCACAATGATACTTTATTCACCTTTGGTATAACGTACAATTAAACACTTTAAAACATCGCAAAAGTTTTTTACAACATTAAGATTTCATTAAACTTTTCCGCTCCTTCCATCGTCCCCATAACTGATGCCGCATTTCCCCGCTGTATCTCCAGCGATACAATCGCGTAGTATTGCTAACTTATTTAGAAAGCGGTATTACTAATCGTGGGTGGTGGCCAACAGATGTCAGCGCTGAAGAACGGGACACGGATGCTGAATACGTTCGCGATAGGCTCCTAACGTCCATCATGGAAACCGGGTTACTGGCCAATGTCAAACGCTGTCCACGTTGTGTCACATACATTCAAGTACTTCAACTCACATTTATTTGGAAAGCAACTTGAAGTTTGCAACATTTTTATCCGTTCTTTCTGTTGATGCAGTGACAACCAAAATTTTTCGTAGAAAATTAGTGGATGCAATCATGTGGTATGCCGTTGTGGACAGCACTTCTGCTGGGCTTGCCGACAATTCCTGTCCTCACATGATCCGTACGCCCATTTCCGCAACAACGCCGATCCCCTCTGTAACGATTATTCGGCCGGTGGAGTGGATGTTGGTGTAAGGGGTTTGTTGCCATGCCGGATATGTCAGTTTCTTATTTGGCACCGTGTGCATTTTCGTAGAATGCTGCTGTTACCAGGGCGGTTGATGCTTTAGTGGACGAACTGCTTCCCACGCCGGAGTTGTGGTTCGACACCACCGTGGTCGAAAAGCGGCTGCGGGAGTTACTGTTAAATGTGCGAACGGTCCAAATGGATGCCGCAGATCGTGATGGTGATGATCAGGACGAGATCGCCCCAATTTAACCAGAGAACTGGTTTATATATTCATTATTTACGAAGGACAGTTCTAACGTGAGGGGAGACTGCATGTTCTATCTTTCTTTCAGACAAATTAACTTGTGATGCTTACTACATAATTGCTATACATTGTAGTTATTTAACAGTGGTGTCCGGGTCATTACATGCAAGATTGTAAAGTTCTCCCGATGGTTGGAATGTTGAAGATAATTATAATAACAAAACTTAAGCGCGCAGCGCAACATAAAATTTCTGGCAACAAATCAAGAAATGGAAGTTTTACACGAAAAAATTAATATGATAGTTCCCACTCACCTTTGGTATGGATACAATTTGGTGATAGATAAATGTACAGAGGGTGATTTCGCAATATGATTCCAGCACGGGAAAAAATTCCCAAAATTTATAATAATAATAATAATGATAATTTTATAAATTTATAATATTTATAATAAATTAATGAATAAAGTGGAAGCATATTGCGAAATCACCCTTTGTACTGATCTTGTTGTTCTGTAACTTTGTCCGGTGTCTTAATAACGTAGTTTTATGCCCGTACAGCAATTTTGAAACGTGCTGTACGTATCACTGGCGTGAAATAAAGCATAAAAATCTTATCACGTGGTCGCTTGACCAACTTAACACATTTGACGTTCTTCATCAATGAGGGTATGACAATTATGAGAAAAGCTGTTTACGGGTTTGGCTTGTGTACTCAACCAAAATTCAATCCAAGTCCAGGAAACGATAACCCTTACGTACTAGTACTTTAAAGAAAAAAGACTAGTACTTTAAAGAAAAAAGGTTTAAAAGGTAAGGCTGTATAAAAGAAAAGTTAAGCGATTCAGTACATCACACAGTAAGTGGATTGCCAACGTTCCGCATCACGTACTGTTGCCGGCAACATCTAGGGTACCACTGGGACCGAGACAACACTTACTAGAGCGTTAAATGTTGGGATGTCCAAGCGGAACGTGTTTAAACCGTGCTGAAGTCAAGGCCACAACAGAGCAGCTGGGCACTTAATGCACTGGACCGCTGCAAAACAAGCTGAGCCTTTTATCAACAAAGGTATAACACGTGATTAACAAGTACAACTTGCACCCTATTTTATTTTGTTGTACCGTTATTATTGTTTTGTACTGTATTGATTGTTATATCAGTTAATGACAATATCACCCAGACAGCTGGCAATCTTTTAATAAAAATTGGTGATTAATGGATCTGCTTCTTGCATGCAAAATTTTCACCGTTTGTGCCTTATTTTTGTTTTTGTATTATGTACATTTCATCATCCAAGGGTGAGTGCAACTTAACAATATCAAAGTCATGCAAACATCGCTACAGTAGTGCCCATAATTAATTTTGGACGAGCTCAGCATACGCCAGTTACCGTTGTTCGCAGGGTGATTTGTTTAATTTATCCATCGCGTATCCTAGGTGGTCCTTCGGATCTGCATTTCCGTATACACTTATCATTCAACGCCATCCACATGGCGTTATCCCAGACGCCCTGGATGTCCCAATTCCCAGTTCCTTCTCGTCCAAATGGTTTGACGACTGGTTCGCTAACTACAGCCAACACGCTGCCGGTATCGACCGATGGACCGGCTACTTTCGCGCCTACACCCACCACTTCCATCACTATCGTGGTCATCCCGTCCATTTCCTAGAGATCGGCGTTCAGAGCGGCGGATCCATTAATATGTGGCGCGACTACTTCGGCGCTGGGCTGATGTACTATGGTCTGGATATTGATCAGCGGTGTCGGCGGTTTACACGGGAAAATGTTACGATTTTCATCGGGGATCAAGGCAATGCCGACACCTTGCGGAATTTTAGCCGGCAATGGCCGCCGTTTGATATCATTCTCGATGACGGTGGACATTCGACGCAACAACAACTGGTGTCGTTTGAGATTTTATTTCCCTTAGTTAAAATGGGAGGAGTGTATGTTATCGAGGATCTGCATACTAGTTACTGGAAGGAGTATGGCGGCTCATCAGAACGGCATGCCGACACAATGATCGAGCGGACCAAGATGTGGATTGATGTGCTAAACTTGCAGCATAACCGTAATGCGGCGTTTCGTAACAACTCACAGAACTCGGAATTGCATGGTCTCATGGATAGCTTGCATTTTTATGACAGTATGGTTTTTATTGTTAAGAACACTGTTCTTCCTAGCAATCGGTTACGAAAAGGTGGTCGCTGGATCGGCCGGAAGTAAATGGTACATTTTTTTTTAGAAAAGCATGATGAATAAAACAAGACTAACATAGATACATGCTAGAATCACCAAAATCGTATAAAATTAAGCGCTACAGTTGAAAATTCGCAGCATACGCAGGGTTTCTCTATCACTGGCTTAACTCATATAAAAAGAAAGAAAACTGTACAAAATACAGTATAACCACATTAGTTGCAAGAATTCCGAGAACCTGCACATTCCGCATTCCATAAGACGTACAAATCCTTTTGCCCCATTTTATGTATGGCTGTATGCTTGTTCTTTAGACAAGGCTGCGCTAAGGAAATCGTTTTGGTCTTCTTCGTAATACCGGCTATATGCCGCAGGGGTATTCCAGTGTAGTTCGCTACCAATCCGGTGACGTAAATATCATCAATAAAGCTATATGGAATGAACTGGCTGGCGTGTAATATTTTCCCTAATAAAGCTGTCGGAGCGATGATTAAAAATCCCCAAATATACACCGGATACCGGTCATGGCTGTATTCTTCACGCGGCGAATAATACTTCTCACTGGGATTCCGCTGTGGGAACCACTCATCGTTCAGAATCTCCTGCTTGTACACGTGCCCGTAGAACGCATCGGGCGGTTGATCCTTCAGAATGTCGTATATTTTCGGTATATTGAGGTAAGCGTCATCATCCACCCGCACGATAAACGTCGACGTGGAGCAGTGAGCAGCGCACCACTGGTATAGATGCAGCGTTTTTATCGTGGAACTGCGGAATGTATCATCGAATTGGCTAGACTGCAAAAGGTCACCGTGTTCCCGGGCTTCTTCCTCCAGGAGCTGTTGTGTGGTTGTCGAATGCACTCTTCCTAGCATAAATAACATCCGGGTTTGGCAGGAGGATCCGGCTAATGAACCCCAAGTGCGGCGAATCATCGCACGGATACCGGCGTTTCGTGGCGCAGTGATCACCGCGACCACGAGAAAGATGCCCGGCTCGCAAGGTTTGGGAGAAATCGTATACTGCCTTTGCACAGATTTGGGATCGACAAAGAATAACCCGGGATCGGCAAGAGCAGTACTTGTTGTACGATTTTTTACGGTAACAGTAGGTCTATGCGAATCCAGAAGCAGAATACAGAATGCAACGCATAAGAGCAGTATTATGAGGAAAATTGACCCTGCAGTATTCTTTCGAATATTCCACAAAGTGGATCGGTATATGCGCCACATGGTTTTCTCATGATAAACACAAAAAGTTTGCATAACCTATCATTGAGTAATATGTATGTTCAAAATATTTAAGCTGTAGGATGATGTAGAAATGTTTGTTTTTCTGCACCGCCATTCATGTTCCGGTTGAAGCCCTGCGCTGATTATGGCATTGTTGTCTGGGCGCCAACGTTGTCTGTGGTTGGTTACGCTTGATGGTCAGAGATGTGCATATCATGCAGCAGCTAAAGTCGAGTGACCGGCAGCGACCGGAAGGCGGTAACAAAACATGGCATGCTGACACCAAAAACATAGGGTAAATTACTATGCACTATGACTTGACACTCCGTAATTAACCAAGGGGAACTGGAGCCAACTTAACCAACCTAGACGAGCAAAACGACGACATACTGTGCAGCTGTGTGAAGGCTCTTAATGTCGTGGAATAATTAAAAACTAATTATGCAAGTGAGCAACAATGTAGTAACTGCGGGTATGAAGTTTTTATGAACTTAAATTAAAATAGCTTAATTTCTTAGACCATAACTTAATTAGAAACGGTATAGGCTATTATGACACAAATAAGAGTTAGATTTTATGGAAACGTTCTCTTTTGTCGTTGAGCCACGTAACGGCTGAACTTCCGCTTGCGATTTGCGTCTTCCGTGCTGCCGGCATCATTCTCCAGCGTAATGCCCAGCTGCATCACAATTAAGCGTAGCAATTCTTGCTGTTGCTCCATTTTTGCAGTCAGACTGTCGGTTCTGCAAAATTATGATAATTGTAATATTTAATGAATTATTAAATTCCCGTAGTGCCGAGAAAAGCCGGGAAACTAACACAGTGTTCTGCTCCATTAGTTCCGCCTTGATAATCACAGCATTCTGTTCCCAGTCAACGTTCTGCTTGTTTAGGGTCCCATCAGAGGCTTTGTCGTCGTCTTTATCAATTTTAATATCGGCATTGGTCAGATATCGGAAGACACCCTAACAAAAAAGCAACGCTGACGAAACATAAAACATTTCAGATTAGTGTAAATAAATAGTTTTAATATTAAATAATACAAAATGTTTATTTTTTTAAAATAATACTTATTTATTTCTCAAAATGTACATAGCGAGCTTCGCTCAACAATTACATTCAAATGAAGAATTTGTCCCAGTTAACATGAGAAGGGGCTGTGCACGACACACTCATAGCATTACCACGCATAATCTCTAAACGTAAACGTAAACGTCGAAACAAAAAACACGTATAGCGACTCTCGCCCGTCCTCAAAAACAGTTTCTTCCCAATTTCCATTAACGAAACAATGCCGGCCTCACACGAAGTACCAAAAGTCGCGCATTCAAACGGTACAAAACAGCAGCGATCAGTAAGCAAATATGTTTAATAATAAAGAATTTAGGTATATGCCTTTATCTACAAGTTCGGTATAATAGCAATGTATAACCAAGACAGAAAAATCTGTTTCAAAAGAAACAAATTGTAGTATTTTCGCACCTGGATCACTAAGCTGCTTAGGGTAGTTAGAAGTTACCTTTAAAAATCGCGACTGCAGTCGGTTTGGATACACAAACACATTCGTCTTCCGCCATTTACTCAGCAAACGTGCCGGTAATTTCTCCTCAATCTCGGCGTGGAGATCCACTTGCATAGCACGGCGACGCAGTATCAGCGTGTCTCGGACTTTCCGAATATCACCCAAAGTGAGACCGTTCTGAAAATGTTTACCATTAGAATTCAATGTAAGACATGACATTCAAGAAACCGCTTTACGATTAAAGCCTGAACAAGCATGGTGATTATGGCCATCGACAGCATCCCCAAAATGTATGTGGACACCGGAAACAACATCAGTTTATTCTGGATCGGGCTGATAAAGTTGACGATCACTAGAAAAAAGTTCAATTGCTATATTGCATTAAAGACAGTATCGGTGGGACTCAGTACCATCAGCATCTCCAATCATTTGATCGGACACACGTAAAATAGACGTCTGTAGGGTAGAATAAGCGGTGAAGTAGATGTCGTCCAGCTGGTCGTTATCGTGTTGCCGCTGTGGAACGTTACTGTTAAAAAATACGTTCCATAACAATTCTGGAATGTTCCATTATACCTCATAAAAAGCTGGATCATCAGGAAGCAGTTTCATGGGATTGAGGAGGGTAAAGGTCAGGCTGAACGCCACGACCACCACGAAGAAGACACACATGGCTTCGATTAACGTCCGCATAACCGTTAGTAAGATGATGACATGCAGTCCAACTTCTCCATAACTGCAGTTATTAGTTGTTTTACGAAGGCTTACGATTTTTTCAAAGCAGCAAAAATCCGACATTACCGTTGAAGATAGAAGCAGAGGTTGACCCAGGTGAAGAAGATGGCGGTAGCTCCCACAAGCCATTGCGACTGCCACGACAAGTAGTAATCTTCTTCATCGTAGAATGCCGCACAGAACACGATGGCGGTAGTGTATAAGGTCAGTTCGAACCAATTCATCAAATGGAAAAAGAACCACAATTTCTGAACAACACAAGCGTATTTTAAAACACTGTATTTGGTTTGGTACATAAAAAAATGTATGTGTGTGCAAAAATCACAAAACTTTTGCTTGATCATTCAGCTGTTGATAGCAGCCGGATGACCTTTTTAGAAAAACTATAGCAAACCTGTTTGGTTAGCTGGAAGGTTTTCTTGGCCAAATTCAGCACCGCAAAAATAATAACGAGGGCCAGTAAAGTACTGTCCAATGCGCTGTAGTCTTCTTCCAAAGCGTTTAGATTAATGGGACCAAATCTGGTGCCGTTAAAATCGGGCATGTGAGCTTTAATACGTTCTGAGTCCATCTTCCGAACGTGTGGACGAAGATCCATCTCAATGCCCACAATAACCAAATACGTCATCAAGGTGACAAAGACAATGTACAGCAATAAACTGAAGAAATGGAAGTACACTCCGTAGGTATGCCATTTGGAATCCAGATAGCGGATGCACACGGGATGCTCCAAAAGCTCGGTGCGCTTGTACGCTGTCATATGCTATGGAATGAAAGACTACAGAATATAACCGCTTTGACGAATTAAAGAACAACTCAGAACTGAAGCTCTCATACATTCAAAACTTGCAATGGTTGCACTCGGGATTGGTCTTTCGGATCTTTGCTGGCGATTTCCGGTTCCAGCAGTTCGAAATCATAACGCATCTAAAATCACGCCAGATTGTGTTAGCGTATCGTTACGCATTATAATACATTAAAAAAAGGATCTGATGTTTCTCACCCAATAGTTTTTGGATAAGACGCCAGTATTTGCCGAGGAAACACATTTATCCAGCACTCTCTAAAAGGTACCTTCTATAATTTCCAGTATCCAGCACCATCTGTACGGTAATTCAAAGGGTACAGACGGCCCCTTACCAACATAACTCCCGGCAGTTCTTCGATGAGTCCAAGCACAGGCCATTTATACAGCGACGATGGTTCAGTGATGATTTCCTTCCATCTATTAAAAGGTACAATAAGGACATATCTTTAGAACATTAGAAGGACTTCCAATAATAAACCAGTCCGGTACCGTGACTCACCGCTCACTTTCCATCATCACCAGCACAGCTTCTTTGCGTCGGTTCATGATAGCGAGATCCAGCGCCGTGAGGTTCTGATCGTTCATGGTCAACTGAGCGTTGGCATGTAGAAGATAAGCCAGGGTTTTTGAGGCATTGTGCTGGGCTGCAACATGGAGCGGCGTATTCTGCAAAACAAGCCCCTGTAAATGAAGTAATCAAGTTTCTAAGTAATTAAGTTTCTAAGAAACACGCACCCCGTCCTTTTCTATGGCGTTGAGCAGATTTGGATGCGTCGAAATGATCAGCTCGGCAACATCTACACAAATACAAAAAAAAACTCCGTCACAACTTGATACGAAGAAAACCGATAACAAGTAACCACCACAGAAATTTTGAAACACACCTTGTTGATCCATAGCGCATGCAAGATGTAGCGGTAGACATCCCTGATAGTCGCTGTTTAGGAAAAAACTAATTCCCATTTGTTCCTTTTAGCATAGCTGGCACCAAAGCGTTTACCGTAACATTGTGGCCGCTCGTGACATCAAAAACTGGACAATCTTAATGTGTCCATTTTCCGCCGCTAAGTGAACGGCTGTTAATCCTAATGAGGAAAAGTAATATGGTACAAGACCTTAGTGTTAGACGAGAAAAGTGCGCGACCAGCCGTTCTTTACCCATCTTGTCGGCATCATTGATGATAACCGAGCAAGCGGCATTGCTCGATAATGTTTTGACGGTGTTATATCGTCCATTGCTGTTAACACAAGAACGATTCATTGAATTAATTAATGATTGTATTGTTAGCGTTTTTATTCAGTTTATTGTGAACACTCATTTAGAAAATATGTATTAACATACGCAGCCGCATGATGCAGTGGCGATCGAGATTGTTTATCCTTCGCGGTCAACGTTGCACCCATACGAATTAACCCTTCGCAACAACTGGCAAATCCATGCTGCGCCGCATAATGTAGAGGTGTCAATCCGTCGTGGTCTTGTCCGTTGATCAGTGCCGGCAGACCTTGGACTGCATCCTTAGAAACAAGGTCTTTCGTAAACAAGCGAGCTTAGAAAAGAAGTGTTACGATCGAAGCCATTACTTTCTGAAAATCGTCGCGAAATCGCTCTGGATTGCCGCCGATAGCCACCGTCATATGGATGAAATTCTGACCGTTAGCACTGGTGATGGATGGATCGGCGCCCAGGCTGAGTAACTCTGAGACGGCATCCCATGATCCGCACGAAGCGGCCAAAACGAGGACTGTCCGGCCAAGCAAATCTTGGGCGTTCATGGCAGCACGCTAATAGTTAACAAAGGTCATAAGCAAAATGTGCAAGTGTCAAGCGCATTTTGCTTTGTTCAGAGAATAACCTTGCTGGAATTTCAACTGGTAAAAAGGGTATCATTGAATCGGAAAACTGGAACTACAATACCTTTTCAACAAGCAAGCGAAGAAGATCCCAGTAGTTGAACATCGCGGCACGGTGCATCGGCGTCATTCCCTGGGCATCCTGCATGCTGACCACCTTGTCGAACTCCACGACATTGAACACGTGCATTAATTCAACCATTTCCGTGAAACCCCGAGCGCAGGCCAAATGCAGGGGCGTCGATTCTTCGAACTATTCAGAAAGGCAGGGTGTTAGTGTTTTGCACTTAAATACTGTTGGTTATAATTTAACTAGCGACGTAACAGTTGTTTACTGACGATGTACAGTAAACCTTTACGTGTTGAGTATATGTACCATTTGAGCGTTGATAGGTGCGCCGTGTTCCAGAAGTAAGCGGACGGTCTCCCGGTTGCCGCTGTTTACACCGTAATGCAACGGTGTAGCCTGTTCCTCATTGGTCGCGGCAAGGAGTTGGTCCACCGGACAGTCCGGCAGCTGGAGGATGTAGTCCAGCACCTCGGTCGATCCGGCTTCGGCGGCACGGTGGGTTGGCTGTTCACCGGTGTCCGACTGCGCGGTTAAGCACGCGCCATGACTGATCAGTATCTTGGCACACTCCAGGTGGTTGAGTGCTGCGGCCACGTGCAACGGAGTCTTGCCGTTGCAGCCTTTAGTGTCGACGTTGATTCGGGCCGATGACAACAATTCCTGTTTAGCAAGCGTTACAAATTACTGTTCCCTAACTGCTTTGTCATATGACAAGATTGCATTCGTGTTGTCGTTGACCCGCTAAATGTGTTTATTGTGCATTTAATTCTTACTCGTAGCGCTTCGAGATGATCACATCGTACAGCCAAATGCAGCGCCGTATCGCCGGATGGAAGTTTGGTATCCACAAGAAGCTCCGGTAGTTTCAGTAACTCCCTTATAATCAGCGGATCATTTTCAGCACTGGCTGTGTGCAGCAAAGTATATCCTTTCGAATTCGTTGCATTAGGATCTTTAGCGCACATAAAAAATTAATTAGGCAAATACTGCGAACAAAATGTTTTGCTTATCATAAGTTAAAACTGACCTTTGGTTAGGTTTAAGAGATATTGGAAAACTTTCGTTTGTTTCGCAGTAACGGCCAGATGAGCGGGACTTTCATTCAGAGTGGATGTTTTGCGTAACAATTCTGGGTGTTGATGTATCAAAGATTCCACAGCATCCAATGACCCGTTTTCAATAGCCTGCATGACAAGTATTACAACGTACGATCGCAATGGAACAATTATTTTGCCGTTTAATGTTCATATGTATGTGTACCTGGTGGAATCGCGCCTGATAATCGTCTTGCACTGTGGGCACGGGATGCTTCTTCGTGGCACTGGATTCAAATCCGAAATCCGTAACGGATTTAGATGGCCAAAACGCCGGCATAGCTGGTGAGTGCAATAAAAAATCTCTTCTTCTTGCAATAATTGCCCAAAACAAGGACTTGGGAAAAGGTTTTTTTAATAAAATCCATGCACGGCAAGGCTGTTGTCAAAAGAAAACAAGAAGTGCTGAACTTGACCCAAAGAGTACTTACTGCAAGTATGCAACTAAGCTCTATGGTGTTTCCATGTCTGACACTCACACGACTAACAAGCGACAACATGCAACAGTTGCACATACATAATTAATTTACTTCACAGGAGGTCCAGAGTATTTTTAATAAAATCACTGCAGCCGATAATTCAATTCACTCTCTTAGAACTATGACATGATCGTGCGTTTAACGTCACTTCCAAATGCTACCATTATAATCGTAAGGTCCTCTTCGTGCTGCTATCATGATTAACCCGGCAACGTCTGCTAGGTGGAAAAACCACCAGTAAAGTTCGCCAATTTTTACAACGCCCAGACTATCGTTTTTGCCGGAATAACAAATGCATCCGATAGAGCAAGGATAACTTTGTACAGTTAATTTTTGTTTTTTGATCAAACACACCATAACAAAGCTACATTGCTTAAAAAACACTGAAAAAATAACGTAAAGTTCTACGAAGTGCATCTAAATCGGATGTTATGGTACAAATTTGGGATTAAATTAGTGATAACTTCCTGTGAGTATCTCACAATTTCAGTATCTTACAAAATTCTGCAGCTCGATCTTCTGTAAAAAACTGTGCATTTTCAAAAACAGATGGTGGAAATTCCACCGCTTGGGCATAGGCGTAGGACAGTGGCAAACTGTGGCATGCTGCCTGAACAGGCAGAGTGACCAGAGCCGCACATTTCATATGATTCAGCCGTTGCACGCTAGGTGAGCAGCCAAGCCACATCACTAACAGCTAACTGATCAAGATTACAAAGCCAAGAAGGACATCTGAATGCTTCTGTAGTAGCTAAAATAATAACAAAACAGTATTTTGATTGTATTACAATGCTTTCTTCGGCCGTAATAGGGGCACGATGCCGCACGAACAATAAAAGGACGTTATGATCGAAGCAGCCAGTCATAGATATGGCTGACCGTGATCAGTTTTGTGCACGTGTAATCTGGCGCAGCCCATCATGACCCTGTAACACACTGACCGGAAATCGCAAATTTTTTGGATTCTGAATTTTTTGGATTTTTTGGATTCTGGATTCTGAATTTTTCAAGATGAATTAATCTGCATAAACTAACTTTTGTAAACAGCTACCAAAGCCAAGTCGATTCGAATAAATAAAATGGCCACGACGTTGTGTAGAACGGAGCTTGTGTGGTGTCGCACCGGCAACCGCCTTGCCCGCACCGTACGTATTGTATATCCTCAATGCCCAAGCGGTGGAAATTCCACCTACCCTTCAAATTTTAAACTACTGCAGCAAAAATTTTGAAAAAATTAGTTTAAGTTCATTATATTATTGTTATTCTATGGTATGAATTTCAACGTCGGCAAAAAATTCCTAGATACCTCGGGCATTGCCGGGTTAATATTTTCTGCATTGGAAAACAAGTTCAGTAGCTTTGCAATAAAAGTATATTATTAGCTCGTATCAATACACACAACGTTTCATGGATGTCCTTGTTACGCACTATGCCGATCACAGACGTTGATTCTGCGGCACCAAATGTATTAGTACAATTCATAATCAAATTATTCTGCTGATTTGTGTGAACAAACAGATCCAATGCTTTTCTTTGAGGTGGTGCTAATCGTAATAATATTATTATTATTACGTCATTACATAAGTGCACGGTACAGGTGCGGGTGAAACACGGTAGAAAATTATTCGATAAAACAAATTTGACTTTAGTCAAAGTTACGTTGTCGTACTATGGGTTAATAAATCAGTACGTAAGTATAGATTAATGTAAGATTATCTGTAAATTCACGCGTGCAGAAATTTTCGGACGCATGCGGAGTCAGCTGCCCATATGGTATAGCCGTTTTGACGGCTTCCTGCTGTGTCTTACCGGACGAGCACAAGTGTTACTGAATCACTTAACAATAGTACCAGCGTTTTAAGTTGTAACAATTTTATGGTGTATTGGTATTTGAAAGACGCTAACAGCTGGTAATGCCAAAAAAATAAACAGCACCAACGGGAAAGCTTAATTGCACTAGGTTTTGCTTCCGTAGAATGCATCACTAGACAGGTTTGCCATAGCGAAAATTATGACACGTACTGGTTCCGGACGGGTGAATCGTCTTTTGGATGCTTTTGCGAGGAAACCGGCAACCTACAGAGTAGACCAAGGAAAAAAGCGCTTTAAAAACAAAAAAAAAACAACTTACTCGCTGTTATACTTTACCATATCGCATTCAGTATCACACCCGGACGCTATTGCTGTAATGCGTTTTCCAGACGAACTCTTATGCCGGCGGAGTGTGTTTTTTACCTAAGCGAGAGGTTCTGCTGACTATCAGGTGCCGACACTGCCGAGCGCCCCGTTCAAAACTCATAATTTAAATCTTGCATGTGGTTATCGAATTGCCATAACGAGAGTATTGGAAAATAAATGGCCAACCTCTTCATGCAGCGCAATTTACAAGTTATTAAGCATGGACGGTTTAACCAGACCGCTAAGCTCCAGACCGGGCAGAACACCATTCAGATGGGTTTTTCGTGTAACCTTCAACTTCGTGCTTCCAGCTCGCCGCAGGGTTCCGCCGACTTCGACAGAAAACATGTGGAAAGAGGACCGGACTAAAATCTACGGCGTTAAGGTCATTTTACAGCCTTTGATGGAGATAACATTTGGCCGTTTATGTTTCATACATAGTCTTTTGTACATCCTGTTAGCACTGGCTCGCTTTAAGATAAATGAGCCGGTACATGTTATACTTTGTAGTTTGTACACAAACTACGTGGTTACAAAATGTCATAAAACAATCGAAAAAGAACGCGAAAGCGTTGCGTTTCCACGTGTGTACACGAATTTAATACCATGTGCCAGGTCGCACCCTTCCGGTGTTTCCTACGGTGTTTCTAGTGTTTTCTACGTTTCTTGGTGAACTGGATTAAAACTTATGCAAATTGACCTAAAAACGTTCCTACAGGAAATTGCTACATAATGGGATAGTTTTTTTGACTTTCCCTATGATGCACCACTGGAAACACTTTTAAAATTATCTACGTATGGCGGCTGTTGCTGCAATTTTGCTGTAACGATTACAAAGTCTATTCGTTGTCTTGTTATTGCCAACCTAGATTGCTGCCTTTCATTTTTCAAGGTTCGACTGGTTCGACTGAACGAGCTATAGCTCAAGTTAAAACGCTTAAAAAGAGGCATAACTGAAAATGTGGGCAAAAATGGAGGCCTACGAGTGCATAATCGAAACCGAGACATCCGATTCGTATACGTATGTCCTGCAAGTCCAGGACAGATTCTGAGATTTGTACCGTTGGATTGACGATTTTACTTGACAAAATTAATGTAAATTACAGAGTAGGTGTGTATTCCGTGTCCACGCCAATGATGAAATACTTACTCTTAATAATAGTTCGAACTTTTGAAAATACTGTTAAACAGGATCTTGAGAACTTGCCGCGCAATCCATTAAGTACAGTACGAGTATACTGTATGTGTGCGTGTTGCCGGGTATGTAATGTACTCTGTACGTTGTACTGTACTTCGCTTCTAGAGCGAACCCAAGCAGCAAGCGGGCATGCAAAAATTAAGTGCTTCGGAGAAGATGTTGCTACGCAATACTGTACAGTACATAATCAATTTCTCTAAGTTGAGTCGTAGTGTCAGAGCGGCATCCGCTCTCTATAGGATCGTTCGATAGAATATTTCATTAGATTAAGGCCGAGTATGGAGGTTGTGGGTTCGATTCCCTCAATCGGCAGATTTTTTGCGAGTGTCTGTGCGAGCCTAGCCCAGCCCTTTCATGGTAGCAGAGCCGTTCCGATCCACGGATCCCCTATCAATTCTATTAAATTATTCGATTAATTAAACGATTTAAGCGAAAAATTAAAAACTATTATTAAGCCGATTTGCCGAACGTATGACTTAACCGTTGTACGTACAGCCGACTCGATATGAGTATGAGCCGATTCTATCAGTACGGGATTTGGGCTCTATCAGCTCGAGGGACCTCGCTTCGTAGCGGAGGGGGTGTCAGAGCGGCATCCGCTCTCTATAGGATCGTTCGATAGAATATTTCATTAGATTTGTATGCTTTGCCGATAGCCTAGTGGTGCCTCTCGGCCTTAGAGTATGGAGGTTGTGGGTTCGATTCCCTCAATCGGCAGATTTTTTGCAAGTGTCTGTGCGAGCCTAGCCCAGCCCTGGCCCCTTTCAGTAGTTTACAAGACACAAGTGACGGAGCCGGATTCACGATTTCGATTTTGCGGATTTCGCTCAGTGTGCGCAATTACTCGTACATACGTACACTATAGTCACGGACCTATGTGACAATTTTTGAGGTAGAGAAGTCGTCATCAGTTGTGCAGCACCCCTTTTTTTCGATCTCAGTTTGTCCTCCAACTTTAACGCGTTTTCGACCAGAGTGATCTTTACGGTGACAGTAATACCGTCATCATATACGCTAGAGTAATACGTTCACAGGTACGATGCGTGTTCGGCATAAGTATCCCCGGCCACAGGCCCACAGCGATGGAGAGGTGTGGATGTGCGAGACAGCAACGGCCTCCTGCAGCACGGCCTCATAGTTAACATCGTGGACAACGGGATTATTGTGGACTTTAACTGCACCGGGCGACGTTCGGAGATGGTGGAATTCGGGAAAGCGTTCCGGTGCGAAGGCTGCTATTTCCAACCATACAACTGGGACGACCCCAATGCCGCGTTTTTCCGGAATTCCAGCGGCGACACCCTGAACAATATCGAAGCACTAGTGCAGTTCACTCGTCAACAGCCATGGACCTGGTATCCGGCCAAAATTCTTACCTTCCATGTCTACTGGAAAGAGTTTGTATTGGTGGAAGTTCAGGTGGGTAATACGGCCTCCAGAGAAGTTATGCCCATCTGGCAAATACGTGTGCGACCTTCCAAAGCAGACATGCAGAAACGAGCCATCGAAAAGGGCTTTATTGTTAGTCGCACATGCGACTTACCAAAGGAATATGGACAAGGCCTTATTGAACATGAACTATGGAAACAGTGGAAGAAAACACTGGAGTATAATGGGCAGTCCAGCGTATATCTCGTGTGTCTTCTCGGACCCACGTTGGTGTATCTGCAGTGCGCCAACGAATCGCCCATGCATTCTGATCAGCTGGTAAGACATTGCTGTATTAATAGTCCCAAAATTTAATATTATTCGTGAATCGCAAAAATTGAGCCTGCTTGCAGTTAAACTTATTACATACAATCCGGATTACAAAATCTCATATTAATTACTCAGTATAACCACGGAATATTACTACTCGTTATACAAATAACTTTGCGTGCAACGTGACCAATGTGTTTTTCGAACTGATAAAATACGGTACACAGTAATACCGTGACAGTATTAATAGTAAATGTTGTTCTATTAGAACCATTTTCATTTGAACGTATTTTTGTGAGCGATGCTCGTCTTTGCATTAGGAAAATATTATTATTCGGAAAATTATCATTTACCGTTAGAGCAGTTGACAATTTGGCATTGGCAGTTTTCTCTGATAATGACATGGCTTATTAGCATTGAACATTACATGGAATGATGTACGAGTACATTTGCTTGGCAAATTGCAGCAATCGGCCTTAGCCAGAGCCAGCAAAGAACTCAGCGAGTCGAAACAAGATCAGGTGCTGTCGATTGCTCCGGTCGGTTATGATGAACATGATCAACTGCAGTTTTCCGAACTGTCAACTGATATCGTCACCGGCGTTTTCCAGCGGCTGGACACCATTAACCGCGTGAAGTATCGTCGCGTGTGCAAACAGTGGCACTCACTGCTGACTTCTAATGACACGATGGCGGATATCCATGTTTCTTTTATGCCCAATTCATACGCCGGCAAAGCGCACCACACATTCGCGACCTGCGTGTTGAAGGGCATAACGGCGAAAACACGGTGGATTATCATTGCCGACACCAAACATAACCGCCACACTGACCTCTTGGTGGAATGCCTATCGTGGATTGGTATCATGTCCCTTTGGATGAAAGCCAAGAAATATCGCATCATTATTCACAAATGCAAGTGGGATATTGATTCTCTGCGGAGGGATGTAGAGTTGTTGTGCCGTGCGTCGCGCTACATTCCGTACCAGACGGCTTTGGTTTGGAAGGATTGTGTCTACTCCATGCCTGGCAAACTGCAGGATGCATCTTTGCCCATTGCCATCCGCCCCATTAAATTCCCGTCACGGAATCTGGAGACCGAACTGTGCGATCTGCTCGAAGAGAACCTGCCTGAACCAGCGCCGTTATCCATATCGCAGTGGTTCGCCCAGCTCATCGCAGCAGGAAAGGACGCTTTGGAAAAAAGCGAAGTTTCATCGGTAATACCCGTTTGAATGATGCATACTGGTTTTTCGGAACGCTTGACGGCTTGAGCGGTGGGCTGTAGTATCTGTACGGTGTGAATTAATAATACTAATGTCTGTTGTGGTTTTGCCGCAGATTTTTAGTTTCTATCAAGCACTGGATCCACGGACACCCCTTCATATGCGGGATCGATATTTCGATTGCTCTTCGGACCGGAGACTGCTTGATGTGGATCTAACTAAACTATCCAAGTTGACTGTGTACGCCTTAACCCACTTGATGCAATCCAACCAAGAAGGAGCAGGACGCTAATCTTGAAGCACACTGCAATGCCGTTCACCGTCTTCTGATGCAGTCCATTCGTATACCGCTAATTAGCATAATACTTGCATAATTTCGATTCTTTTACATTTATTTTACCAAGTATTTCCATATTAGCTGTATTAAGTAGTCTTCGTTTACTTAGTATGCAGAAGAAGTATCCCATAGTTCTGCTAAATTCCTGGCTTTTTTCCTCACTGATTTTTTTTACAATGATACTATTTGAAGACATGTTGAATAACACATTATGTCCTATCATGAAATGATCGTTTGGTAACTCGATGATCGAACAGGTACAGTCTGTACTATAATTCCACAATAAATTACTCGCCTAGTATGTTGGATGTTCTTCGTAGATAAGGATGTGTGAGAGTGCCGCGTTTGTGGGTTTGGCAACTCAAACTAACTTCATCAGATTTCGAGCTGAATTTCCCTTGCCAAAATGGCAAATTTTCAGCATTTATGTCGTTAGGGAAATTGGCAGCAACATTGAAATTGCATGAAAGCATTATGAAAGCATTATATCTCAGCATTAAACCTTTCCATTTCACACAGTTCGAGTGCGAAAATACTCGCCCGACATCGCTCTGGGTCCAGTATAACTATAGTTCCGTTCATGCAATCAAAACCCTTCTCGTTGTTATAGTAATCTCCTGCCACCGCAATGCCTCCATGCTGAAAGGTGATTTCCGCATTTTGCAGACTGCCAATCTTGTATACGCTACCCGGCTCTCGATTGCCGCTGAGTTGTGGATGTGCTTCTAACCAGTCCCACAGCCACTTGCTGGCGGGGTCACAATAGAATCTGCTGACATCCGCCAGCAAAACGGATTTGTCGTCCTCATCCCGCGGGAGTTCCATATAGTCAGTATTAGCCACACCAAATATTTGTAATCGAGGCAGATCCGTAAACGATCCCGGCTCGACGGATCTAAGGACTGTGCCGTAGAATAAGATGATCCGAATGTTTGGCATCGGTAAAAAGTCTCGCTGACGTACAATAAGAGGCTTGCAGTGGTCGAATGTAATTTCTAACAAATTAGTCAGTCTCAGCAGCCCGACACGGGACGTTGCATTACTGTCACTAGAGTCGAAGACTTTCAGCACGACTATCTGCTGCTGAATTGGTAGGATGACCTCCGGTTCCAAGAACGTATCGTTCATGATCTCCACGTAGACAGCGCGGTTTTGATTTGCTCTGCTAATCGCTGTTGTCTGGACTTTGAAGATCTAAAATGGAAATGCGCTTATAATCCTCGAACAATTATGTATTTACAAGCGGCTCGTAAATACATAATTGTTTCAGGCTTGTAACAAGCCTGAAATGACAGGATTGCTCGTATGTACATACTGTACGCTAATACTTTCGGTCAACAAAAATGAAAAAAGTTATTCCGCGAATACTGTTAAATGCACTGGCAGTGTCATGGCATTGTTCCTTTTTGGCGGGTTTTTACACGTACGTCTTTGGTAACATCCTTCCTTAACCAATAATCACACTTTAAAGTGACGTGAGTCTGCTGGCGTCCCATATCATAATCGAAACTGCCCTTTTGGAGAAATGCACAATCGGTCATAACCGGGGAAACCGGCTTGCAGGCTCCTCGCGGCCGAGCATTACACTCTTGCTTTTTCAGAGGAGACGTGTCGAAGACTGCATCGGTGATGTTTCCCGGTGATCCTAGAACGGTAGCCATAAATTAACTAGGAAAGTGCACTCGCTTTTTGCGGGCACTGCATGACCGAAGCGTAGAGTGAAGAGTAAAATGAATGAATAATGAAGAGTATTTTATCGTGTTTAAATTTTATCGTATTTGTTCAAATTTTATCGTTATTTTTAATCAATCAACCCATTGGCGCGAACATCGCATTCGTTACCAAATTCCGCTGTGACGGTAGTTTCATATTTGCACACCGGCACAAAAACAACGGAGTAGTGGGCCAAAGAAGGCATTTAATTATTTCAGGCTTTTTAACCGGTCCAGTTTACGCGCTCTCTGCAGGGTGGCCTTCTTAGTTTTGGTGCTTTGCAGTAAATTGTATGTTTTAACCCGAAACAACACGTACACGTACAGTATATTAGACCAGCACGTATATACGTACTGGTCTAAACACTGGTCTTTAACCCCACGTACAGTATATTAGACCAGAGGCAAATTCCCTAGCTCCCAGATGTACGACGGAGTGGTTACACGTTACGCCCAGGGATATGTGAATGATGATAGTCTACGCCAGGCACAGTGGCACTTGCGTTCTTGTGAACTTGTTCGACTTGACTTTTTAGAAACTTGACTTGTCCGATATGACTTTGTCCGACTTAACTTTTTTTCCTTGACTTGTCCGACTTGTCCAAAATATTCTATAGATTTCAGATTTCTCCATATGATGCCGATCGGGGTTCCGCTTTAGATGAGTATTTCGCAACATAATTTATTACGAGGTAACAGATGTGCCTCTTCCTGATTTTTGTCAGCATTTGCCGAATACCGGTAACTTTTCCGGCTAATTACGCACAAAATTTTGCTCTACGTAGTGACCTTTGTAGAACATCTTGAAGTGTTTGAAAGCAATTTAGTATTGTGATTCCATGGATCTGTACCGTATGACTTCCGCGCTTCAGGGTAATGGGTGGAATTGTCCGACGAACGTAACAGTTTGTACGAGGCATGAGTACCTAGGGCCGCGTATAATGACCTTTGAAGGTATAATAACCGAGCAAAAGTGCATTAGGTGGCGGTGACCGACAGACACCACATTTTTCATGCGGCCTGAGTATATACGGCCAGCGCGCATGGGCAATTGGTAGTGGTGGCCGTGCATATGTGCATTAGCTGGCGGTGACCGACAGACACCACATTTTTCGTGCAGCCTGAGTATACACGGCCAGCGCGCATGGGCAATCGGTAGTATGGTGGCCGCGCATATGTGCATCAGCTGGCGGTGACCGACAGACACCACATTTTTCGTGCAGCCTGAGTATATACGTCCAGCGCGCATGTGCAATTGGTAGTACGCGGACTGTGCATACGTGCATTAGGTGGCGGTGACCGACAGACACCACATTTTTTATTAACGCTGAACATAGAGGACCTTCGCTACGCTTCGGTCGACTATAACGAGCAATGAGCATTCACGCTCGTTTTTAGGTGTATAAAGAGGAAAGAGCCGGTTTACTAGCGATTTCATTGCTCCATGAGAAGCACGATGCTGAGTATTTTTACTTTGCACGCGCTATTAGTATTCTTACTGATCCAAAAATTTGTTTTACTGGCACAAACCCACTATAAACCGTTTGCTTTCGATTTCGAACTGAGTTTCTGATCACCTTCCAAATAATCTTAACAAACAAATGCCGGCAAAACTCAAACCTACCTTTAGTATGGTTGGTGGCTGCAAAAGTCACCGGGAAAGCCACATCTGCAGCAAAGGCGAAGAAAAGTAAATTTATAAACCGCCTGTCCATAGTTTGAGAAAGTTTATGAAGTTTTTGCTTGTAATTTTTTACTGTCTGTTTCATGCACTACTAGCTGGAGTGTTTAAGGACTCGCAGCGTTTGATAAATGCCGGTAATCGGTGGGTTGGGTACCGGTTTACATGCATAAACAAGGTAGAAGGAAAATAAGTTTATTGCTTGTTTAAATACAGATACCTCGTAGACATAACAGACTTAAAGCGCTTTCGGCGCTTTAGGCTCCTCTACCTAGTTAAAATTTCTCTTCAATAGACCGTATCTGTCCCGTACATGTCTACCGCAACATTTTCGAGATGGGTTTTATGGATTCTCCAAAATAAGACTAACAGCGCTTAAGGCAGTGGGGTAGTCAGAAAGTAATGTAGTTTTGACAGCAAGGTAAAAGTTTGCGCCAGTATCACGAAGCTTCATATGCCGATTTCAGTTTTCTCATATTTCGGACTCCTTATACGGTTTTAAAATTTGGTCTCCGGTTACAGCTCATGTGGTGCTTTTTTTGATTGACCGCCGATCGCGTACGTTTCTGTAACACGTCTCGAGATTTCTAATGAATTGTTTTTCCGTGATTGACAGTAATTCATTCTACTAATCGTAAAACCAAATATTTCTGAAAATTTCCTTGGCTTCAGAAATTAGAATACGTACGGGAAGACGATTTTACGAAACGTACAGTACACGCAAAGTGACTGAAATAAGAGAAAAATCGAAGAAGGTTATTTTTAGCGAAATATACTACCGTGTCTACATACAGCTGTTTACATTGTCAGGATAAGAAAATGCTCCCTGAGTAATCTGTGAATTCTGATCACCAATATGATTTTTACTTCAAATATTTGTTTGATCGCAGGACGCAGAGTCAATAATATTTAATTGAAAACGCAATCTGGTATTTTGTGACTTCTGGTATCGGTAATCAAGCTACATTGATGACCTTGCATCTTTCCCATTCAGATGCCCTCACTTGAGGAGTCGAAGTGCTTAGCAGGCAGGCCCAATCGAGGCACTTTCTACATTCTGCAAACTTTGTTATCATTTACCTAATGCCATTTATTGGAATTACTTGAAAAAGTACATTCGTTAAGGACAGCGTACTATATGTGGCGTACGTACAGCGTACGTACTAAAATATGTGAGAACCGTTGCTTCAACGTTTAACGCACCATAATATGGAGGCCACGTTTAATGTTTAACGCCACCTCCATTAATCCGATTTTATATTATGAAATCGAATTAATGGAGGTGGCGGTAGCGGATCTACGGTCCTACCTGCTAATAACTAACCGTACAAAGTACTGTACTGAACGCTACAGCACTACAGCAATGCACACAGTGCGGTGAATCTTATAAGCTCTGGTTGTATGCTGTATTCTGAAGTTTGTTTAAATTTATTGTTGGCACCGATCGATCAGTTGATAGTATAAATTTTTGCTGTAGATACACAATTAAAATAGAATAACATTTTTCAAGTTTCTCATGGACAGCACTATTTTCCAACGATACTAGCAGTAGGCAGTACTGCTACGGCGGACAGTCATCCGATGGTATCATCGCACTGCATATTTCATCCAGATCAAGATTTAAACATGGCAAAGCTACACACAGATTACATGCGAAGCCACCGTTTTTGCATTGCTCCGTTGTCATCGCCATTGTTCCATTAGAGCAGTCAAATCGGGCGTTGTTGAAATGAATTCCTGCTGGTGTGGTGTCTCCCTGCTGAAAATCAATCTTTTCATTCAGCAGTGTGCCAATCTGGAACACGCTGCCCTCTTTGTGGCTGACGCTCAGCTGTGAATGTGCCGCTAACCATTTCCACAGCCATTCGTTGCCGGGATCACAGTAGAGACTGTTGAGATAATGCATCAGTGTCAGATTGCCACGTTTAGTCTGAAAATAATCCAGACTGGATAGGGCGAAAACTTGTAGCCGAGGCACACCCGTAAACGTTCCCGGCTCCAGGAAACGGATGGCCGTGTTGTCGAATAAGATGATGCGAATATTCTGCATCGGCGAAAAGTCACGCTGATGAATAGTTAGCGGTTGACAGCTCTCAAACGTAATTTGTAACAAATTGGTCAGCTCCAAAAGGCCAACGCGGGACGTTACTGCATCATCTCGGGAGTTTATAATTCTAAGTACGACTGTCTGCTGTCTAATTGGTTGAAAGACTTCCGGGTCCAGGACCGTATCGTTGATGACTTCCACATAGACAGCACGGTTTTTACTGCGTTTGTTAATCGCAACCGTCTGCTTCTTAAAGATCTGCAACCATAAATGCACTTGCATTGTCGGTGGCAACTAAATTTAGGAACAGCCCTATTAACCGCAGATAGTTGGTAGTCGGGCGTTCGATCTACGAGTATGACTAAAATTATGAGACCGCGAGCATGGTACAAGTACATAGTCATTGTAGCAGTCCTGTGAACGGTTGATAACCTGTTCCTGGTAGTCAGTTTCTCTCGCAATACAACTAATGCGTCGGTCACATTACGCGCCTCTTTTCACAAATTAATGGCAAGGTTACCAGAAAAATTGTAATTTGAAATATGAACAGCGTTATTTCTCGAATTACGTCTCGGGACAGTACGTACATCTTTGGTCACTTTCGCACTTAGATATTCAACGCATGTCAACGTTATATGCGTCTGATAACGTCTGGCTACATCTCCACTCGTCTGTGAAAGGAATGCACAGTCCGATCGATCCCGGGTACCCGGTGTGCAGATACCCTGCGGCCGAGCAGAACACTCCCGCATATCCAGCCGAGAAATGTCGAAAATTGCATCGGTGGTATTGGTCTGTGCTCCTAGAATGGGAGCCAAGTATCCTAGAGTACTCTATATTTGCATTAAACACCAGCGTCGTTGGTCCAACGATACAAACCAGACATTGACAAAAAGACAAGCATACCTTTCTCAAAACAGAAACCATTATAGCAGGAATCTGCGAACCGAGAAGGAAGCAGGTATGTGTAGACTGCGTACTAGATTTCAAATTTTTCGGTACAGCACAAACTTTTCTAGAATCGGTTTCACGAAATCACGTTATGTTCTCCGTGCTCGATAAATATATTTTGCGATTTCCATTACCGGCAAATTACAACATACCTTCGGTGCCATTGGTTAAGGACAAGACCGATGGGGAAAATGCAGTTACAGCTAAAGCAAAAGTGATAAAATTTACAAACGACCAGCAAGCCATGCATGCTCGGAAAAGACCTGTGACTGATATTTTGATTCTGAATTATTTTCCATAGTTTCGGTTGTTTGCCACAACCTGTATTGTAAAAACCGGTTTACAGAGACGAAGAAAACAAAAGGGTGCCTACTTCGTTTGTCTAATTACTGTAAATAAACGCGCCTCAGTGTAGAGCTTTCGGCGCTTTTAGAGCAATATTCGATTTAGAAGTATATTCTCTACATATGACTGCCACTTGAAACTTTCACAGTTTGAACATTACCTTTATCTACAAATGGCGCCGTCTGCGATTTTGTTTTCGGACATGGCGTAATGTCGAAGTACAGTACTCCTAAGTCCTTTATGCACATTCCAGTGTGTCGCCTGGTAATCTCGACTGTCTCGCAAGTGCCAAGAGGAATAGGCAATCCGTGAGCCTGATGAATAGATGCCCGTTCACTTGAGCTCAGAGGAGAGATGTCAAAAACCGGCATTGTAATGTTGCAAGGGATTTCTAACGCATAGGTCATTAGGACGAATCAGCACGTCTTTAACTTGTAAATACTAAAGCCGTACTCGAATACAACAGATCCAACGTTCGGCAAAAGCTAGACATTAAGTACAGACCAAAAAGTTACAAAAAACCCTGAGAATAACTACGTATTTTGGCGACACCTATTTTTATCGAAAGTACGGTGCAGCAAACACTTCCGAAGAAGCCGAACAGAACTTCTGTGCTAATGATTGTCGGTAAAGATGAAACCACAAGACAGGTCGCAGTAAGCGCAGAGGTAAAGAAAAGCGAGTTTACGAATGGCCAGAAATCCGTGGTCTTGGCTTAATAAATAGCGTTGTATTTTTTAATTATTTGGTAAAGAAGCTTTATATAAAGTATGTTTGCAGAATATTTAATACGTCAAGCTGCACACTGCTGGTTTTTGCCAAAAACTTTACATACAACCAGAGAAGCTGCTTTATTTTTTTCGAAATTAGAAAGTTATTAAAGTTGGCAACGATTCACACAAATAAAATGCAAAGGAACTCGCACGACATTGCTCTGCAGTCAGCGCCAGTCTTTCATTATCGCATGCGTACCGGGCGTTGTTAAAAGAAACTCCAGATGGTGCAACGCCGCTTTCTTGAAACCACGTTTCCTTGTTTTGCAGAGTTCAATCTTAAATACACTGCCGGCTGTGCTTTCGACACTCAGTTGGGGATTTGTCGGTAGCCAGTTCCAAAACCATTCGTTCCTCGGGTCACAGACTCACAGTAGAAACTGTTCAGATCCACCATAATTTCCTTGTTAGCCTCATTATCCAGAAAATACAGGATATTTGGCACACCGAAGACTTGCAGTTTGGGCAGATCGGTTAACGTTTCGCGCTAGAGATACCGGATGGCAGTTACGTAGAATAAGATGATCCGCAAACTTTTTAGCTGTGAAAAGTCCTTCTGGTGTATGATGAGCGGCTCGCAATCTTCGAAATAAATTTCTAGCAGGTTGCTCAGTCCCAGCAGTCCGATGCGGAAGGTCAAAATGTTGTCAATGGAGTTCTTAATTTTAAGCACGACTATCTGCTGTCGAATTGGTTGGATGACTTCCGGGTCCAACACCGCATCGTTCTGGATTTTCACGGAGACAGCACGGTGTTTACTGCGTTTACTGATGGCTGCTGTCTGTTTCTTAAAGACCTACAGCCAAGATAAAATAGAAGGTCTTAATTGCAGTCGTTAATAGCCGCACTGATGACTGAGTGGCTGGGCCTCAACTGCGCCGATATTTTATTTGGTGAGCACGCTTTCTTGTTGTGGATGTTTTTTTACCAATATAAACCACGTTCTCGAATATTTTTGAGCAAAACACCACCCCCACCATCCGGTTATTAACATGCCTTAAATAGTCTTGAGTAAATTACTTTAGGTTTATGGGTCGCATAAATTCACTCGCACGTACGTCTTTGGTGGCGTCCTCACCACAGACCAATGTGATGCATGTTTGTGTGCGTTTAGCAAAATACTCGCCGCTCGTGTTCGAAAGGAATGCGCAGTCAGATGTATCCAGCGACGCAGGTGTGCAGGATCCCTGTGGTCGAGCAGTACACTCGCGTATATTCAGAGGAGAGTTGTCGAAGTTGGCGTCGGCTGTACTGGCCAGAGCTTCTGAAACAGAATTCAACTTCAGTTCAGCAAGACAAACGACAACGACAAATGCAGATGCCTTTTCATGTAAAAAACCGCAAAGCGCGGTCGATCGGGGAAGCAAGAATACAGACGCTCTGTAGCAGTTATATTACGTGTTAAGATTTAAGAAATTAAGTGTGTATAGAAATTTGTCGATACGAAAAAGAAACTTTAAGAATGGTTTCGACATTACATTCTTCGAATTAAGGATGTAGCCGGGACCACGTATTGACTAGCTAGTATATACCTACATCTTTAGTAATATTCTTCATGTTTGTCCACTCACAATGCAGTGTAACGTGCGTCTGATAATCTTTGCTGTCGCTCAAGTGAAATCTGCAGTCGGACGACCTCAGTGAACGCGGTGAGCAGACGCCGTGCGGCCGAGCTTCACACTCGCGTACGCTTAGAGGAGAGATGTCGAAGGATGCATCGGTGACATTCGCGAGAGATCCTAGAAACCACAAGTTAGTGTAAGAGAAACGATCCTTAAGTTGTAAACAGTAAACCTTCGATCTAGCTGTCTAATCATTAATGAACAAGTTGTCCAACAATCTCGAAAAATATCTGTAAGGTACTAAGTAATGTAGAGAATGTAGACCAATTTGGTATAAAAATAAACCTTTGAGATTCCTTACCGAAACCCATTTGACTCAAAAGCTTGCTCAAAAGTCATTCGGGAAGCCAAGCTTACCTTCTGTGCTGTTGGTTGCAATTGCATTCGCTGGCGAAGATGGAACCACTTGAAATACTGTTGTAATAAACGTAGAGACAAAGAAATATTCTATGATTGGCCAGGAATCCATGGTGGAGGTTAGTCAGAAGCGCCCTGACTTTTCAATTATTTGGCAAAGGCCCACCTCATTTTATGGACGTAGACACTGCACACATATCTATACGCATGCACCCGTCTTCTTCGCCGAAGACGGTATAAACCGGTATTGAAAAACGGATAAAAAATTAATGTAATGAAAAAGCGAGTGTAGTTCAAGTACAATTAGTAGCTTGTTAACTCTTAACATACAACCGAACGCTTCCGGCACTTTAAATTCCTATCATTAGGCTCCATCCGCCAACTATTTTTATTTGCTTTTCCTAAAGACGAACGCGAACATCTGGGGTCGGCCAAGATTACCTTTGCCTCCCCTTTGCCTTTTTCAACTTCACCTTTACCTTTGCCGGTACCCTTACCTACTGTTCAAATTGCTTTTAGGGCGAAAGCCATAGCTGGTCATTAAGTCAACAAAATTCCGAACGCCGAACAAACATGCTCACTTGATTACAGACGGATCCATTACCATTTATACATACATATATAGTGCAGAAAAGTAATTATTTTGCAAACTAAATACTTTCTTTTTCTCATATACTTTAGTGTCTTATAAAGACCTTTTTACAGTGGTTGCTGCACCTTGCGGGCTGTCAACGCCGGTTGTAAACCTCGACACTGACACACCTAAGGCACGTTTTCTACACGTCAAATTTTTGGAAAGCTAAATCCTGCCTGTTGTTTGGTGAGCCCCCTGTTGACGTCTGTTGTCCGCCTGTAACCTTCCAGTTGCCTTGGGAATTCTGCCCACGCATTGCCCTTGTTCTCTATCGTCATCTTCCGTTGTCCTGCGTTGTCCTTCGTTGCCGACCCGTTGTCCTCCGCTGTCCACCCGTTGTCCTCCGTTGTCCACCCGTTTCCTTGAGTTGTCCACCGGTTGTCTTCCGTTGTCCACCCGTTATCCTCCGTTGTCCACCCGTTGTCTTGCGTTGTCTACCCGTTATCCTCCGTTGTCCACCCGTTGTCTTGCGTTGTCCACACGTTGTCTTGCGTTGTCCACCCGTTGTCCTCCGTTGCCCACCCGTTGTCTTGCGTTGTCTACCCGTTATCCTCCGTTGTCCACCCGTTGTCTTGCGTTGTCCACACGTTGTCTTGCGTTGTCCACCCGTTGTCCTCCGTTGTCCACCCGTTATCCTCCGTTGTCCACCCGTTGTCCTCCGTTGTCCACCCGTTGTCTTGCGTTGTCCACCCGTTGTCCTTCGTTGTCCATTTGTTGTCTTACGTGGTCCACCCGTTGTCTTGCGTTGCCCATCCGTTGTCCGGCCGTTGTCCTCCGTTGTCCGCCCGTTGTATTGCGTTGAGCACTAAAATTTCTTGCACAATAATTTTTTAAGCCGGTATTGGGTTAGAATATTGCGGCGAAAACAGAGTCAGAGCTCATTTAATGAGATTAGATGCTAGTATCGGGGTTGGTGTGGTCTGGGAACAGTATTAAAACCAAAAATAAAAAAATCGGTTGCTCTTTGATATGGTATCGGCGACCACAGGCATGTACGTGCTTGGGCTAAGAGCGGCACTATTTGAACCAGAAAAGGTGCAAGGTTATGCGAAGGCTGCATTCGAAACTATGAAAATTGCACCCCACTCTCCTGCCACCTAAAGAACTGATAGAATCCTCACACCGAAGACACAGATTTCTCTGACTGTATCTCAGTTATGGCATGCCACAAAATAGGTCTTAAAAGCGTTGAAAAATTAATCATTGGCAGATAAGGTAAGAGAAAAGTTACGAGTTATATGTACACTGTACAGCAATGTTTGTAGAAAGGAAAATTAAAAAAAAATGTTCAACAGTTACTATATCCAAATATATATGCAAAAATTCGTGCACCCAGCCAAAACCCGTGGCAACTCTCGTGCATGTAGGCAGCAGCCATGCGGACCCAAAAGATCACCGGTGCCCACAGCTGACGCCCGTGCGTTCGCTGCGCACATACTAGTATTTAGGCGTCCGGTCGAGCTTTCTTTATCCAGTCCTTTTGATTTCTCGCAGTTAATTTTAGAAGCAAAGTTTGGCAAATATTTACGAATAACTAAAGTGCATTAAAATCGGCTCAAGATACAGTTTTCATTTTCCCAAAAGCACGAAACTAAAAATTAGCAAGAAACGTTTCTTCTTGTCGAAGAAATCCGCACTTTAATTTGCGTAAGTTTGGAAACGATTCAGCGATATGATGATAACAGGGATGAGCATTCTGTGTCATCAATTGCACTGAAAAGCAGAGAAATGGTGATAAAACACGCAGTGCCGTGCCAAACACGCACCCGGACATTTGGGAGTGTGACATTTCGCCGCAATTAAATTCGACGCACGACTTTTTGCCGCGAAGACATTTCGCCATTTTCATTAGTTTCCTAGGCCTGTTAGTCTATGTAATGCCTCGTTTCCAATCTGTAGCGAATTTAGCTACGGTACAGGACACCACCGTCCCATAATAGGAGATACGCGATACGGTATGTCGGTTTTCGCTTCGCGTATCTGGTTATCAGCGCAAAGATTCGGGACCGAGATATGCTGCATATCCGAATGCGTCCCGTTTCCACAAGGCCCAGACTCCAACTCTGACTCTGACTCTGATACTGACCACTCAAACTCTGACTACTCAAAGTCTGACTCTGACCGCTCAAAGTCTGACTCTGATACTGAAGGTTTCTTAGGTTTCTTGATAGTTTTCTTATGTCTCTTAATAGGTTTCTTAGGTTTCTTAGGTCTCTTAGGTTTTTCATCTGATCTAACTCATCATCAGCTAAAAAGTAAAAAGTAAGGACGATGATGCCAAAAGCTTTCAATCCAGGGAACAACATTTAGCAGTTCAGACTAGGAACTAACTAGAATGAAGGCATAAAAACAGTCAGCACAAGAATTCTTCCAACAAACCCCGAGAACACAAAAAAACTGGTAAGCAGTGCGATATGCGATCGAAGCGATGGTACGCAAATACAGCGATACGGGGCCAAAGCTGAAGATTCGATACAGGAAACGGAGAGCGAGCCCAGTTTCGATATGCGTAGCCTGTACTGCATCTTGGTGGTGCGCACCAAAAAGTGTCCCATTTTTGAACTGTAGCGAAACTAGATACTGCTGTATCGCAACGAGATACGCTTTAGAAAGGGGACGAAGCCTAAGGTTTCTTAAGTTTCATAGGTTTCTTAGGTTTCTTAGGTTTCTTATTTTTCTTTGAATTCTTAGGTTTCTTAAGTTCTTTAGGATCCTTGGGTTTCTTTTGTATCTTAGGGATTTTAGGTTCTTTAGATTGCTTGCGTTTCGTTGGTTTCTTATGGTTTTTAGGTTCCTTCGGTTTCTTAGGTTTTTTAGTTCTTATTTTTATTAGAATTCTTAGGTTTTCTTAGGTTTCTTAAGTTATTCTCTGGTTAGTTTCAGGCTAGTCTCAGGTTTTTGGTGGGTTATTTTCAGGTCATTTTTATGCTGTTCTTAGGTTATTCGTAGGTTTCTTAAATTTTTCTTATGGTTATTTCGTACTTTGTTGATTTCCTTAACTTTATTTTGTTGACCGAGGCCTAGCGGAGGTCCTCTATGTTTAGCGCCAATGGAAAAAGTGATGTCTGTCCGTCGGTCACCGCCACAAAATGCGCATGTGCTCTGGGGCGTTTGGTACCACATGCACACATGCGCGGTGGCCGTATATACTCAGACCACTTGCAGCTCAAGATATCTGTCCGTCGGTCAGCGCCACCAAATGCATTTTTATGCTGGGTCTTTTGGTACCGAAGGAAATACATAAGCATGGGTCCTTGCATGAGCGTAATGACTAAAATCTCCGATAAGTCCGCAGGTGCCGCCTTAAACCTGTTATACTGTCTGTACATAAATGAAATTTCCGGTTTGATATTTGGAAGAGACGATGTTTGTTAATGCAGCCTGCATTAACAGCTTCCAGCCTGCAGTACGATATGGACTGCATTATGCAGGTCTATATCGTAAGGCAGGCTCGAACTTCGAAATCAAAAACTTTTCTTCGGACCCATCGAAAAACTTTCAGCACAGTAAAGTGCCCTCCAACAAAACAATAAAAAAGCTACTCTTCGATTCATAAAGGATTTTTGCAAGGCGGAAAAAGTAGGCTTGCTATAATGTAGCACGTCACAACTGAACGGCGGCACTGCTGCAGTTTGTAAAACCGTGCATTGTACTGACAGACCCGTCCAGAGAAATACTAGTGCTGATCAGACCTGGCTAAACATTTAGCAGATGTTTTTGCTGAAGTAGGGCACAACGCTCTCTTGCGCGCCCGTGAAAGATAACGCGAGTTAGTCACCACAACCTTCTCAAGCCGAAAGCTAACGGCTGCGCTCATTGGTCCGCTACGTGATCCGCAGATGAATTACAAAACGCAGCTTCGAAGCTGCGTTTTCTATTTCACATACACATTCACCTCCGTTGTTGTGCATAGCCAACCGAGCTTTACACCGTGGTCACCGGAACCCGTAACATATAGTAAATATTAAAGCATTATGTATAATTGCTAATTTGCTAATAAAATGTGGTCCAAGTATTAAACCGCATTATTAATTTAGCCTCACTTAGTTTTAAAAGTTGTTACTACTTACTAGTAATAGACTATTAGTGATTGTTAATTTAGTAATTACGATTAATTATTAAAGTAATTATTATTAGTGATTACGATTATCAATGCACATTTGTAATATTGTGTAGGTTGTGTTACTGTAATTAAGTCTAATTATATTAATTAATAACGCGTATTAATTTGCTAAGTTACATTGAGTAAGTGGATACATTTTCTTCTTCAGTTAAGTTGTAAATTATTGCATTAATTAATGACACCTCAAGCATGCGGATTAAAACGTGCCTGCGGCCCTGCTGTACAATTCGTTTGTGTGTACGCATCTGGCGTTCGACTGCGAGTGCGAACCGGTGTGATGTCGGGTCCGATTACTCCACCAATCTCGCCAACTCATCTTGGACATCCCAGACAACAGAATCTCTGGATGGACCCGAACGCAACGACCCACTTAATGAACCGGCTGAACCAGCATAGAAGTCAGGTCGGAGGACAGAGCCAACAAGTGCCTGTTCCGACGACGACCACACAGGTCGTA